CACTCTACTGCTCGCTGTAATCGTATTGTGTCGCTCTTAAAATATGCCCGGACATGGACATGGCCCACAGCCAGTGGCTCAGTGGCATCAGTTGACCCACTTCCCAGCGCGCAGGATGACAGCTGCAATTGTTTCGGGTCGCTCGCTTTCACTTCATCTAATTAAGCAAGCTCTCAATGCGTGCCACAATCCTTCCCTCCCACCACAACCCCGCCTTTGCCATCACTTGTTTCACAGAATAAATAAATGAAAAATTCATTTATTTGCACGAGCTGCTGCAGTTTGTCTGGCTTTCGTTTCGTGACACTCTTCTGCTGTTGCTGTTGCTGATGCTGCTGCTGCCTCCGAAACAAAGAACTGCAACAGAGTACCGTGTACCCCGTCCACTTTGCTTTCCGGTAAGTAATTTAATTTGTTCCGTCTTGAGGGGCTCTGTGACGTGGTCAGAACGAACAATAAATTAAATCAGTTGGGAACTCAAATTGAACTCTTTCTCGGGCCCTCGATTATGATGGGGCCGGGCCGAGTGGTATTGGTACTCGCACAGAAACTAAACTTTACGATCCAATCAATTGGAGGACATAAAAAATAAATGCTTGCCTGGCAAAAGATGAAGAACTAGTCGAGGCTTTTGCCTTCACATTCAAGAGACTGACCGTAAAAAAGTCGGGCAATAAAATTACAAAGAAGCAAGTTAAGGCAGATGACTGTCACAGCTACTCCTCGGCGTCGTCTGTGCTGTGTGCACTGGCTAATGGCCTATGTTAGCCAATGTGGAGGGGCAGGACTCTCGGGCCTCGAAAGGGTGTGAAATGGCAAACGAAACGACAACAGACATAAGCGTCTTATTAGATTTTCGTGAGTATTTGGCGCAGGAGAGGCGCATGAATGGTGCGCCACATATGGGGCAGGACGGCACAGGACAGGACGGGACTCGCATTAACAACTTCATTAAGGGCAACTGTACACTCCATTCTCCACTCTTCACTCTCCACACTACACTCCTTCGTCCGCACACAGGGGGACGTCCCTGTCGCTGTCGATGTCGAACCCTGGGCAAACTGCTAAACTCAACTCTGAAGTACATTAATTTTGTGGGCTTTTGGCAACAGGCAATAAATCTTCAGCTTACTGGCTAAAGCAAAACAGACTCTTACATCTTATATCAGTGGATACGAGTATGTCTATGTATGTATGTATGTATGTACATACAGGACCTAAACAGGATTGACAGCTGGATGGGACTGGAGAGGACTGGACTGGCCGACCTCTGATGCAACTCAAGTCGACATTTATGGCCTCGAAGCCCCAATTGAGTTTCAATCAATGCATAACAATGCTGTCCCAGGAGAACAATGCAAATATTATCTGGCTGATCTATCGGCTCGGTGCCTTTGTGCTCTCACAGAGTGCAAAAATTAATTATTGCAGCCAAAGTATCCGACAGCCAGAAAGCATTCGATGTGCAACAATGTATCCGCAGCAAACAAATCAAATTGTGGACTAGCAGCAGCAGATGCCTCCTCTGAAACAACCAAACATGTAACCAACACTTGCAACAACAAAACAAAAAGAAGAAAAGCCACCACTCCGCAGCACTCTCACTTAAGGGGAGACTTCCATTTTAGAGACCTACTCGTATGGTCGCTTGTTGGCCAGGCCAACACATGCTGTGAGTGAAATGACAATGTCTGCTGCCTGGGAAAAGGTCTGCCTTTTTTTTTGCATCTGAAAGAGTTGCAATTTGCAACAAAATGCGGAAAAGCTCGGCAGCAAAAAGCCTGAAATGGAACCGAAAATCAGCAAAAGAAAACAAAACAATGTGAAACTAATTATTCGAAATAGAAATTTGCATTTTGCTGGCACAGTTTGCCCAGGGTTTTGACAACCTGTACAGGAATTGTGGGAGCAACAAAAGAAGGACAGAGAGGCAGCAAGGATTACGAAATTTATTGAATACAAATATTATTATCAGCCATGCAAGCAAGCAGCATCCCTTTGTTCCACACTGCGTATGGTTTCACTTTATAATTTGATTAGTTTTCCTTTGTTCTACGTTTTCTCCACATCTTTTGTGGGCTGTGTCATTCCGCCCAGTCTCATTCCCCTGCGTATGCTTAATATCTGAGCAGACAAGATGGTTTTAAGCCATTATTTGTACATTATTCAACTGTTATCAGTGGGATCTAAGCCATGTGCCAATATACACAGCATTAGGCATTCCTTTGCCCTGGCCTGGCCTGGCTGCGGTTGAAGGTCGCATTCTGTGGGCACGTCTGCCCATTAGACACAATCATTTTCTTTAAATTTGTCGATTTAATTGAGCGCAGCAAAATGGAGAGTGGAATGGAATGAGAGCAAGAGCAAGAGCGAGAGCGAGAGCCCAAATGGTAACCACAAGGAGTAATTGCATGTGTGTATGTGTGTGTGTGTGTGTAGCCAAGTTAATGTGAGCCCTTAAAGCCCAACTAATGGATTTAGCCGATGGTTGCCTGTTTAAATAACGAGCTTTAAATTGCGTGACAGAAACGTTTTTAAGGGCAATTAGATAAAACCATATGTGTATGTGTTTGCCTTTGTGTGTGTGCTGCATGCTTTTGTTGCATACTTTGCGGCGCTGTGGCAACCCGAGTTAAAAGAGCATGACTGAAATGCTTAGCATACAGAACGGGCCCAGAGCCACTGCCACACCAGACCACTCCTTCACCCACACCCTCAGCACAATTGCAGTCATACTAATAAGCAGGCTAAGGAGAAGGGTCTCCATCCCGCTGATGATTTTCCGGAAGCGGAAGCTGTAGCCTGGACGCATTATACATAATACCAAATTAATGCGCCATTATTAGACAAATGCATGACAAGCGTTTCAATTGGGGCGCCATAAACTGTCATACAAGCAAACAGACATCAACCACGCCCCCGACCCACAGAGTATGACAGCTTGCTGTGACAGTTGGATGCCAGTCCTGGGGGAGGGAGGACATCATTAAAGTCAATTGCAGGATACAGACGATGAGGGACAATGCCATCCTCCTGCCTGCCTGCCTGCCTGCGGATAATCAAGCGCTTTTAATGATTGCATGTTCAGCTCTGGGAAATTGCATTTTCCGCCATTGATTGCCAGCACTCGCACTCGCACTCGCTCTCTCTCTCTACCCCGATCCCCCCCTCTGACGACGCGAATCAGAAAACAATTTAATATTAAAATTTTCATAAATATTCTGCTACCGAGATGGCCCAAGGCCCGCACCGCTTGCGGCCCAGAGAGACCAAAGCATAACAGAACAGAATCGAACCGAACCGAACAGACCACGCCAGGCCTCGATTGCCATGTGCGGCACGTTTAGAGCGGATTTTATTTTTCAATTTCTGACCCCCCAAACGGAAATTGCTCAGTGCCTCTACCTTTGACCGTTCCAAGCGGCTGTACAGTACAGTAAAGTACAGTACACCGCCTACACCCACCACCCAGTTTAAAGCTGAATTGATGGCTTGGGTCTGCTTTTGATTTGGCCTATTAATTAACAATTCCATTATGGCAGATGTGCGAAAATTGGGTTTTAATTAAATAGCTTGTAATGCCGTAATTATTCCAGGCAGACACACACCAGCACACACGCACACACACACACGCACACACACCCTTCGAAGCTCCCTTCGAAGCTCCTTCTCAATGTAATTAATGAGTTTTTAGTTAAAAATACATTTTTGCTGGTAATAATGACTTGAGGGCTGGAAACGAAACCCAAAAACACACACATGAACATGTATGTATGTATGTGCCTGGCATATTCAATAAAATTAAGTACACACAGATACACACACACACACACACACAGAGAGCTGTAGGCTGTAGGCTGCGCAGCTCATTAAATGCTTTACATGTGTTGGTCGTCTCCCCCATGGCACATCGCCCTAACTCGCCCTTTCCCCCACTCTAAGAGCAAGACACAAAAGTCAAAAAGGAAAGCGTTTCGAGTTTTTCCGACTTGAAAGTCTTTAATTTATGCAAATGTCTATGCCTGTCTATGCCTGTCTATGCCTGTCTGTGTGTGTATGCGTGCGTTTCGAGTGTGTGGAGCTATGTAAGCCTCATCAATTTGCCATTGACACAAAGAAGAGTACAGCCAAAGGCCCTGAGAATTGTCAGAATAGTCGAAGCAATCGAAAAATGTAGGAAAAGAACAATCAAGTAACCAACGGCGAAGTGTAGCAGCGTCAAAATACTCTGCCTGGTGGCGTTAAAGAAAAATACAAAAGCAACAACTGTGCACGAGAGTCGAAAACATACATATAAGAGGTACTATAGCATGCAGATAGTAATATTAAAGGCAGCTTGAAACTTGGCGAATTCTTTAGTGAACTTTGACACAACCCATGGCAGGGTATGAGAACCAAAATACTCAAGTTTAGAGCAGAAATAAGTATAATATATCCGCTGAACACATTCAGGACTCGTGCCAAATCCCAACCAAAGACATTGAGTGTAATTACAAATTGAACTTGAGACTGGAAGCCTCGAGACTGCGATGCAATGAGCTAGATACGAGCTAAATCCACGCCAACAGCGTCTGTCCGGGATTAGGCATGACTTTTGTCGAAAAGACTTTCAAATGAAATGTGTTCAAATGTGTTCTCTAAGAGGGAATGGCAGGCAGAGTTCGGTGGGGGGCAACATTTCTGTGTGAAGTGAGGGTTTTATAAATCCATCAATATTGTGGATCTGTGTCACAGACCTAACTCCCACACGCATGAGAGCTGGAAATGATTAATGAAACAGATAACAGGAGAGATAACAAAAAGCTGCTAACGAAACAAATGCCAAGAGGTGTAACGGAGAGAGAGAGAGACAGAGAGAGACAGAGAGAGAACGCGATAAAGGGGTAAAGTAAAGCTCTGCTTATCTTATCAACGATTCAAATGCTTTTCCTCTCCACTTTTATTCTGTTTACTACGATACCCCAAAATGTATTCCAGTGACTAACGCGAAAGGAAGGTGCACGACAGAAATACTCGGCCATTTATTGGAAAATCGAACGAACGAGCGAGCTTTTTTTCCCTCCCACTGCAGATAAGATAGGGAAACTCTAGACAATTCAGCGAACCGTTCAGTGTGCTAAGAACCTTCATCATGGGGAGAATCGCAATTAGAAATACGTGCAGAAGCAGAGCAGGGGTGGCCTGCCTCCTGCTGCTGGTGGCACTGGTGTGTGGGGCCTGTGGGGCGGAGAACATCGACGCCGATGAGGTGGATCGCTTCTGTTATCCGGACTCCAAGCGCGACTCGCGCCACTCCTGCGAGTGCAACAACGTGAGTGCCGCGCCCTGGGGCATGCGAGCGCTGCGCATCGACTGCAGCTACAAGGAATATCGGTCCGCGGATCTCTCGGAGCTGCTGCCCCTCTACATAGACACGCTCGACCTCGCGTGGAACGCTCTCGACCTGGCGCCAGTCTTCAGCAGCGACAGCCTCCACCAGCTCAATCTGATGCACAACAACATCAGCCAGCTGAGTGGCAACAACTTTGCCAAGTTGATCAGCCTGCGGGAGCTGTACCTGGGCTGGAACAGCATTTCCTTGGTGGAGGCGCAAGCCTTCGCCGGTCTGCCCCATCTGCAGGTGCTCGATCTGTCGCACAACAATCTGCACTCGCTGCCAGGGCAGCTGTTTGCCCCCGTGCTGGTGCTCGCCTCGCTGGACCTCTCCTGGAACCGCAAGCTCAACGGGACCGCGCAGCTGCAGCATGGAGATCTGTACACGGACCTCGGCATCAACTGGAAGCTGTCAACTCTGCGCATGGATGCCTGCAGCCTGCAAGAGCTCCGGCTGCCTGCGGGTGCTCCCCTCAAGGAGCTCTCGCTGCGGCGCAATCTCTTCCGGCGTGTGCCTGGCCAGCTGCCGCAGACGCTGCTCCACTTCGACATCAGCGACAATCTGCTGGAGCGGCTGCTGCCCGAGGATACGGCCAATCTCACACAAGTTCGGCAGCTGTTTGTGGAGGATATGTCACTGATGCAGGGAGTGGCCGCCCATGCTCTCGTTCCGCTCCAGCTGCTGGAGTCGATCAGCTTCCAGAACAGCCGGCACATGAACCACTTTGACGGTGAGGCCTTCGGTGCCCTGCCCAAGATCCCCTCCCTGCGCACGCTGTCGTTTCGTGGGACTCTTTTGCGCTCTTTTAATTCCTCGCTTTCGCCGGTTTTTGCACAGCTTACCGAGCTGGATCTCAACGGTGTCCCGCTTAACTGCGATTGCGAGTTGGTCTGGCTAAAGAAGCTGTCCATCGAGACGGGCGGACGCTGCTTACGGCCGTCGCGGATACGCGGCATGCTTGTCTCCTCGGCCCGCCGCGAGGCCTTCAGCTGTGACACCTGGCCACGCTGGGCCTACGGCCTGGTTGTGCTCACCCTGATCGCCCTGTGCGCCGTGGGCATTTACCTGATTGTGATGGGTCTGCGACCGCATCGAGGCGTCACCATGCGGCGGAAGGTGGGTGCTGGCAGTCCCTATGCCCGCGTCACCATCGAACCCAATCGCCAGGAGAACTTGAGCTAGACTTGGCTTGGCCTTTGGGGTGGAGCTTGACGTGCCATGAGGTTTCCAATTAAGTTTTCTATGACTGTTTTTTTTCTTTATTACAACCCAATAAACAATTGAATATTTAAGTGAATCCAAGCGCGAGATTCTAAGAGATGATTTATACATAATTCAAGGGAATTTGAGACTGAATGGGACTGCTGTTAGTCACGCTGTGGAATGGACTTGGCACTTGGACTTATCTATTGAAGAGTCAGAAATAGATTTTACCCCTCACAGGCATACATACATACATATGCACACGCATGTACATACATTTGAATGAATGAAAATTCCAAAAAAGAACTTCAATAACGCTTCGACCTGGACTTGGCTCCCTTTGCTCTCATGCCATCTTCGCTGTACTTCATTTTGATGGCCAGATGACCTGATGGCTTTGTGGCAAAACGATCCACGGCATTCACATCATAGTGCTCCTCGATGGCGCACAGATGGGGAAACTGGGGATTGGTGCCCGTCTGGCAGCCGGCAGCCGCCTTATGGCCGACGGCATAGGCTGGTTCGTGGTGTACATTCTCGCGCGCGAAATTGCAGACGATGAACTGCTGGTGCCAGCGGTAGCGTGGCTGCCGGAGCACCCCACAGCCCATGTGGGTGGCACGCTCCTGTATGAGCTGCCGGAAGCTGTTCATGTCACTGCGTGGCTCACCCGGCCCGAACCCCAATCTTGCCTTCTTGTACTGCTTGAACCAATTGTGGATCTTGTGGCCGATTAGCTGGCGATCGCTGAAGCGATGGGCACTGAAGATGACGTGGCCCACGATCTGGCCAACGTGCTTGAAGCGTCTGGTGTTGCGGCAGTTGTCGGTGGCGAGGCTGCACTGCTTGACCGCAATTTCTGCGAGCTTTGCCAGCTCCGGGTCCCACTGGACGCTGGCCATGCGATCGGCGGGCGCAAAGTCTCTGAATCCGCCCGAGGCGACATGATTCCGATAGAGATTCACCTGACGGACGATGAACGTCTGCAGATCCCCACTCAGCGGCAACAGCCTGGCCTCGCTCTTGCATTGCGCTCCAAGGCTCTGCGAAAAAATAAAAAGAAAGATCAGATTGCTAGAGTTGGGTGGGGCATCACAATCCTCCTCCTCCCTTGGTGGAGTCATCCACGTACGCCGTTGTTGTTGCAGGCCACATGTTGCAGCGCTGGACGAGAACACCAATGCTCCTGGCAGTAGTCCCAGCAATGGCCGCAGGAGAACAGGCAGGAAAGGAGGAGGGCGAGGACCACAACGTCGATGTGCGACACACGAGACATGCTGTCAGATTGACGTGGGAAGGCAGTTGCGGTCGCAAGTTGTTTACGCGACACGCCAACTGTGGCAAATGGCGATTTCCATGGCCCGTAACTACATGGAATGCGGCGGGAACATGTCACAGTCGCAGCCATCAGTTGCCATGGCTGGGACGTGGCAAGGCAGCAGGTCTGTCTGTCTTTGGATCTGTATCTGGATCTGTCTCTATCGCTGCTGCATTTGCGAAAGCAAAGAGTTCGACTACTGCGGAGAGGACGCCTGCACAGAAGGTACGGGCCCACATCTGGCCTGCAAGCACTCGCAGGTAAGTAGCACCTCCGATATGGATACCTGAACTGAATCCTTGTCAGAAATTCGACAGCGCGTGTCCAGCGGACGCGAAGCTGCTGAGGATTGACAGCTCCGTGGCTCGCTACATCATCAGGGAGCACAATGTGGCCCGGAATCAGGTGGCGCGTGGCACCTTCCACAAGCTGCCAGCATCGACGCGCATGCTGACCGTGCACTGGGACGAGAGACTGGCCTGGCTGGCCGAGCTCAGTGTGATGAAGTGTGCGCTGGAGCGACACACCTGCTTCCGGTCGCCCTCGTACCAGATGCCAGGCCAAAACGAAGCCTACAACAAGTTCAAAGCCGATCAGGATCCTCTGAAGGTACTCCGCTCCCAGATAAAGGCCTGGAAGGACGAATATCTCTTCGTGGATATAACCACCATTCTGGGTGGCAACAATCACGCCAAGTGAGTGTGCTGTCCTCCAATGCATCTTCCATATTCCATTTTCCATCTTCCGTTTCAACTCCAGACAGGATGTGGGACACTACCTGCAGATGATCACAGCGTCGGTCGAGAGCTTGGGCTGTGCCATGGCGCTATATAAAAAAGATGGCTTTACCTACCAGATAACGAAGTGCATCTACAGCTGTTACCTCGACTGCCTGCCCATCTATCCAACGGGACATATACCCGGCGAATTATGTCGCTTTGGCGTCAACGACGCCTACAATGCCTTGTGCTCCGTGAGGGAGCGTCTCATGTGCGACGAGTCCGACTGCTGTGATCTAATGGATCCACTGAGCACTCCAGAGGATAGCAGTCAAGACAAGGGCATAGCCGCTCGAGTTTGGCACTTTGCCCTAGAGCCCAAAGCCAAGCCCAGATCCAAGAAGGCTGCCAAACGTAAGGCGGTAACAAAGAAACCAAAAAAAAAGAAAAGGACTACTCAGAAAAAAGAACACAAAAAACCCGAAAGCCAAAATGAATATTTAGCTTTTGGGGGAAAATATCCTTAAATAAAGATTAAATATAACATTATCCTGAGTTCGTACGGCTATAAATGTCTGGTTGAATCATTTGATAGAGCGGGATAGCCTTCAGGCCTGATCTACCCATTCGAAACGAGACGAATTGGATTGGATTGGGTCTAGAGTTGCAGCTTAAACTACTCGAATTTCTGTCGACCTTTTGGTTCGGTCCAGTTAGTTTTGATTCGAATATGAAGTGCTGGGGTTCCATACTGTGGTTCGCAGCGGGACTGCTGCTTTTATCAGCCCTCAGTGGGGTCTGTGGCAAGAAGATGCCGAAGTACTGTAAAAGGGAAAAGAAACTGCCCACCACAAAGACGAACTACTGCGGCGTGGAATCGTGTGGCACCCTCGAGAACCTTGGATGCAAAAACAATATGGTAAGTCACGACAATCAGGACATCTACGCCGTGCTGAAGTATCCCAACGTATGCCCCCCCATATTTCGCAGGCATTTGTGCAGGGTTGCGCGGGTACGATGTTCAATGTATCCGCTGCGATGCGAACCTTTATTGTGAAGCAACACAACATCTACCGCAACCTCGTGGCCAGGGGAAAGCTCAACGACCTGCCCCCCTCCGGACGCATGCTCAAAATGCAGTGGCACGAAGAGCTGGCCGAGATTGCGAGATTTGCTGCGTATCGCTGTTCGATTGGCCCGATCTACCGATGCTTTGCCACCATGGAGTTCCCGGGGCCCGGCTACAATACGGTGTACAATAAATTTCCCAACGCCCAGGACCCCACGAAGATTGTCCGGGCCCAGCTGAAGGTCTGGTTCGAGCAGTACGTGTATGCGAACGCCAAGAGCATTTTATCGGGCAGGGCGCCCGGCGGGTGAGTCTTCTGGCGGGCATGGCGTACTGGATGGATATTGACTCTGACATTTCAGCCAGGAGATTGGACACTTCCTCCAGATGGTGACGGGCCTGAGCGATCGCGTTGGCTGTTCCATTTTCAGGTCCACGCACTTTGGCTTCCGCTACCAGGTGCTCATCTGCGCCTACAGCTGCTCCAGGCAGAAAAAAGTACCCGCGTACAAGTTGTCGCGCCTGCCGGGCGAACACTGTACGTGCGGAGCCGATCAGGAATACAAGAATCTCTGCAGCACATTTGAACGGGTCACGAGTTGCGACACGCTAAAAGCAAACCTAAGCCATGACTCGAAACTCGCTAGCGCGGACTACGTGGACCTTTGGGGTGGAGATAAGGCAAAGAAAAAAGGCGCCAATTTACTCAGCCCCTTGGAAAACATCGCCAATTTTTTACAAGGAAGTCCTAATGGAGCGGGCGCGGATCAAAAGGAAAAAGTGTGGAGGCAGTCGTAACCTAATAATATATGTATACATACCTACATATGTGTGTATATATGCACAGTGCATGTAACGCAGATTTCACGCTTCGATTGTGCAAATACACGGCTGAACTGTAATGCCACGCAAAGATTTATTAAAGATGCACATCCATCGAGGGTTGGGCTTCCAGCTCTAAGCATATTCTGTTTGGCATTGAAATGAAATTGCAATTTTCCACCCTCAATTATCGATTTGCTTAGACAATACAATCCGTATATATTTTCGCATTCCACTCTGCACAACGAATTGATTTATTCCACACTCTGTTGCGGCTTCAATTCAATTAAAATCCGTCAACGATCCGCCACGTGGATATGCCCCACGTTCGAGAATAAATGCAATTTATGGCACTGGGAGCCGTGCTACACTCAATTGTACGTGGCCGGGGGACCGATATTAATAATAATAATAAAGTGTGTAATAGTCGCTGCCATAAATACTCGGCCATGCATCGGCAGCCGCGAAAGGGGGGCGCAAACGGGGGCTAGAGATTTACGAGCTTGCCCTATGGAATTCGCATAAATATATATTTCTGTGACTTTCTCTGCACCACAAGAGGACAAATTATTAGACCTGACCCTCCCTATATCTGACTGGCAATTATATGCGATGTCGCATAGGGAGGGGGAAATAAATGCCTCGTGAATTAATTAAATCCCCTTGGACATCTCTGGCCAGTTACCTTTTGTTTAGTTTTTGGCTTTAATGAATTGTATGGGAAAACTATTGAAACTTTTAAATGAATTGCATTACAGTTTTATTGGCAGCGATTTCCATTTAAGGACGGGGCAAAGTTTCAATGGCTTTTTAAGCCGTTAACGCAGCTCAAAATGGGTTAAAGGCTCGTATTTGTTGACTTTCTGTTGGCTCTGAAATTGAACCGCCCCAAAACATTATTTACCTGCGTTCCCATAAGTCGCTTAGCTTCGATAGGAGTCAGATAATGTCCCTAGAACTGCAAGTTGTCAGAAAATTATTGACAAGTAATTTGCATTTCATTACGACAATCTATCAATGACGACGGCAAGTCCCGTCTAGGCGCCGTCATCAGCGACACTTCTGCATATTAATTCTGAAACATTTTCACACTACGAGCACGTGGATGGAGTGGGAAACGGGTACGGGGCTCTCACCGCGCCTGCGCGCTGGCTGCGTGTGCCAGTGGCCCAGTGCCACGAGTTGCATGCAGCAGCTAGCACAAATCGCTCCGAATCGGAGTCCGAAAACGACAACACGACTCGACGCGACACTTGTGTTGTGGCAGGCCAGACAGCATCCCAGTTCGGTGGCATGTGGCAGTTGAATCAAATACGGCGAGGACAGTGCACGTGCTGACGGTTGATTTTCTGGATGCAAAATATTACGTATACGTCGTGTGAGCCATTCATTGAGTGAGGCAACGGTTCGTGCGTGTGTGTGTGCGCTTTGGTGTGCTGGTGCTGGTGCTGGTGCTGGTGTGGATGCTCGTTAATTGTGCGCTTGACTCTTTGGCTTTGAATCGAACCGACACTGAATGCGAATTATAAACGATTTCCGGATCGGCCGAATGGCCTAAGCCGCTTACAATATCCCCCCAGTGGTTGGATGTTGCCGTTGCTTCTCCTTTTGCTGCTTTTGCTCTTCTCGTTCATCAATAAATTATTATGTCCTAATACCAATTGACAGCAATGGGAGCTTTGGGGAAGCATGAATAAAATATCAAAAGCATTTTGTGCCCCACAGTTTCCACTACAAAACATTGCCACACCACCCTAATGTTGCCCTCCCGCCTCCCCTCTCGCGAACCATCCAGCTGTAATCAGCGAATGAGCAACAGCAATTCTCTGAGGCGTCCACCAGGCCTATGTGTCTGTGTGCAGGGAAATACCCACACCATACGAGTGTGTGTGTGTGTGTGTGTGTGTGCGTATCTCATCCCTTTTTGCATTTATTAAATATTCAGCGCTTATACGCATTCGTGCGCCAAACAACAAGGATAATAAGAGGAAAAAGAAGATGGAAAAGGAGAAAAGAAAAGCACACAAAAATCGTTGCCTTATCTTCCCTTCGTTTGATGTTGCTTTTTCGGTTTCTGTACAGAGGAAAAAGCCAAACAATCCCAATGTATATTGACAATGTGGCCGCAGTTCTTATAAACTTACAAGCTCCACTCCCTACCACTCTCTCTCTCTCACTCCCTATCCCTCTTCTTCGCCTTGCCCCATCGCCAGCTAAGCGAATCATGTTTACTTAATGGATACGCAAGGCAACTATTAAGTGCTCCCACAGCTTCCCTTTCAGCGATGAGGAGAGCGGGGGCGCTGCTCTAACCAACGCTTTATATTTATTATTATCGCAGCTCTCCTATCGCTGCTGCGGCCTTGGCCAGATATTATACCCAACATTAGCTAGCCTCGTGGCATTTCAGTTGGCCAAATTAGCTGTATTTGCATTTTGGCCTAAACTGCAGCTGGCATTGACACTGGGACCCTGTCGTCGACAGCTGCCAGTAGCTGTCGTAGCTAAAAAAATAAGCTTAAAGTTGAAACAAATACAGAAGTAAAACCACAAAGGAGCTAAAGCTGAAGCCTTGAATACCCTTGCAGAAATTCCTTGGCAGCTGTTTGATATGTTGATCCGATCTCAATGGTCCCCTGACTGCCTGTGATGTCCTTTCCTTAAAGTGACAAAACCGAAGCACACACACACACACATCATAAGTATTATCAAAACAGTTATATCCTGTGCGAGGGTATAAGTACTCGCGGCACTCACACTCAGCTGTCGCCTGGCCAGTCATTAACTGTACTTATTGTCACACCTGCACACAGACATTAACACAGGCAAGGCCATTGAGAGCAACTCCTGCTGCTGCTGCTGCTGCTGGTGGGTGGAGGGGAGAGCGGAGGCACATTAGCAGCAGCAGCTGCAGAGGACCCAAAATAACACTTAATCTGAATTAGCTTCAAAGATTTGAATTAGCTTGGAGATTTGAATGTCCCCAGGGGCAGACCGTAGGCTGAAATGTCCCACAGATTCGTACAGAAATCATCCGCATATAATTACATGCGAGTGCCACACACCGAAGCGAACCCTTTTCCAGGTGCTAAAGAGCAAAAGTAACAGAAAATAGTCTGTCCATCCAAAACTGTCCGTCCCCCTCATTCTATCTGTGTCTTTGTTCTGCCAGATTCCGTAACTCCCTTCCTCCTTCCCATCAGTATTAGCTTTTTCTTTTTAATTTTTATGCGCACTTTGCTGCTGCAGGACAAAGACGAAGCAACAAAAACAACAAAAACAACAAAAGCAGAGGCAGCAGCAGAATCAGAATCAGAAGCAGCAGCAACGACACCAAAGGCGAGAGAAGCAAAAGCCGAAAAGAGAATTAAGAAAGTTGAGGAGCGAGTAAGAGAGACTGCCAGCGGGCGGTCTAACGGTAACTTAACTTCATTTGCGTCTGAAAACGCAGTTGAAATAAACGACTTCACGACGCTGGCGGATTTTCTAAAAAGTAAGTTAAGCCTACGCCATCCATCCCTTTGCTTCCCTTTGCTTCCCTTTGCTTTCCACACTTGTCTCGCTCCATACAATTCCCCTCTAGCAGTTTGAGTTCGCAGCATTCTGCTACCTGCCGCCGCCAGCAACAACTTGTCTCTCTCATTAAAGGTTAGGTGAGATGTTAGGGATAAGACAGCGACAGCGCGTCAGCTGTTGGAGAAGCAAAACAGGAAGTGAAGGCGAGTGGGAGAGCGGCAGAGCATTTGGACAGTTAGCATTGTTTCGAGCGGACAGCACAGCACAGCACAGCGCAGAGTGGAGCGGATGTAATGCTGATGTCAGCTATTTCTGGGACTTCGGATTCCTTTCAGCCAAGTTGGGTCGGGGTCGGTGCCGCATTCCAAGCTGTTTCCTTCCGTTAATTCTGCACTGAATATCCTACAACGGTCGCTTCGCTAATTAAATTTCACGCTCGGGGGCATAAATACTCGTCAGCAGATGGAAGAATCTTTTGATGCTCGTAGCACACTTTTGCGGCACACTTTGAGGTTTTGTTTCTGTTCACAGGCAATTGCATTCTCACTCGTCGAGTACGTCGTACTCATACTCGTACATACGGGCGGATGGAGCCGGATGCAGGTGCATGCGGCATACGACATGAGGCAGCATTATGGCGGCGTTTGGTTGGGCCTTAGGTGACGATGGCAACAGCTGGCAGCACAAAAATATTAAAAGTTTTTTACCTACAGCATCCTGGATGGTGGCTGCCACATGGCACATGCCACATGCCACATCCTCTCGCCATAATGCTACTGCCAGGGAGAAAAACCAAAAATTGTCACACAAATATGTCGCACATCCATGGACAAAGGGGATTTATGTGCACGAACATTACCACTATCGTGTGGCTCGGCTCGGCTCGGCTCGACTCGACTCGACTCTGCTATGACAATGACAGCGATGCAAATTTATGCTCGGCCTGGCCCAGTGTGCACTAGACAATACATAATGCTTCCAACATAAAGCGCTCCAAAACCACGGAGATCCAAACACAAACACTGCACTCGATTTTCCCCCCCCGATATGATTTTCATTTTCATTCTCATGGCCGAGGCATGTTGCAGAATATGCTGTAATGCGGGAAAGCATTAAATAAAAACCGAAAATAAAATTATGCTTATTTTTCCACACCCCTCCATGCCCCATGTGGGGGATGCACTGTGGATGTGCTCGAGTGTGGCTTCTGAAGGAGGGAGAGAGAGAGAGAGAGAGAGGTACTCGCAAACTTGCCAACGACACAAGAAACTTTCCCTTCGAGCACTCTTCAAATTATGCTTTTCCTTCTCTCGTTTCTGTGTTTTGTGTGCCCTGTGTGTGTGCTCCTTATGGGGGGGAGAAAAACTTGCTTACACCGAATTCAAGAGACGTTAACAACGTTCCACAGGCGAAGACGGGGCGACGTGCTCCTCTTATTTATATACAATATTACAAGCATCAGAGGAGCATAGCAAAATGGGGGAATACTGTAAAAATGCTCAAGCTGATGGGGGGTACGAGTACATGTACATGGAATGGAATGGAACAATGATATGCCATTTAATTGGATTCAATATGATGTGGTATTTCTAAGCAGATAAAAATCGTTTAGCTTAATCATCATACAAATATCGTGTCTGATCTGTGGCAACGGCATTGCTTGTATATGTAATTAATTAACAATCATGAAAGTCAGCACATATTTCTGAGAGTAAGTCCCATCTCCTTCCAGCAATATAATTTATTTGTTTGTACTCATGTATTTGGCATAAAATGTTTAATAAAATGGCCTTTAAATTGATGAATCGAATTTCATGGCCTAGAAAATGTCACGCTCCCATCCCTATTTCATGCATGGCCATGGAGAGAACACTTGTCATACACACACGCACACAAATACGCTCCAAATGTTATCGCTTCGTGCTTATCGCAAAACGCATCGCAGCAGCAGCAGCAGCAGCATTATTTGTGGGTGCTGGCGCCAGCTAAGAGCAAGGGAAAGGGGAACACTCGTGTGCGACAGTTTGCCAAATTGTTAATGCTCAGCATTTGCCTTGTGCTTTTTCTTTTGGCATTGCCGTTCACTTCTGCTGCTTGCTGCCTGCTCCTTCGCCTTTCGACTGCTCCCTCGCCCGCTCCCCTTCCCCTCCGTCGACTCCTTGGACTTTGCCTTCCTCGTGGCTTGTTATTGTTCTTGGCATTATCATTGTATCGTCGTCATTGCTGCTACTCTTCTACTTCTCCTACTCCTACATATATATATACGTATATCTCTGCACGCTCCCTACCCACCCACATCATCTGCTGCTCATCTGCTCCTTGGCCACATTTCACATTTTTATTTTATTCCTCTATACGTTGTTTTTTGTGTCTGCCGACGCGACGGTCGTCGCCTAGTCGGGAGCGAATGAGGAGAATGTAATTCTTCTGCAGGCGTCTGGCGGTCGCGGCGCCAAACTTTCTTTATGACCTCTGCTCTATATCCTAGATAAATCCCTCCACCTTCCCCTTCCTCTATCTCTCTCTCTCTCTGTGTGTGTCTGTGTGCTGAATTGATTGATAAGGTTTCTGTGAACAAAGCAAAACAAAGTAGAATAGAAATAGAAATAGAACTTCTCTGTGCGTTGGTGCGTGTGTGAGTGTGTGTATGTGTGTGTCGCCACAGTTTATGATGTTTACGCTGGCATTTCAAGATTACGCACACACGCACAGCGATGATGACAGGACAAGGCAACATTCAAATACAGACAAAAGCTGGAAGCTTCCCTAGAAATGGCCGGCGGCGGCCGGGAAGCTCAAAAACTTTCCAAATAAAACGAGCTGAGGGTTGAAGGGAAAAGAACCGCAAAACGTTTGCTTAGTTATCCCCGGCAGCATCTCTGAAACTTTTCGTTTTCGCTTTAATTCCACTTTACCGTTGCTGTTGCCCTTACTTTTGCCTTTCCCTTTGCCTCATTTTTAAGCAAATATTGTGGCAGACTTCTACACATACACACACACACACACACTCCTCCTGTTTAAGTATGCTAAGGATTGCCTGCAGCTTTGTTGCAGGTTACACCCCACACATGTGACTCAATCTCCCAGAGTCGTTGGCATGGACGGGCGGACAGCAGAAACAACAAGGTGGCCAATAAAAAAAAAACATTCAACTAATTCTAGCCGCGTTGAAAGTTCTACGGTGAATAGTGCCCACTGCCCTGCCCTGCCCTGCCCAGCCCAGCCCCCCGGATGTATGCAACTAATTACGTGTGTTACTTTGTGTGAATAATTGCTTGTGTGTGTGAGTGCGAGGGTGTACTCAATGGCCATATCTGGTAATTGCCTTTGCTTTTTTTATTGCTTTCGGGTGCCAGCTTAATGACCATAGGCGTGTCCAGGATTTGACCCAGGCTCCAGGGTCGTCAAATGAACGTCACAGGCACACAGCGGGCACATCGGTGTAATGGGTGCACCCACCCGGGTGGTGCGAAGGAACAAACTTCATCAATTAAATTTGATGAGGATATGCAAAGGATCTTGGCAGTTCCAGTTCAATCAGCGAACTGATGTTTTATCCTCGACTTGTGATCTCTTCTCTTCTTTTTATAGAGTAAGAAACACAGACACAGAAAAAACACGGAAGTGCGCTGAAATATTGCTTTCTCGTGTGCGACAATGTCTTTTTGATGGCTCGCAAATGGCTGGGCTCAATTTTCTGGCTTTCTTTCGCTCTATTGCTTATCCGCTGCCCAAGCAACGATAGCGACCTTGAGCCCCCCGAGGAAGAGTGTGAGTGAGGTAGAACGAACATTGTGCAAAGATGGAGGTTAATTATCTGGCAGTGCTTTACAGCATACTTTTCAGAGTCAATCGATGGCGTGTCAGGGCCGCAGTGCCGTTGCAGAGTGAGAAAGAAGAATTCTTGTCAGTTGCCACCGCTACTTGCCTCACCCCACGCTCCTTTGGTGGCACAGTTTATGACACAAGTGTAATATAATTCATATTGTACCAAAAAATTTAATGCCGCCTGAAAAATAACTCCCAATAAATAATCCTTAATGTCCCATGTGCATGGGTGTGTGTATGAGTGTATGTGTGTGTGTTTTGCGTGGGTGTTTGTTCTGCTGATATTGCCGCTTCCCTCTGACCCATGCTCTGCTCCATTCATAAACAAGGCGTGGCACGACACTCACATGACTTTGCCAGCTCTCCCTCTCTGTGCTGTTTGTTGTTGTTTTGCGCTGCGACCTCATCCCATGCCGCATCTCTTGTTGCTGTCGTTGCTGCTGATGTTGCCAGGGCGCCGTCACGCTCTGACAGTATTATGACGTGGCTTGTCGCCTGCCCCAGACTTTGAATCTCGGACTGCGACCAAGGAGCAACATGAAACGAAACGAAAAATGTTAAAAGTGAAGCATTGCCGCGCCAAATTTGTCAACTTTGTCAACGAAAAAGTCATCAGAAAAGGAAAGTCCGGAGTGCCGAAACCTTACATACCCTTGCAGGTTCATTGTTCCCTTACGTTTTAAATATACATACGGGTACCTACATATCTCGATCTGCCGTAAAATCAAACTCCTTGGCCAGGGTATAAAATTATAATAAATTTTTTCGGTTTTTTTCGTGTTACTTTAAACTTTATTATTATTTATTAGCTTATGGGAACCGCCCTTTGGAATGGGCCCGCTCTTATGCCCCTTTGAGGCCGCCGTTGATTAATTAATTTTCGTGCACTTTCTCCTCACCACCCACCCTGGCCACGAACTTGCACCAAAACGATTCCCGGGGCATCATGTGGAAGCCGGCAATGCTGCCCATCATGTCCGTCGTGGTGCGTTCAGTTGGCTCCAGCCGGAAGCGCCGGACCAGTTGATAGAGCAGGGCCTTCACTTCCATCAGGGCCAGCCGATTGCCGATGCAACTGCGCTGGCCGATGCCGAAGGGGAGGTACGAGAACGGCTTTATCTCGTGCTTGTGGTCATCGTCAAAGCGCTCCGGTCGGAACTGCTCGGGCTGAGGGAAGTTGTCCGGGTCGTGGTGCAGGGCCACCACAGGAATATTGATGAGATCGTCCTTCTTGAGGTTCAGCACGAGTTTTCCCTCCTCGTCGTGCAGCTGGAAGTCCGAGCCGCACATGCGATCGAGGATGTAGGCCGGTGGCCACATCCTCAGCGATTCGGAAACCACACAGTCCAGGTACTTCATGCCCATGAGAGTGTCGTAATCCAGGGGCTTGCCTCCCAGTTGCGCCTCCGTTGCCATGATCTCCTCATAGAGCTTGTCCTGCGCCTCGGGATTCATGAGCAGCTCGTAGCTGGTGAAGCTCAAGCAAGTGGCCACCGTGTCGAAGCCAGCGGAGAAGAAGAGCAGGCACTGGGCCAGCAGATCCTCATCATTGAACTCGGCACGATCCTCCTGCGTGGTCGTCTCCTGAGACGCCTGCGCCGCCTGCTCCTCTCTAAACAGCCGCTGGGCTTCCATCAGCTGCTGGATCATGTCGGGGCGCACGATTTTGTGCTCCTTGCGGTGCTGAATGGTGCCAAAGACCAGCTTCTTGAAGTACTCCACATTGTTCATGTCTATCACGGGAACCCGAAGGGCCTGGCATTGGAAGAGGATCAGTTGGATATTTATCTACAATAAAGTCAGATCAGGGCATACCTTCATCAGTTTGGGGAGCAGTACGTAGAGCACCACCTTGAGGACGACCCACAAACTTAAATCTGAGACTCGCTGCCCAATGTAGAAGAACTCGTTGTTGGGGTCCTTGAAGGAGTTCACCTGGATGCCAAAGGCAGCCGTGGCTATCACGTCATTCGTGTAACGTGTGAAGAAATCCTTCAGCTCCAGCTCTGTGGCTCCATTCTCTGCCAGCTGCCGTTCTATGTACGCCACGGCCTCCACATTGCAGGCCTGAATCAGCTCGAACATAAGACGAATCTTGAGGCTGGTGAAGCTCGGAGTCAATGTGCTCCTCATCTGCTTCCAGCGACGATCGCGCAGCGACAGCAGGCTCTTGGACAACACGCTGCTGTCATCGGTGATGCCCTTTCGATGGTTGGCAAAGCTGTCGAAACTCTTGATGCCCACCTGGCGGATGAGTTCCGGATCTGAGAGATATATCAGTGGATCGCGCATGTTGAAGACGCCGTAGACCTTCTGCTGCTTCAGCCGCATGTGCACCGCGATACTAGAGAACGGGTGCGAAAAGAGAATATTTCCACATCGAAGTTATGGCTCCTCCTCTCGTTATATACATACATGTGCTTCAGGTACGAGGCTCTGCCCAGCAGCACCGACAGCGGAATATTTCCCAACACGGGAACTGGCGCCTCATAGGGCACGCCCCGCTTCAAAAAGTGTCCGACTGGAGGCTTGGCCCATTTGAACAGCAAGTAACCGATGAGCGCCCCAAGGGCCAACAGCAGCTCCTCGAAGACCATTTCACTGAAAGATTGGGAGAGGGGTGTGGGGGGATAGCTCCAAAAACTGAAAAAGCGCCGCTGCTAGCCCGAATGCTGAAACGCCACTGAAATAAACAATGTTTGTTCTCTTCGCTTATATACAAAGCTTTTTTTAAGGCAGCGAGCAGCAGAGCGAACCGGCAAAGTGTGAGCATGTGTTGGTGAGAAAGAGGTGTTGTGTGGCCACACAGAGAGAGATAGAGAGAGCGAGAGAGGCAGAGAGCGCAAGATAACTTATCAATTAGCATGAACATGTTTAATTCTCATGGAATATGTAATCAATGCATACATATGTGTATCAGATGATATAATACAAATATATGAAGGAAGGAAATAAAGAAGAGTCTTCAAAAATGTATTTAAAATTATGTTGTAGCCTATATGGCCTATAATACCCGCTGCAAGGGTATAAAACTCTTTGCTAGAAGAGAGCAAAACGATGACGTAAGAGGCAGTCTGTTTATATGTGCACAGATCGAATTTAAACTTGCAATGCTGTTCTTCTTCCATTGCCCAAATTATTGTGGGAGAGCACGAGAACATATGTACATGCACCATTCATGCATCATTCATTCATTTTATGTTTACTTTGCTTGCTAATTATTTGTACATTTATAAGCGATAGAGAGATAGAAATGTAGAGGGTAGGATAGTGGGTATACATATATACATATGTATGTGTGTATGTACATATGTACACCGAATATGTAACATATCAAACCAGTTTCAAATGTTGCCGTAATGTTGCCTTGTCGGGTTTGAAATGGAAATCCCTTGTAGCTTGCTGATATGATAGCAAAATGATAATGTTATTCAAATTACTCGCAATGTGAGTGTGTGACAGAGTGGGGTGGGGGGCGTTCGGGGAGTTGATGGAAAATTCAACTATGTATAAGTAGATTCAGCACTCATTCGAGATGAAGTTGGCATTTGGCATGTCATGGGTAAACTCATTGGAATAAACTAATTTCAGCATTAATCCCCTTAAGTGACTCAACTATTTATTATAAAGGACTTGGCGGGGCACGTGCTTGGGATCCTGCTTCTTTGCTTTGCTCTTCGTCGTCTTGCCAACGGAGACCAGAGCAGACCAGACCAGACCTCAAATGGAAGCCCACAACAGACACAGAAATTAAAGTTCTGTCACTTGCATCTACTACACGAAATCTTATGTACATACATACTTGCGCATACAGTTATATGTACTTGTATATGCCTTACTATGTGTGTGTGTTTCAGTGGTGTAAGCTTAATGAAATTGCTCAGAGAGTTTAGCAGGTTTGGAAAAGTTTTGTGCGTCCCTGGTAGCGCTCAGTATCCACTTCAGAACCCCCCACTAATGCGAGAGGCAAAGACGTTTATGTCCTCGGTCCAAACCCCAAAACTTCTTATGCAATCAGCTCACGTCTCAGGCAAATGACAAAATTTGCCTGCATTTAGTGATAGTCTAACAAGAAATTATTGCACTACTCTGGAGGAGAGCGTACCACAGAAAGGGAAGGCACCATCAGAGCATAGACGACACGCACAAATACAGTTATCTGTGAGCGCATGATAATCTCCTTTTGAATTCTGCGTCCCTCCTCCACCCCCTGAGAAAGGGGAATTTCAAAGAAGAGCTAAATCAATCGCAATCAGCTTTCTGCATTGCTCTCTTTTAAGCTGTGTGCTCAGCTGAGTGACTGGCAGGGTGTACTCATAATACTAAGAATAAGGTACGGCAATGATGGAGAGTAAGCTATTTTCATTCGACAATCATTAAAGCGGCTTCAGGTACTCTGGTGCACACAAGTAGAGCAACCAAACTCGAGAGAAGCTAGCGATAAATTATGTTATCCAAAGACCCGAACTCTCGCTTACCCGTTTTATTAGTATACCCTCGGTGGAAGGCGTCTGCTGGGATTCTAGTGTCAAGCTTGGATTTTCTTTAGTTCTATTATTGGTGGGCAAACAGTTTGTCTGCTGTGAAATTAGATCTTTATATTCTCTCTTTTTTTCCATTGGATTTCTAATGTGTTTACACTGACACAGGGTGGGTGGGGGCGAGAGTGTGAGATGGAAATGGCCATGTACTTGAAGTCATGTTTTTTTTTTCTTTTCTTTTGCAGCCATCACCCCACTTGAATTTAATGTTCTCTGCCTTGTTTTTGCTGTTTTCGATTCTGTTTTCATCTCATTCCATTCTCTGCTGTGGCCTTTTCATTGCAACTCAAGTGCCGCCCGCAAGCTTGAAAGAGAACTCTGTCTCCTTGAGGCCACTTCCCTGCCTGCCTGCCTGCCTGCCTGCCTGCCTGCCTGCTCCTCCCTTGTGGATATCTCTGGTGTCCAGTTTCGGGGCAAATCAAACAACCAGAGTAAATATTTTGACATTTCGACTCTAATTAGCCCAAATTCTTATGTTTTCTCCAATCGACAACCGATATGGAGGATACATGCTCTCGCGACAGGAGAAAACATTTGCTTAGGGCATGTATGTATGTGTGTATATATGTATGTATTTATGTGTTTTTGGGCAGTGAGTAAGCAGAGCCATTGGATTATTCCTTGAGCTTTGACGGGCTTCCTTCTCCTGTTATTCGTATGTTTTCTTCTCCTGCTCCCCCACTTGAGGTGCTCTCCTGCTGTCCACAAATAAGAACAAGATGAATATATTTATGTATGTGTGTGTGTATGTAAGAAATGCTCTTCAAATGCCTCGGAGCTTACCAGTGCTGATGCTTGTTTTTCCATGCTGGTTATCCTGCCATTCAGAGCTTACATTTTGATTTGTTTTGCTTGTTTGCAGCTGCTCTTTTGCTGTTATGTGTTCATAATTAAAATAAATAAATAAGTGGTAAAACATTGAATGCTAAAATACTTGAATTTTTGCATTCATTCTTCAAATTTAAATTGCAGAAGGATCCCATTGCGCCATCAAGTATGCAACATAAAGTGAGCAATGTCTTATGGATACTCGGATTCAGAGTCCGAAGTCCAGCAATAAAATACATCATCTAGAGCCGAGTTGGGACGCTGATTTCGGTACCGGCCAATGTCCGCATTGGATAACTGCTTATTGGAATGCCAAAAATGTTTCTCCCCGATAATCGCGCCATAAAAGGCTTAACCAACTGTATAGTGGAGCCGCCAACTGAGGGGAGAACATGCCATATAAAATGTTAATTTATTGCCATTTTGTGCCATTCCACAAACGATATTATTATGCAATCGCATACAAAGCAGACCAGAAAAACACCCAAAAAAAAATACAACAATGGAATATAAAAATATTCCTCTATGAGATGTGCGATTTGAGAAATAAATAGCGTTTTGGCAAAATTTTGCGGGTTTTTGGTTTGCTAAATCAACAAAAATGCAATAAATATTTGGAAAATAAAAATAAAAATACAAAACAAAACAAGGACAAGCCATACAAAGCACGAAAACAGCTCTGAGCGGGCCTATTGATTGCAATCCATTCCATTCGTTTTCTTTTCCTGTTACCGAAGATATTGGGCACATGGCCAAGACAAGAGCAGAGCATACCCATGGCCGACACCTGGCCGTACGTGACCAGGCAAAGATATTTATGTGTGTCGAAGGAAATCGAATAACATTTTTTATGCACGCATCAAATTTATGGGGCCAGCAAGCCTCGCTTTCGCCCTGTCTTGCTCAAATATGGACATGACCAGATAGCTGCTTTTCCAGCACTCTCTCCCTTGGCAGTTTTCCCGATTTTTCAGTTTTCCGCGACCGCTTGCACTGCCCGAAATTTCTCAGTCAAATATTTGCACACAGAGATTGCCCATTTCCAATGCGAGTCCTGTCAATCGCAGGTCTGTCCATGAACTGGGCTACGCAATGGGAGCCGACAGTTTTGCGGGTACTTTTCTGTCACATCAAATCACTTTTGGTCCACAGTCAGTCACTGTGACAGTGAAGCCTGTTGGGGGGCTCTTCTCTGGCTGGGAGTTGTTGGTGGGCTGATGGTGGGAGTGGGCCAGTGGTACTGCGCCCAATATATGATAAGGCTGTCTCTGTTCCACTCTCTGTTTTTCTCTGCGCACTCATTCAAATTTATGCCTATGCCCAAACGCTGATTATGACAAATATGCCATGCTCCACTGGTTCCACTGGTCGGCTCTCCATTTTTGGTTCTGGTTCTGCTTCTCGTTCTCCCTACCCATGCCATGGGGCTTATTATTGCTGTGGGCCTGTTTTTTTTGTGTGTGTTGGTTTGTTTTTGTTTGCCTTTCGACCAGTTGACGAAAATCCCAAAATAAATAAAAGTTTTATTATTAGCATGAGTAGATGAAGAGGGTGTTGGGTTGGCGGCAGAAATAGCACAAAATAAAATGGAATCAAAGCAGGATTTCTGGCTCCAGCCTGATTGCCACTAATGACACGCACGCACAAGCATACCCGCACATCCCGCACACACCCCTACACACACATGGACAGTGTGTCAACAATTATAATGTGCAAATTGTTTGATATGTGTGCGTGTGTGTGCGCGTCTGTCACCTGCCATCACATTTGCTTTATTGCCGCTCATTAGAGATGCTCAACGAGCGAGCACAAGGAGAACAGAACCAAAACCGATCCGAACCGAAACGAAACGAATCCTTTCTCTTTCCTCATTTCTCCACACGTTTGCACAGCTTATTCTTTCTTTCTTTTCATTCCCCGACACACGCCCTGTCCCTCTTTCCGCTTTGTTGCTGGGATTTGACAGCAAATGACAAAAGATTTTTGCTCACCAGCTGCTCTGACACTTTGATGAATGGGGAGGTCGCCAGGATTTATATGTATGTACATACATATGTACGTACAAGAGGGAGAGGGGAAGAGGGACACAAATGTTAAACGCTTTACAAATTGCAGTTCAATAATATACAACTACTAAAGATCAAATTGTGAATGATTTCAGGCAAAGAGAGTGTCCATCAATTCGCCTATCTGATTCCGATCAGGAACCTAAGTCCTCAAGCTCAGCAGTTGAGAAAGTCTGCTCCCAGAAAAAACCAAAGAAAAACAATGCCGGAAACGTTTGCGTTAAAAGCATAAGCTCTTGAAACCATACCCCTAATAATAGATTGCGTTTCAATTGTGCGAAGCCATATTTTCATTTCAATTATTGTTCACACTCAGCCGAGGATTACCGTTTCATGATTCATGGAACTGCGCTGGGCGCATTGTGCCGGCAACAACAATTAAATTGCGTATACGCAATTGTGAGGATTGTTGCAAGCTGAAAACAATCGCCGGACTAAGCCCAACAGCCCCAACAATAGAGGCGAGGGGTCCAGTCCGTCCCGGTCCCATCCGGACTCCGTAACTAAGCCCAAAGCCAACCCAACCAAAAAAAAAGGATTATTTTGATTATTTTGCGTGTTGGCTACGTGGCCATGCTACCAGGAGAGGGAGAGGGAGAGGGGGGAGGGACAGCGACTGCGACTGCGACTCCGACCGGCGGCTGTTCATTTCAATGAACTTTCTATTCAAACGAAATTTTATCATGCCCGGCCAGGCAGTTGTTCGCTCTTCAATGCCTCCGCATCTCCACCACTCGAGCCACGCCAAATCTGCGGGGAAACACAAAAGAAAGTGAACACACAATTTGCTTATGTTTTTCATTTTTGTTTTTTCGTTTTCGTTTCAAGATATCCAATCCCTGTGGCTAACGAGCTGGCTCAGCTCCGGCAGCGGGAGGAGGAGCAAGAGGAGCAGCGGTGGCGAGGATAAACGCTCCGTCAACGTTTACACGCTCCAGCAGCCGCATAAATTTCCGCTTCAATTGGACGTGTACAGCGGTGGTAATTGTAGCTTTGATTGCCACCACCAACAGCAGCACCAAAGGCAGCGAGAGCTGGACAGCATTCATCATCCTTCACAGAAATCAACACTTTCCGCCTCCTCTGCCCAGAAATCGCTGACCAGACGCCAGCTGTCGCAGAGTTGTGAAGGCGTAGCAGCAGCACCAGCAGCAGCAGCAGAAACCAAATTTATTGAAAGTTCAATGTGTAAGCCAGCAATAAATAAAAAAAAAAACAAACCAATACCAATACCAATACATGAACAATCAGCAGCAATAAGAATTTAAATTAAATTCTCACTTTATCCGCGCCTCTCTCTCTCACTCACTCACTCTCCCGCAGTTGAAGCTGAAGATTGAGATGGAGAAAGAGGCATCCAAGGTATACTAATAGTAACGTAAGGCAGACCACCTGAAACTCCTGTATAGAAGCAGCTCTCTTGCACTGCCTTACCTTAGTGCTAGTATACCCTGAACGAGGCTTCGCCTTCTTCTGCTGTTTGATTTGACTGTTACATTTGCATAATTCTATGCATATCTCACTCACTCTCTCTTGCCGTATTATTCTTTCCTTCTGTCTCTCTAGCCCAAACCATGGACGACATGGTCTATCAGTGCAGCAATCAGAACTCCATTTATGTGCTTAATGCCAGCTATAATGCATATGGGGTAAGTTATCCGCACTACATAGTACCCGCATGTGGGTCCCGTTTCTAAACTTGCATCATTATGCTGTGTCTCCCTGCCCAACCGTCTCCTATTCTGTCTTGCCTTGGCAGGACTTGGGCACATATGCGGCAACAAAGCGTGAAATAAATGGCAGCCAGAGCCGAGCAGCGGCAGGAGCGGCAGGAGCGGCAGCGAATCCAATTGAGGCCACTTGCTCCACGAGTGCTGCGGGTGTGGGTGTGCAGCATAGATTCAAAAGTTTTGGCAGTGCCACAACGGGAGCCATGGGAACGGGTACGAGAGCAGGAACTGTAGGAGGATGCGCTTCAAACTACGTAAATCCTGTCGCTACATCAATGTCAACCACAATGTGTTCACCGGCAGCGACGGCCCTGCAAAAACTGTTCAATTGCAGCGTCGGCAATGCCTGCCAAAATGTCACTCACACTCACAGCAGCATCCACAGCAGCAGCAACAACAACAACAGCCAAAACAACAACAACAACACTCTCCACGGGAGCGGCCATAACAATGGCGGCTGCCTGTCAGCGACCGTAGGAAGCCTGTGCGAATCATCACTGGAGAGCACAGGGGGAGCGGGAGCGGGAGCGGTAGCAAATGCTAGTGGTGGTGTATGCCCCCCAGCAGGTGCTCCACCCACAGCCACACAGCCGCTGCTGGCCAAGAAGAAATGCACCAATGTCAAATCAACGCTTATTGCCAAGAAGACAAAGTTTCTGAAATTTCTCGAAGAAGAAAAATGGCGAAGCGCCGCAGTAGCAGCAGCAGCCTCATCCTCAGCAACGGATGATGAAGAAAGGGCAGACATCAGGTATGTATTACAGCCATATATTCATATATACACACATACATACATACATATGTACACACTCGTGCATGTCAGTGTGAGTGTTTGTGTGTAGTTGAAGCAATCTTCTGGCTGCCGCAGAAACTTATAAATTCTCATAAATGTTATAAGGCATCGTGCGGCGTTGAAAATTGTGGCAAGCTTTTTGGGTTGTGGCAAGTTTATTGGACAAACGGTATTTTCGTCGAAGTTGCCACATGCCGCTAGAGTGGTTTCTCATTAACTCAACAAAGATGAAAAATTCAATAAGTTCCATTTGAAATAAGAAGAAATATCGTTAGTTATCGATTAGTGCCCCAAATACGAGTATAAATTGTGGCAGGCAGAGCTGAAATTAAGTTCTAATTGGAGACTGCTGGAAGCTCCCAATTCCCTCTTAATTCGAACCTTCTTCACATCGATTTCTACACTTTTTATGGCCTCGATTGTGGGTCATTTCTTGTCCCCCTTTTGGCGCCAGCTAAGTGCTGTAGGGAACTTGTCCGGGACCTGGCCGCCTCCTGCCTGCATTCAATTATCTGTCGGGCGGATACTTTGTTTCAGCGAAACTTTTCTGCATTGTTCACAAAGTCATAAGTTCTGATCCACCCATCGCTTAGCAAACTTGCTGCCACCCCCTGCCGTTGCCATCCGCTCCGCCCTTTTATGCGGCCATTTACGAAATTGAAAAATTAACGCGTTCAGCATAAACATCAAGCGTTATAAACGCTCAAAGGCGGCTTAAAGCGGCTCCCCAAAAGTTGATCAACATGCCAGCCCGTCTCCGGTTTCGGTTGTGGCGCAGGACGCCTCAATGGATTCCCATAACTGTACATATTGAAGTGCAATAATCATATTTTATGAGCGGGGAGCACGCATGCGAGACGGCAACACTTGAGCGGCCCCCAAAGGAGAAAAGTTGCCGCCAAAGCTGCATTCCCTGTTCGCCCTTCCATCACTCACACGATTTTCAAGAATCTAAACTTTTCGTGGCTCGACGCGGCGTGGCTCTTCGCCCTCTGTGTCTCTGCTTCACACACACACACACACACACACACACCCACACACACCCACACACAGTCTCCCCCCCTTATACTCCAGTTGCAATAATGATGTCAAACTTCGTTCACTGAAAATTTCGTTGCAAAAGCGGCCGGGAAAATTTCATTAATTTGCAGTTTCAGAGGGCGGGTCCTTGGTGCTGGTGGAGGCGGTTTTGCTTTGATTTATTAGTACCCGGTGCACATTTAATTAGTAAACGTCAGCAGAAGGAAAAAAATCTCTGTCCTCCCCCCTCCTACCCCCCATGTTGGGGCCATGCTTCTTAACCAGTTTCATTATAGGGCGACAGCACTAGTGAAATTCCTTGGCGCGCATTCATCAACTTTCGCGACACCGACAAGAATGACTCCATCAACTTGTGTTGCAAAATAACTTGCGAAATTTTTCAAAAACTTTTCTTTTGCAAGAATTTGCATTTGCACTTTTTCGCAGTATTTTTTCATGCCGATAAGAGCTTGGGGGTATTCTTTAATGGCCTCCGGTCGGGAATTTCCCTGTCCACAGAGAAGGTGCTTTTTTGTTTGGCAGACATCCGGCGCTTAATTTATTGCAGCCTGAAGTGAAAACGTTCCCTGGATAATGGTGCGAGCCGTGAGGTATTTTTATATATTTTATAAGCGTCAGGGTTCAGTATCGGAGAACTCTCTCACACACACACTACATTTGCATGCCCTTGCCAGCCTCCACACTTTATTTGCATTAGCACTCACTATGTACGTGTGCATACATGTGTATGTATTGTACATATTTGTGTGTGTGTGTAGCTCAACCACTTCATAATCGTTGGCCTCCTTCCGCTCCACTTGCAACCATTTGATGCGCGTTTAGTTTAGTCAACCAAAAGCTAAATAAACTTTCATTTACCATGCTCGACAGCAATGAGGCGGAGCCCAGCTCAGCGGCCACGTCGACAACATCATCATTTGTGGGCCACTCAGGCGTGCAAGGGCGGAACAACAATGGCAGGCACTTGAAAAATCAGAGCAACAGTCAGGAAGCTGGACCCCAAACCAGAGCTGGAGGCGGTGGAGGTGGAACTGGGACTGTGACCGGAGCAGAAGCTGGAGCTGGGCAGCAGCCGCAGCCCCGCCAGCAGAATAAATTGAACAATTGGAGCATGCATAATGAGGACAACAACAAACTGACCAACTACCCGCAGCAGGAGGAGCAACAAAAGCAGCAGCAACATCATCAGAGTTTTATGAAGGAGCAAACAAAATCAAGCTACGAACTGTACCAGGAGGCAGCCGACATTTTGGGCCTGAGTTGCAGCCTCTGTGATAACTGCCGCTGCCTGGACTGCCAAGTAAGCTGGAGGATGAAGATCCCTATACTATAGAAAAAGCGTATGCCAATCATTCACTCACTTGTTCTTGTTCTCTCCACCGTTAACAGAGCGGCTACTTTGATTGCGATGACGACGACGAGAGCTACTCGGAACAGTCGCTGATGGACGATGAGTACGATGACTACGACTACAGCGCGGAGGAGCTGCAGATGCTGTTGACCAGGGAGCATCAATTGCGACAGCAGCCCGAACAGACATTGTGCTATGCAGTGGACTGCCAGCAGAACTGCCACCTGCCCCAGGTTGAAGTCCAAGGCCCGCCAGCAGTAGCAGGCCAGAGGGAGGGGGATTGTGCTGCTACTGGGAGTCAGTCCCCCCTGGAGCCAGAGCCCGAGCCAGAGTTTGTCGGGGTCTCCGGACACCATCGTGTGGCCATCGATTTTGATTTAATTAACGCCACTTGCAGCCAAGTGTTGCAAAATTGTGAAACATTCAACGATTTGAGTTTGCTGGATGCTGGCACCGGCACCGAGCGTCCGTTTACGTAAATACAGGTGAGAGTGGGGTCCTTGCCGAGCATGCGGGCTGGTGGGTGGTATTTATGTGTGGAATTTTGTGAATTTCGTAGAGCTATTCGGGGCATAATAAGCGCATCCTTTGGCATGTGAACACATGAACGGGTGAGTTGTCAAAGCTTTGGCAACCTTCTTTTCATCTGGTCTTTGTCAAACAGTAACTCGAGATCCTTCCAAGAATCCTACCGACTCGCATTTCGGGGGTTTAAATCCTTTTTGTACCAACAATTACTCATTGCACGAGCTAAGACGAGCACTCGCAGGGAGAGGAGAGTGAAATTTTATTTGGGTTTTATGCTAAAATGAGCAAATTGCATTTTATAGTCGTATATCCGCAAAAAGGAAACCAAAAAACGGTAAGAACGGAAAATTCCGCTGAGTTGGCAGTGCTCAGTGGGGCGTGGATGAGGGGATTTGGGGCGGTGGGAGTGTGCCATGGACCATGGACCATGGTTTTGGGTTTGGTTACGAACTGGCACCGCAACAGTGGCAATGGCCGGTACTTGGTCAGTTTATTGCATTTAGTCAAGTTTAGTTGTTGTTTCCATGCACGATTGTTGCCAACAACTGCCGGCGGAAGGGCGGGAAAATTTGATTTTCACACAAAAATAGGCAGCAGAAAATTTCACATATTCGCCTATTTGTTGGGGGCTCAAAGCAATATGCAAAACATGCACTTTCTGTTAGTTTTTCATCACTTTTAGTCGGATAATTTTTCACACTGCTCTCGGCAGCAGCTGAAAGGCCAAAGTGGAAGAGCGAGAGCAAGGGCATGGAACTATGAAAAATTCAGTACCATCAGAACTGCAAACACGAAAAAAAAAACAAAAAAAAAACAAAAAAGAAAGGCAAACGGTGAAAGCAACTTGAATCGAATTACATTTAGAAAATTAAATTTAAAGAGCTGGCGGCCACCAAATCCCTGGCCAAGTGAATAATGACTGCTACAAGCGGAGGCAATAAAGAGGCTGCTTGTCCGACCGTCGCTGTGGCACCCAGAGAGCCTGCCACCGCCTAAGACCCTCGAGGCTTAATGCCCCGGACACGGCTGCTGCGTGTGAGTAGCTGCGATAGAGGAGCGTCTGTGTGGATGCATGTACATGTATGTGTGCCTGTGTGTGAGAGTGTGCCAAGTGCATTTTCCGTTTGTTTAACCATCCACCAGCAGCGCGAGCTCAGCGGCTGCTCATGTACATACTTGTTCTCCTCTTCCCACTTCTGGCCAGTTGCCAGGCACACACTAAATTCCGTTAGCAGAGACAATGCCCTAAAGAAGAATCAAAAACAGTGAAAGGGCGAAAAAGAGCTCTCCATCTCTAAATGTGCGCTACTTATGCAATCCCTGGCCAGAAGGAGGTCCGCTTTATTGAAAAATCATTTTACCTTAGATTCTCGCAAGGCCAATTGAGCACATTACACACACACACACACAAATACACTAAAATCCTCATTTAGACAGAAGCGACAGCCATAAAACTGTTCTCCGGCAAATGGAATTTTACGCAGTGGCCACAGGAGTTGGACTAGTCTGTGTGTGTTTTTCAATTTAACGGATGGACAGTGGCCACAAATTGATTGCAAAAACTATTTTTTTAAATCGCTCAATGAAAGCCAACTGGGTTGTGAAATGCAGCAAGAGGGAAACGATTGAGTGCGAGGATCCATTCCGTTTGGAGTTGAGAGCGAACCCACTCAGTGAGCGAACTACAGAACAGAATTCTTCTGTTAGTATTCCACTCAAGAGAGCATCGCTCAGTAAGCAAAGTGCAGCTGGCTGAATTTCCGTTATTATTTTTTGAGTTTGCTTCTCTGTACAGTGTAATAATTCCTGGCAAAAGTAAATAATTTAGGCATTAAGTAATGAATACAAATATAGCTAACATTTGATGATTGCTGCAGCATTCCAAGACTTCCAACTTGAATAAGTAAAGCAGTCAAACGGCAGCAATATACCGATGACGGCTGCCAATAAGTATGCAAAGCTTAAGTGCTACTAACCACTGTGCAGCGCGCTGCAAGTCCGAATGCAATAATTCCCATTAAGCTCCCAACCGCGCAACGCCCACAAGCTACGCCTCTGCCCTCCACTGCCTAATGATGCTTGATTTAATTAATGCCGCATTACCTACGTGGCCAGAACGGGCGCAACCAGTCCGTACTATACCCATTTAGGACCGACGATTGTGAGAATCGCCGGGGCCGGATGGCAATTGGAAACTGTAAACGTCTGCTTTGGGGAGGAGGAGGAGGGTAAAGGAGTAGCAGCAGGATGAACCACATTGCCATTTGCTGATGATGATAATTTATTGCCCCGAAGGGTTTGCAAAGCTACCCACTCCCCTTTCCCACTCCCTTTACATCTCTCATTCTCTTTCTCTGTCTCTGTCTGACTCCTTAGAGGAAACGATTTCCGCTTTGGGCCGCCCTGAGCGTGGGCAAATATTTGCAATGGCTTTCTATTCGTATTTTCCCAGTCAGAGCAAACAAATTGTTAACAATATTTATTGTTTGTTCGATGTTCGTCCGCTGGATCGTTCTGCGGCTGTTGACAATGATGAAATGGCAACTTAAGGCCCTGTTCCGTTCCGTTCCGGACCACGCCCACTCCGTTGGCAAAATCAGCGCATGTTACTTGACCAGAGGAAGAGATTCTGACCAGGACAAGACCGGAATGGCTGTCTGGATGTGCGGCACTCTGGGTCACAGCCATCGGACGGCGTCAATGCTCATTTCCGTCGACATATTTTCATTTCCTTTTGGCTTTTTGATTCGTTTTCTGTTTTTTTGCTGTTTGTCCATGGATTACCAACTGGAAACAACCCCACACCAACGCCATCCGTCCACCACCCAGCGTGAATTGTAATTCATTAAACTTTTATTGTACAACATTTTCCACCGGGGCTGCCCTTCTCTTCCTGCTTCGCAGACTCCAGCAGCACTTTGGCTTTGAGTTGTACTTCAATTTTAATTCGAATTTGAGGCAGGAAACACCCATTTATGGCCCATGTATAAAACGAAACTTTTGGCAACATTTAAAAAATACACAAAAATCATAATTAAACTTTTCAATAGAATCTCCATAAACAGAGACCCGTAAGCAAACAGAACGGCATTCGGTTGCTGCTAATTAGAAATTATAATTTTCCAGATCCTTTGTTGCCAAAAATAATCTTAATGAAATCATTCAAACAAAACTTCTAGCAATCCCTATCAGTGGGTGGGTGTGCCAGAGGGGCGTTCTCCTGCCTGGCGGCAATTAATTTTGCTCAACATTCATGGACAAAATGAGGCACGTTTCGATAATGAAAGCCGCAACTGCCACGCCTCCCCCGGTTCCAACCGACACGCCCCTACTAATTGTGCCAACAACTTGATTCCAGCTGAGCAGCTTGCCACAGTCTACAGTCTTCTTTTTCATTCATGCTCGTATCCGACACCACATAAAAGTAGAGCCAAACAAAAAAAAAAAAAAAACCTCCTGTGTGTTTGTGTGTTCTCCTGGCGCCCCAAAAAGTAGGCTATATAATTGTTGAAGCATCAAGCAAATGCCACAAATTTGCGAGTGAAGTGGAAGAATGGGCCCCCTCGCTCACACCCACACACACATATTTGGACAGTGGGAAATCAAGCAAGGCTCTGCCTCAACTGCAGTTTCATAAATTTGAATTTCAAATTCAACACACACAGGCACATGACCATAGAAGAAAGAGTCTCGACCGTATGCATACGGTGCCCTTTTGTCAGAACTTTTGAGAGAAAGTTTTTGCATTGAACAATTCTTGGCAGAACTGATTTAATTTTAGTAATTTAAAGGAATGAAAAGAAATATCAGGTTTCTCATAACTACCTATTAACAGAACATCTTCCTGGGATGTTATCCTGGGATGTTATGTCCGCAGTTAATGCGGACTGTATGGTACTGTTCCTTCTGCTTCCTGCACACAATATATACCCGATGTCCGGCTTAATTACAGAGCAGTGCAAAGCAAAGTTTTCTCTCAATTCTCAAAAGTTGGAAAGTTCTATCCTTATGCAAATTGATTTGTGTCGTGTGTTTCTGCAACATTTTCCCCAAAATTTTACCTTGTGGTCTGATTCGTTGTGTGAGTATTTGTGTGTGTGCAGATTCATATGTATGTATTTGATTAAGGTCTTATATGTTTGACATTTTAGTTTACATTGTAAACGCAAAATCAACACAAAACTATTAACAAGAAATAGTCAGATAAATTAATTAAAATGTCAGCCTGGAATTTATCTCACTCTTTGCCAGAGGCAATTCCGAAATGTACAAAACTTGACAAAAGTCCCTTTCCTGTGGCAAAGATTCTGGGCCCGAGGCAAGGTCTCTAAGGCGGCACTTAGAGAGCCGCCCAAGCGGGCATAATTTAAGCACACAAAGCAAAGCAGATCTATGAATTTTTTATGAGTCCTGCCCAGGGGAGGAGGAATGTCGAATATATGTGCATAAAAATTTAAATATTTTCAGAGTGTGTGATTTTTTATCGCAGAGCAATTCAGCTTTCATATGCAACCAACCATTTCCTTATCCGAGTAGTCACATATGTACATACATATGTATGTATGTATACATATATACATATGTATATTTTATACCAAAATAAATAATACAAGTATCGTATATCTCTCCCTTCTCATATTTGAACAGGAAACGCAATCGAAATCGAACGCCACAGCTAATTAAATGTTGGGAAATGGACAAAAACCTTTCATTTCTACTGACACCTTTTACAGTAGCTGCCAATTGCATGCGCATGGACATGCACACACACACACACTCCTCGGGGTGTTTGCATTTCATTTAATTTCTTATTTTGATTTCAATTAAGTTCCGACACGCCAAATGGGTAAAAAGAATATAAAAAAGTGAATGGAATAAATGATTTGCTTAACAAAAAGGCTCTCAAACTATATAAATATTTATTTTAGATATATAGATGTTGAAATCTAATATATATTTGTTGGTTTTTTATGCAAACACCACCCATGTGCGTGATGATAATTCTCATTATGATACGAAAACTAAATAAATGTATAGCAAACCGGAGAAATTTAATTGCAGTAAATTACTAACAGTGGAAATCGGAAACATTTTGGTTATTATCAGTGAATAAAATATATATATTATATATACCCATATGTAATCCCATCAATTGTGCCAATTTCAATATAATGGGAGAATGCGTTGCAAAATGATAGAAACAAAAAAAAACAACATATAAACAAAAACGTTTTGCTAATGCAATGAAATATATATCTATGTATGTATGTATGTATGTATATGCATATTAATACGCAGAAACTTGATGTTGGTAGTCTTTAAGTATTTAAGAATTTTCGTGTGATGCTTTGTATTATTCGTTCAATTGATTTCAAATCAAAAGAAACCCATTCGAAATATATATGTTGGAAAATGAAAAAAAATTATCTCAAGAAATATCTTTTTGGGTCGGGGTCAGGGGTTGTTCAAAGGAGAGTTCAGCGTTTTGGCCGGAATTCCAAACAAGCGGCCATTGGCTTTAATTAACCTGTAACAAATGTCAAACCACCGCCTGTCGTCATCTCGGTGTGGTACGAGATAAACAAAGGTACACCAGGCACATGCATAAAAGAGCAATCTGGCGATGATAACACAACGAGCACAATCTGTGGGTTGGCCATTTGGAAATCAGTTGGCGGTTGGCACAGTTCTGCAACGATTCGCAACGCAATTCTACGTGACGTGGCCAGTTCGGGGGAGTCACGGCCAAGACAGTGCCGCTAAAAAGTCGATCAAACGCTTAAAATGTAATCAAGTTCGGTTAGAGCCATATCTTATCTTGAGCCTTGACATATGCCAGAGGCTTTAGTGTGATTCACAGAGCACCCACTCATCCGGTGGATAGAAATCGAACCACCAAAGCAACCAAGTGTTAACTGATTTGGATATAATGGATAATCTTGGGGCAGTGCTTCTCAGCCTTTGCTTTTTGGGCTTCATGATCTTCCTGCTGCGTGTAAGTGGGCACAACACTCCTTCTACTGCTGCTCCTAGTTTCCCCAACTATCAAGTATCTATTGCAGGTGCTGCTGATTACCTGGCGCTCCTATACGAAGTCGCAGAGCCTCAAGGATGAGCCAGGTGAGTGGGCTAGTTGTTCTTGAGAACAAACATAAATATTTGCCAGAGTTGGGCCACTGAACTGTTGTAGTGTTGCCCGCGAGGAGTGCCCATTCTCCATAAATCATGAAATACATTCTCAATATATACAGACAAACATATGTACATACTCGTATATGCAGTATCGTACACACACTCGCATAAATGGTTGTCCATGTCAACAGATATATATCTATTTGCGCACATTTATCATATCGCCTCATTAGATAAATTGCCAGGCACAAAACACAACGAACAGAAAACAGAACCGAACAGAAATCACAACCAGCCGTAAGTAAGCCCCTGGCTCGGGTTGCTGTTGCTTGCTGCTTTGTCACCTTATCAGCTAATGATTACAAAGCAAATATGTGCGGGTGTGTGTAAGTCTGACCCATGCCCGGATGGGCCATCAATTCGGTGCTGGCCGCCAACCGTTCGGGCCAGTCTAGCTAGTCAGTTCGATCGAGCTTCGCCGCGTCGCCTGCGAAGGAATTGATACACTTCGATTCGTGTTACGCAAAATACAAATTAGATAGGCAAGAAAATATTATATCGAGTGTAATATGGCGCCCGCTATTAATAGTACGGTTAGCACCTTTACGACCACAATTGCAAATTTGACAAGCACTACTGCGTCGATTAGTAATGTCACAGTGGACCCAACTCCCGCTGGGTGGGCCAGCAATGGTGGCGGATATACCACGACGTGGGAAGGTCCCTATGTGTACTACTATTCCAACTATGTGATGTATATCACCCTGGTGTTTCTGTTCATCTTCCTCCTACCGCTGGTTGTGATTATGGTAAGCTGAGATCGGCTTGGGATCTGCACCTTCTAACATTCCGCTTACTCCCATCCCATTGAAGAGTGCCATGAAACGCAAGCGGCAGGCGCAAGTCCGGGCCCTGGCTCTGCAGCGACAGCGAGGTAATTTGTCAACAGTTTTGTACTTTTAATTCCGGTATCGCTATATGACCTGCTTGAGTGCTTCGAGGAAACCAAAGTTAATCAGTCCCAGGTAGAGGTAGTAACAGTTCAATTTGAGCAGCTCCCAGCGTTCGTGCAGCCGCAGCCAGAGGATACGCGAACGCGAGTTGTCCAGCTGTGTCCTCTGCTCCGCATACGACGATTGAACACAGCACTTGGACATGACCCAAAAAGCGGTCATGCGGTTCTGTGTGCGCAGCGTCGACTCAATGCCCCGAATCAGATCGTTCGTCTTGAGGATGAGCAGCATCTGGCGATCCACCTGCTCCAGGACATCCGAAATGTGAGGTAGCACCATGGACGTGTTGTTTTGTAGCGTGTTCTTCTGCAAAGGGGGTAACAAATAATCAGCATTAGAGTCAAAGAGAAGAAACTTGGATAAACGCACCTCTTCTTTGGAATATTTAACTTTGGTGATGCCCTGCATGACCGTCTCCCAGGGCCGGCCAGTCACCATGCAGGCAAACAGCCCGTAGAGCTCGCCCTTGATGCCCAGCTGCTCGCTGTGAAGTCGCATGGCCTTGCGGTCCACATTGAGTATGCTTAGCCAGAGCTTGGAGTAATCGTAGCGGAACTTGTCGGTCAAGTTGGCGTACAGCCCGTGGTCCAGCAGGATAATCTCCACACTGTGCTGAGGTGTGCGTCGCACCAGAATGTTGCCCGGATGCGGATCACTGTGCACGAAGCCCGTACTGAAGATCATCTCCGAGTACAGCCGGCCGATGCGATTGGCCACCGCAAAAGCGTCGATTTTGTTCTTCTTGATGTAGGAGAGATCCGTGACATGGCCACCCTCCAGATACTCCATTACCAGGACACGGGAGGAGCTCACTTGCCAGTAGATCTTGGGCACGCGCAGCCAGCTAAACTTCTCGAATTGCTTTGCCACCTTCTCGGCGTTGCGGCCCTCGTTGATGAAGTCCAGCTCGACGGGCAGGTTCTTCTTGGACTCCTCCACCAGCCAGTGGATCTTGAAGTCCGGGAATATTCTGGCTAGCACATTAACCGCCAGCTCCATCGTCTTCATATCCACCCGGGAGTTGCCCTTCACATACGGATGCTGTACCTTTACAGCCACTATCTCGCCGGTCTTCAGACGTGCCTTGTGCACCTGCGCCAGGGAGGCGGTGCCAAGCGGCTCCCGCTCAAAGCTATCGAATATATCCTCTGGATTGCACTTCAGGTCCTGCCGGATAACCTTGTACAGGTCCTCGATTGGATTCTGTGGCGCATCCGAATGCAGCACCTTCATTGTCTGCACAAACTCCTTGGGCAGCAAATACTCCAAAGCGCCTATGTGTTGCCCCACCTTTATGTACACTCCCTTGTTGGTGCATATCAGTTTCAGCAGCTTCTCGGCCGCTATCTTGTGCACCCGACTCTTCTCAGCCTTGTACTCGGGCGTCTCCTTGTCCCATTCCCTGTAGTAGAGTTCCCGCTTGTAAGTCAGAGCCACATCCACGACGGCAGCAGCGGAGCGCGACAGGCGCACAATTCCCAGCGAGTTCGGATCGTAGTCGTTGCTGTGGAGACTCAAGCCGGTGCTGACCACGCCAGCGCCCAATACGCCATAGCCAAGAACGCGACGCAACAACATCTGTGGCAGCAGCTTCTGCTGTGGAATGTGGATAAGAAAGTGTTGAAATTTGTGTGGTGTTTCGGTTGTTGGAATGCCAGCGCGGGAGAAGCCAGTCAGGTGTGAAGTCAACAGGTTGTCAATGCCGATTAGCCTTTGAGCTGTGTGTTTGGGGAGGGCTTTCACTCTTAATTACCCCGAAATTAGTTGGCGAATTAGCCACGAGTCAGAGTTCAATCATTCGTTTCGGTCTTTGCACTTTGTACTCGGACCCGTCACTGGCGGCCCTCTGATAGTTTAAATTAGTGCGACTAAACCTGTTGCATCTTCCAGACAGCACGGACCATACATTTTCATTTACATATCTCTCGATTTATGTATGCCACATGCACCTTAACTTTCACCTTTGCTGGGCGCCAACGCGTATTACATAAACGTGAATGAAGGTGAGCCGATCGAATGCTTCGAACTTGTGCAAATAGTTTCACTTACTAGATTTTGTGCGCTTTAGGTGGCGCTGCTGGTATTGCAGCCGCGTAGGTAAACAACAAAGCAGACACTTTATAGAAGCAACGAAATTATTTAGAAACGGTCCGACAGGCAACAGCTGCTCGGGTGACGTCACAGCAGAGTCAGCTGAGGTAACAGCGATAGTTATGTTAGGTTAACAGCTTAAAGCTATCGTTTTAACAGCTGAAAGCTACTTAACAGTTCAGTTGCTAACAGTAATTCAAAATGCTTTTTAAATGTGGTTTTCTTACTCGCTTTAACCTTCTCTTCCTTCAGCCCGTCGTGAGATGGAAATCAGCGTGATGAATAACAACTGCAATGGCGGTGCCAGCAGTGCCGCCGGCATCAGCAGCGTCAGTGTAAGTGACCAGAACGACCAGATAACTGTGCTGCCGAAGACCTTGGATCTGCCGCCCAGCTACGATGAGGCAGCATACTACGAACATAAGCAAGGAGTCAGCAATGCAGCCTCCACACTGACCATTGCCACCAACCTGGAGGTGGGCATCAATGAGCCGCCGCCAGTTTACGAGCCGGGAACCGTGGCCACCACCACGACTACAACCACAACAACGTTTCCTGGTCAACGGTCAGCCGCCTGTGATGTAACCGAAACATTCGACTCCGAAATCATACATTTTATTTCATACTTATACACGCTTATGCTTATCTAGACGAGAAATTTGTACAGTAATTCTTATGTGCTAATAAACGTTGCTTAAATGTTCGATTAAGCAACTAAATGCTGAAATCAACTTATCTTCAATTCGTTGTTAACTTTTCATTTCTTGATGTGATTCAAGAAAGGAAAGCAGGAGCCACGGAAGGGGCAGAGATACAAGAAAAGTAAATCGCTTCATTGATTTAACTGATTTAACTAAACTGAACGAATTTACACAAAAGGAATAATGAATTTAAATAAGTAATTAACATTTTAGTATTTGATCAAGTGTCGGCCCCCAGCGTCCATACGGATCCTTTGGGAGTATGAATATGTTGTCGCACCAAGAATAGCCAAGAACACGGGTCTCCACAATCTTCTTGAACGCTGGATTCTCATTAATAAGATCCCTGTAGTTATCATTCGACACCACAGCTGCATTCCACTCGTACGCCAGCTGCAATATGAAGCTAAAGAATGGGGAAACAAATTAATAGAATGGAGAGTAAGAAAATTAATCTAAGGCTTACCGATCATCGTAGCTGGTGGACATTTGACCAGGCAAGTTCTTGCATGGCGTAAACACAATCTTACCCTCCTTGTGCAGCTTATCCAGTAGTTCAGGATTCGAGGATTTGGTCGCATTTTTGCGGAACATCGGAATCACAGCCTTGACATTATGGCCCATTTTATCAAAATACTGCAGGCAGTATTTGATTCCCTCCGAGGAGAATATGTTGGAATTGCCATGTCTGTCGGGGTATTGAAAATGGGTTATTTATGATACATCCATTAGGATTTGTGTCATTGCGGAGCACTTACGCAAAGGCCACATTGCTGCCATCGATGATCACCGCTCTTTTATTTGATTTCGGCTCGTTATCAGTCTCCTCGGATTCATCGGTGGGGTTGAATGTGTTCATATTGTACTTACCAAGCTCCTTCTTTTCGGCGGTAGTGAACAGGCTGTCGTTCATGCGGTTGTTCCTCCTCTTGATTTTCTTTTTATTATTTTTGGACCTGTTTTCTTTTGGCTCGTCGGGTGGCAACGGAATGAAGTCGTCCTCCGTAGCAGTATCATCGATAACAATGACAGAATCGTCCATTGTTAGGCTTTTCTTCGGCTTTGGCGATTCGAAGCTGTCATCTAAGACGATGCACGAGGCATTTGGACAGGCCTTTTTGGCCATCGTGGAATACAACAATTTTTTCTCTGGTTTCGATTTCCTCAGAAGCGCCGTCTCGCGATGGCAGTCTTTGAACAGTATTTGATGAGGTGAGGTGAGCAATTCGGCACGACGCTTGCAGGCCTTTAACTTTTTGTCACTGGTAGAGGGCTTGTCATCCCTCTCATCTTCATCGATGCTTATGAAGGCCGTTGGGGGGTCCAGCAGCACACAGTCATCGTCATCGCTGCTTTGTAACTCCTCAATTATTTCACCATCCTCAATGGTATCATTTTGATGATTCGGAGTTGAGCCGCCATTCGCCTGAGTTGCATGTGAATAAGTGATCAAAGTCCAACACACAATCTCAACCTTACCTTCGGAGGTCTATAAAACTTGGGCTTGGGCAACACTTTTGCCTCAACCGGCGGATCCTTTCGAAACTCCAACCTGCGCTTAAAGTGAGGACTTTTGTTTATTTTATACTTCTTCTTAATGGAGCTCAGCAGTTTCTGGATGTATTTCCGATCCATTTTCTTCTTCTTTTGTGCGTTCTGCTGCAAACGCTTGGGCGAGTTCTGCAATAATAAAAATGCAATTATTTAATATCCGCCATGGTGCGCCTAGCCGTAATCTCACCTTGGCCCGAACATCTTTGAATTTCTTGAAACCAGCAGGTTGATCTCCCGCTGGCAAAGCGGAGCGGCCTCTAAAGTTAGCTACTGGTGGCATCGCGGTGCTGCCGCTGGCGACTTCTGTAACTTGCCGTGTTGAAGCCTAGTGAAACGGGAAAGAAATTTATTAAAAAATGTTTGAAAAGGAATCCAATGTTACTTTTCCTACTTACTGTGTGCCCGGGGCCCCTCAGCCCCTAGTTCTCAAAATGTGCTTTTAGTAAAACGACATGCTTTGGAATTTGTTTTTGATATACATATTTATCATGTGTTTATTGTGGGAATATGGTTGAGTTTATTGGCTATGTTAAAAGGGCTTACGTATAGATTGGCATAAAATCTAACTAGTAGTAGACAAATTTTGATTACACTTGAATTCGGTTGAATTAAGTTAAAATTTCTCTAGACTCCATACATGGGACTACTCAAAAAAAAAAACGCCCCAATCTGTCAAGGTACAACATCTCTGTCCTTCGAGCCGTTTTGGTTGTGTAGTGATTACATGCATTCGAGTGAGTCATAAATAGCAATTAAATACACAGCTAAGCAGCAAATAAAGAGCCCTTTGGAATCTAAATCTGAGCAAGTCGTGCAAAAACGCCTTACTTCTTCAGCTCGAGTATTTCGCTGCGTATATTGGCGCGTGCCTGCTCCTCGTACTTATCATGGTACTCTCCAGTTGCATATATCGAAGGTATAAGCAGTAGTGTCTCCAGAACCTTAATGCGCATGGCCTTGTATGTCGCATCATTGAGATTTGCGTATTCGGAACGTAGCAGCGTTGTATAGTGCTTGTACTCCTCCGGCGAGGAACTTGTGGACCATCAGATGGTGGATCAGATAAGCAACAAATTCGTTTTGTGGTTTGTGGGGGAAGAAGCAAATACTTACGCTAGCACCACCAGATCCACATCCTGCAACAAGTTGGCCTCATCGTCGTGGCACCAATGCACTTCGTTCTCGGGAGTTTTGCGTCCCAACAGGTTGCACACCAGACTCTTGGTATCATCCTGTTTAAGACACGCCGCAACACACCCAGCTATAGCCCATGGTCAAATGATGTTGCACTCTTTTACTCACGTCTTCGATGGTGGCTGCCTTGCAGAATTCCTGGAATACCTCGCAGTTCTGCTCCACACAGCTGCGGTTGCCATCAAAGTGGTAATACTGAAAGAATGCAGCCAGCACAATGTTCGGATTGGTGCACTCGGCCAGGTGGGACTCCTTGCGCTGCATCATCTGGTGCCAGTTGTGGTAGGCTCGCCTGGGACTGTCGGTACTCAGATGCTGCTGGATGCGAGTGAACCACTCATTGGCCACCTGGTCGGGCACATCGTAGTGGGCGCAGACTTTCTTCCAGATCTCTTCCATTTTTCGCTGAGTTTTGGTGGGTTTGTGTAACTGCTTTTGGCCACTTGGATTCGATTGCGACTTTTTCTGCCTTCGATTTTCCTGTGTGCGATGGTCTGATTCGTGTCAAGGTTTTTCGGGAACTTGCTCAATTTTTGTCTGTACTTAAGTTTTTGGGTGCTGTGCTGCCTGGCTACGGCGATTGCGCAGTGACAACAAATACCACAACAATTCAATTCACACAACAATCAACAACACAATACACCAAACAATCAACACACGCGGGATAATCGGAAATGCGCGTCTTATATTTAATAATATTTTCTTATATGCTATGACTGCACTCACCGTGATTCTCGTTTCGGCGCGAGAATTATCTACCTGCAGGCCTAGGGCAGCACCCGACCTGTTGAGCAGCATCCGCGTGGCTTTGGGTGAAGCCAGTCCATGTTTGTGCAGATGACGATGTATCCGCCTTGTGGTCCTTTTATTCTTACGTTTAGCCATCAAAGGATAGTATATGTTGATATTAATTAACTGCTATAACAAGGAATTTTGAAAGTTCTTGGCTCGTTTTAATCAAACGCGCAGACCGCACAGCTGTTTTTTGTCATGTGCTGCGGTATTTTTCTGGTAGCTATTTCGGTGTACTTTTTTATACTTTTTGGTACATTTTGACGTCGAAATTGAGCTGAGGTATATTTATGGTATATAATGGTGTATTTAATCAATGTATTAATAAGGTAATTCCCACTTTTACGAGACACCATTAACTGAAAGAAAATATGTTAGACAAATCTCTTGGGTAAAACAAATTCAAGAATACAAATATTTAAAATTGTCTTCCATCGTTATATTTACGGTATATTTCGGTATATTTCTGAGGTTCAGACGGTATATTTAATCGAAAATCCGCGGTCACACTCTTGACAACAAATTCTTGCCAAAAATCATAAACAAATAAAATTCTGAATGGAGCTGGACTTGTAAAACAGATTTCTTAGCATTTGATAGGACAGCATCATGACAGCCTGTGTTCTTTGTTTGGCTTCTTCCGCTGCTTCCTATGGCCTGCTGTCCGAAGAAGGGATGCGGCTCAACATAAGGGAGACTATTAGCAAACATTTCCTGTTCTTTGAGGCAAGTTAATGAATAGTTGCATATTCCCAAGTATAAAGTCTCAATTTTGGACCCTTGCAGCTACCCATTGCGGACAATAATTCGGAGGTGATCTGCCGCGAGTGCTGGCAAAACGTGAGCAGTTTCAATGAGTTCCATCAAAGGGTGTACATCCTGCACCAGCAGAGGCAAAGTGACTCGAAAAGTGTTCCAATCGAGTTCTGTGGCGAGACAGAGGCCATTAATCCCTTATTTGCGGTTGAGCTGGATGCCCTGTCCGAGGGTTTCTTTGCCCCCAGCGCGGTTAAGGTGGAGGTGAACGAATTGGAGCCGCTGACCAAGGTGGAGTTTCTGGAGGATCCGGTGGACACTGAACCCAAAACTGCTACGAAAAGGACCAGTGGAAACTCGGATGGGCCCACAAATCCGAAGCGGCGCATTAAGAATGAGCAGGCACTTGGTAGTGATTCAGATGGAGACGTGCCGCTGGCGGACTTCTTAAACACAGATGCTAAGAATGATTCGAATGGATCGTCCGAGAGAAACGGATCTAGCAAGGGCCGTCAGCTGAGAAGAAGTACGCGGCGCGGCCGCAAACCAATGCCCAAGCTCGAGTCTCCTGATCGACTGAAAAAGGAATTGGCCTCAGATGACGATGATGATGACAATGACTTTGTGGCCGCCGAGGCTGTCTTGGGAACGGAAGACAGCGCCAGCTCCTCCTCCAGTGACAGCAGCGATGGGGACTCGGACAACAGTTTGCCGGACTTTGAGCCGGAAGAGCGATACGCTGAGATACCCAAGCGTGTCGTAGTGAAGCCCAAAAAGTACCGAAAGCGCCCGAAGCCCTTGGTTCCACCCGTCCGCATGAGCCGCGAGGAGATCGAACGGCGCAAGCTCCAGCAAAATGAGTATGATGAAATTATCATCAAGTTCTTCAAAAAGCTGTCTTGCGAAATATGCAATCTCCTGGTCCAGAATTTCGCCGACATGCGACGACATCACCGACTCACTCACAACATCGAATCGGGCTACGTCAGCTGCTGCGGAAAGAAGTTCACGATACGCAAAAACTTGGCGGAACATGTGATGGTTCACCAGAATCCAGACCACTTTATGTGCTCCCAATGTGAAAAAGTATTTCAGGACTCCCGCAGCTTGGAGGTACACGAGCAATCGCACACGACTCCGCCCGACCAGACGGATCCCAAGGAGAAAAGGGTATATCAGTGCGAAAAGTGCCCAAAAACCTTCACCACCAAGGCAGCCATCGAATATCACAATGTGTCCAAGCATGTGGCCAAGTCCGATTACAAATTCACCTGTCCAGAGTGCAATAAGAAGTTAGTAGTTGGTCCTAAGATTTCCATTTAAAACTCCAAGCTTGATGTTGATTCTTTTACCGTTTCAGAATTCCCACAGAGCGCAAACTGAAGGAGCATATGCGCTATATGCATGACCCAGAGACGGCCATCATGTGCGATAAGTGCGGCAAGACACTGCGCTCTCAAACGAATCTCAAAAAGCATCATGAGCTGGAACATTCCGACGAGCCCCGTCCCAAGCCCGAGCCCGTGCAGTGTGAAATTTGCGGCACTTGGCTGCGCCATCTGTCCGGCCTCAAGCAGCACATGAATACAGTGCATGAGCCGCCGGGTGGTGAGCATCGCTGTCACATCTGCAACAAAACTTCAACAAACTCCAGAGCCCTCAAGCGACATATTTACCACAATCATCTCTGCGAACGAAAGTTCAAGTGCGGAATGTGTGAAAAGGCTTTTAAGCGACCCCAAGATTTGCGAGTAAGTCTATCAATCAGTCTTCTACTATCAATGGATGACTAATCCAGATTGTATTTTCCCTCCAGGAACACACTTCCACTCACACCGGAGAGGTCCTCTACACCTGTCCCAACTGTCCAATGACGTTCTTTTCGAATGCCAACATGTACAAACATCGCCAGCGCCTGCATCGCGCCGAATGGGAGGCAGACCGCAAGAAGCCGCTGCCGCCCAACATAATGAAAATCTCACAGGGTGCCTCCACAGCCATGAAGAAGCGTCAGAGCAGCACGTCCCTGTTCCCACAGTCGGAACCAGCGCTAGCTGGTGCACAGTTGCAGAAGCAATAGCATTTGAATATTTACGATATAGATAAATCGTCAACCATTATTATTAACTCACATTTAACACAGATAAGTTAAGTCATAAATAAGTAGACGTGAACATATTTACAACAACACAGATGGGGCCCGGGGCCCTTGTCTTATCTAACTTTCGTCCTGCGGTATTTTTATGGCTTCGCACATGCCCTCCTCTCGATGAATGCTCGCCCAGTGGCGAGACAGCTCCAGGCTTATGGCCTTGCGGAACACCATGCAGGAGATATGGGGCAACTTTTCGAAGCGTACCCTGAGCAGACCCAATTTGGCCAAGGAGTAGCGCCAGTTCTTCATTAGGTGCGCATTCTTGCCCACATGCTGAGAGTCGGGCGTTATGATAACGAGTATACCTTCGGGGCGTAGAAGATCGTACGCTTTTCGGCAGCAAAGAAGGCGCTGTTCAGCACTGGGCATGTACTCCAAGAGCAGACTGAAAATAACACACTCGTAGTGGGTGGCGGGCAGACTCTTCACGCTGCCCTCGCATACCTCTGGCTCTGCGAGTCCTGGCGTAACATCAACTTTAAGGAAATCTGCTTGGAGCACGTCATCGGTGGCGGGGCACAAATCAATTGCTGTCACCTCCAGATGCGGCGAGTTGGCAAACGGATTGAAACAGCTTCCCACGTCCAGCACCCGCAACCTGTCTGGTGGCTCCTCCAGGAACTGGCAGGTCACTTCGCCCAGCTGCTGTTCGCTTGTGTATGACTTTAGCAATCTCTGTTCCCGCTGTCGCTTTTGCATGTATATGCCCTCGGTAAAGAAGTACTTGGTTATGTAGTCAATGGCCCACTTGATGCGGCTGCGGGCCTGCAACTCCATGCTGCTGTCATTCCTCTCCATGTTGCTCTCCCATATGGATGCCAGCTCCCGCATGGCATTGGCGTACTCCAACAGACGTTTCGCATTCTGTGGACTTGTGTGCTCCTGCCAGGCCACCTGGGCTCCATGCTCCTTTGTCAGCCGCCGCAGACTCTCATGGCAGCTTTTCACAATGTTCGCCAGTCGCAGATGATCTTCGGTGGCCATTATTTTTGTGATTAACAGAAACACAATTAAACCCGATTAATTGATTGATTTGTTTGTGCGTCAGTGTGACCGCGGACTTACCGATCAAATATACCGTCTTATTCTCAGAAATATACCAAAATATACCGTATAATTTTCAAAATATACCGTAAATATACCAAACACCTTGAGTCAAGCCGCGGAAAATAATGCTGTTTGAAAATTCTTTTTTTTTAAGAAAACCATTCGTCTTGGTTTGTAAATACCCACTGGTCGACTACATATAACTGTTACACTCTAATTTTATTACATTGATTTTGTTACACACATGCATCAATTACTCATTTCCGTTCTTGTTACCATGCCAGGACACTATATTAGCACAGAGAGCCACAACGTCCTTTTGTCGAGTCGTGGGAAACACAGGACCAAGGAACTCCATCAGCATGGGCTGCTGGCGCACCACCTCGTAATATTCGTCTGCCGATATGACAGAGTCCTTATCCAAGTCAAACTTCATGAATATCAATTCCACCATGTCCTACGAATAAATCAGACGGGGAATGGTATATAATCCCCATAAATTCCAGCCATAAACTCACTTGACGCAGCTCAAAAACCTCATCCTCGTCATCGCCCTCGAAAAATTTTTCCACATAGCGCTGGACAACCTCACGGTCCAGTGAATTGAAATCAGTCTTATCATATACCTGTAGATGTACCCAGTATTCATATTATACCAATCCACTTACTTGCACTGGATTTTACTCACTGAGAAACAAAAAACCATCTTTTTTTCCAAATCATCGCAAAAACAAATTTCAAAGAGCTTGACAAAGGACCGCAAATTGCATTGGCGATCGGGTGAGAACTCTGGATGATAGTAGTCCGGATCGTAGGATATACGTGCCACAAAGTTGGTGTTAATCGCACGATCGGAAATTCCAAATATATCTTCAACAACGCTACTGAGCTGCATTAACGTCATAAATTTTGCCCGCGGCCCATTCTCCATCGCAAATTTGTGATATATCATGACGACACACATCAGTTCGGTGTTCTTAAAGATGGTTTCCTTTTCCAAACGGACTATGTCAGGTGCGTATAAATAATTAAAGCGTGCATTTTCCATATAGTCGAGGGTCCCGTCGAGGTCCTTCATCTTTTTCCAAAATTTGTTATCTACTAAGAAAAATTCTACGATTCTAAAAATTTACTAAGCAATAACTTCAAATAACAACTGAATACTAAAAGAAATTTACTGAAATAAACTGACATATTAACTTAAAAAATCTTGATCATGCACAAAATGTTCCATACTTTCAGTTTTATCCTAGAAAACTGACTTAGGATCCTATTATTTAGCTTGCACATTTATATGCTAGAATAATAAAACCTATATGGGCGGGTTTGAAAATTATTTAAACAAATTTGGCGAGTTAATTACACACTATGTATTTGTATTTTCTTTATCTAGATTAATTTTACTTCGCTCACGCCTTAATTATGCCTTTTTATTAAGCAGAAGCAAAGTGACAGGACATTACAGCGCTATACATTACGGATGTACAGTAACTTATGATTATAATAATTATAAAAGATTCTCCTCGTTAATGTATGAACAGACATACAGGGATTTACAATTACGACACGTACCGTACCTACACATACGTATATGTATGTGTGTCTTAATTGTAAGTTTTGTAAAAAAAAACTTACAAATAAAAAATGTAAAATGTAAAAATAATACAGTGGCAATAGAGAATACTGACTTGGGGGGTCGATTGCGTTTTTCAGTTTTGCAAAAGGGAACTTATTCAGAGTGTGCTTGAGTATTTTTGTTTCGTACGACACAACCGCGCTTGAAATGATCATTTGTTTTGTCCAGGAGGCTTAATCGGTAGAAATATATATGTAATACTATATTGAAAATGCATTTTCTGTATGCTCGTATTGGTTTGTCGTGCGAAATGCACAAAAAACAGTCCATTTGTCGTGGCAGGCGGCGCCCGAGTGGCATCTTGAGTGTAGTTTTTTGAGTATTCGTATTCATTCGTCTTCGAAATCATTCATCTGACCGTGAGTAGGTCGGCTACATTTCGCTAAACGTATTTCAAGCTAAATTTTAAAGTATTGGATGATGTTTTCCTCTAAATACACTTACAGGCTAATTGCTGGCAATTCGTATTGCGAGAGTGTGTCTGACCCCCGACCATGCCCACTAATTGCAGGCACCACTGACAGCCAGCGCCCCCTCAGCACTGGTCGATGGCTTGACTGTGTCACCGTCCATGTGGACATTATTGTAGTCCAATTTGGCGTTGCATTTCGCTGAGGGCAGGGGCATCTGTTCCTGTATGCTTCCGTTCAGTCCGGTGCATTTGAGGCTGTATATACCAAGACGCGCCTCATGCTCCCGCCGCTGTTGCCGGAGCCTTATATCGTGCTCTTCCCGCATGTGTCGAAGCTTCAAGTCCTGCTCTTGCCGGTAGTATGCCATTTTAATTTCCTGCTCCATTTGCTCGAGGCGCAGTTTCTGTTCGTGCTCGCGGCGTGCATAATCTATCTCGGCCAGGCGGGCCTGTTTCAGCAGCTTAAAGAGGTCATGTTTATACTTTTGCTCCATATCCGTGCTGCTAATGAGGTCATGCGTGGCGGCTGGCGGGCTATTCGTTTCGGGAACCGTTGTTGCCGCCGACGAGAACTGCTGGGGCGTTGTGCTAGGCGCAACAGTGGTGGACGCTTCATTTTCATCGGATATTATCGACTGTGCCTGCGAGAGCTGTCCCGGGGAAGACGATTCGTTATTAGCAATGCTCGTGTTCATGGCTGCTTGGACAATCCTCCAACTTACATTGCGCTGTCGCCTCTTTCGCACTGGAGCTGCCTTTTCGTTTTCCTCTCCCATATCACCGGAATCGTTTTTATTGACCGTCGACTTGGGTTTGGCCCGTTTGCGACGTTGGGTGGGCGGCTGGGAAGGAGCGCTCTCTTGCTGCGAATCCCCATCCCCGCCAGCGGTGGATGGGGGTGGCGATGGTATGGCCATGGTAGATGTCTGCAATGTGTCCTCACTGGCGTTCGTTGAGTTGGGCAAGGCGGCCAGCGGCATATCTTCATCTTCGTCAATATCGAGCAGTTCCTTCTTGAGTGTGCTCACGGTGCCGCCATTGGTGTTGGCCCCGCGGGTTTGGCTCCGCGCTGTAACCGGATCCTTTTGCATCTCCTCCATAAACTCGATCATACGCATGCCCTCCAGGGGATCGGACTTGGGCTGCTTCTGCTGATGCTCGCGCTTGGCCGAGTTCTTCATGCTGCGCCATTGCACCTGAATTTGCTCGAGCAGTCGGTGCCGAAAGTTTAACGCATTAAATCTGCAATGCAAATGGAAATGTTTCTTAGTATATGTACCAAAATACACATTTCTGTTGCGTTGCGCAATATATGTATGTACACTTACTGTTTGGTGATTTGGGACCAGGCCAGACGCTTGGCTTTGATGCTCTTGGCATCCACACTGCGGTTCTCAACGAACGCCACCTTTGATTTGATAACCTCCAGCAGCAGTCCCCTCTCCGCCTCTTCCCAGTTGAGGGAGCGTTTTTTGCGCGTGCCTTTCTTCTTGCCACCCGCGCTTTCCTTTTCAACACACTCCTCCACAGCATCCTCAGCGTTCTCCACCCCCTCATCAGAGGCGATTGCGACTTTTGCTTTCAGCTCCGCCTTCTCATCCTCATCGTCTTCCTCCTGCGGCGACGACGAACCCTTCGTCAAGAGATCTTCCATTTTCATTGTTTATTATTTCTTCTAATATTTATTTACTTAGTTTCTGATTTGAATTTCAGGCTGGCTTGCAAAAAAAATCGTATTTGATTTCTGTATATACTGGACAGTGTGACCGCGGATTTATGGATAAAATAAACCGTCTTATCCTAAGAAATATACCAGAATATACAATATCATTTTCAAAATGTACCGAAATGGATGAATTTTCCCTATTTTGATTTTCTGATCAAGAAAATACTAATTACTGGAGGCCTCAGTACTGATCATATAATTTTCTACGATAAATTGATTAATATCCTAAAAGATTCGCTTATTTTAGGTACTCAGTTCTAATTGATTATCCATAATATAGGGTTTAATTAATGGTCTTTTGATGGAAAAGTTGATGTTTTACATAGATTTACTACACGCTAACTACACTCTTGCAGCATACTAACTACATATATATGTAAATTTCGACAGAGCCACTGACGAAATAAATCATATTCCCCGATTTTGATATTCGATTTAATATTACAAGCTAGCTAGAGCTTTAGGCAATACGCACGTAATTTAATATGATTGATGAATCAATTTCACACGGGATTATGGACTTATTTACAAAGCAGGATTCAAGCAAAACAAGTAAAAACATAAAACGTAAGTATGTACGGAATGTGACGTCATTGTTGCTGGTCAATACGATTTATGCTATGCGTATGGACATTTTGTGTACCCTATCACACCATTTAACCAATGTTAAATTTGAAGAGTGGTTCCAAGCAGACTAATTGCTGATATTAATTTTTATTTTTATTTAAATGTGTCGCTGTTAAACGATATGAAAATGATATTAACGAGAAAAACATAATCGATCGGAACGGAACGAACTCAAGAGCGATCTAGTTCTAGTGCTGAAAAGTGTCTTTGTACAATTGTCCCAGCTAGCTAGCTTGGTATATTTACGGTATATTTTGAAACGGAAAGGGTATATTTCGGTATATATTTGAGGGTCAGACGAGTATTTTATTGATAAATCACACTGAACTGTCACACTTTGTAAGTAGCAGGACCGAATTTTTCGTTTCATAAGAAAAATATTAAATATATTTTTTTTAACACAGCGAGATGGCTTTCGGTGACTATCCAGTTGAATACAACCCCAAGGTGCATGGGCCCTACGACCCAGCCCGCTTCTATGGCAAAGGTAAGCAATTTTTCAGAGTTACGTAATTTTCACCGCAAGAATCTTGCGGCAGGGCTGGCCAAGTGCGAGCAGAGCACATTGGCACGGATGAGAGACGAGATTCAAAGTAATTTACATAATTAAATTTCTTTGCTTGCAGCTGATGTCCCATTCGGACAGGTGAAATTGGGCGAGTTGGGCTCCTGGTTTGGTCGCCGTAACAAGACCCCCAATGCCATTGTTGGTGCCGTCAGCCGTGCCTGGTGGCGCTGGCAGCATAAGTACGTTTTCCCGAAGCGTGCTGGCATTGCACCCTTCTTCCAGCTGACCGTGGCCAGCATGACGTTCTTCTATATGATCAACTACACCAAATTGAAGCACCACAGGAACTACAAGTACCACTAAACCCGGAGGACTTCAGTTCCAGCTGCGATGGTGTGCACTTTATTTGTTTTAAAACCTTCAAACATTGCGACTCACGTTCGATAGAGTGCGGGAGGTGGGCTGACACTACATAATACTAGTACATTTGGCTTTTGTGTTTTCAAAACGGCTTAAGTGAATAAAACGGCTGCGAATAACAGTGCTGCACCACAGACTCAATCATTACGACACTCTGCCACAGCATTCGGCCCGATATCCAGTTCCGCCTCACGCTTCCAGCTCCTTGGACTCGCAGTAAATATTTCGCAAATAAAAGGTAGTTCGCGTTCGCAGCTGATCGCATGCCAGGTGGCCTGCGGCGTCAGTGCAACGCAACTCGCGTTGGCCCGCTGCAGCCTGTAATTGTGGAAGAACCAATGGCTGGAATCTGCTGTTACCTTTGGCTAAATGTACACTCTTACCCAAGGCCTGGATGACCAACATCCCATGCCCTGTAAAGAAAACACATCAAGCTCTCGTGCTGAGCATTCCTGAAATCGTGAAGGCTTAGGGAGGTTGTACAATTATATGCTAGTCCCACATAGGCCAGGAAAATATCTGGCATAGGCTCTGCTTCCAGCACTGGGCGCGTACTTCTGTTAAAATCTAGCAGCCATTGTGATAAGGTTCTCGTCCGAGACTCGGAGGCGATGTGCGCCAAGCTGCCGTCGAACTCGCTGGAGTTGCTGCACGCCAAGGATGCATTCAGATAGCTGCTGGGATGGGTGTACACCAGAAAAAGACCAACCTCTGGCACACAGCTATAATTCTGCAGTGTTGTTGGTCTGCCATACAAGCTGTAGTAGTCGAAGCGGCTGTCATTGACCATGCCCCCAAAGGTGCTATTCTGCGGGCACTGCAGTACATGACAGTTGAAGAACTCTGCGGGCTGCTCAAATACCGTCAATCGGCTGCGCAAGTCCTTTTGGCGGGCACTGGAGCTGTTGCCAGAGATCGGCTGAATAAACTTATTCCTGTTTCGCGTTGAACCACCTGGAGCGTAGTTCAAGGCCAGTCCATGCAATTCACGGGCCAAGTTGGCGCAGTCCTCCAAGGATGATGTGCTCTCCAGAGCCAGTGCATCGTCCGCCAAAGCCCGTTGACACTCCCGAACCAAATGAAACTGCAGTGGAATCGGCGCGTCAGTGGGACAATTCAGAGAGCCCATGGACATGCTCGCCAGCAGTTGTAGCAACAGAAATATAATAGTAGTAGACATCTGGGACACACACCCACCACAGTCCACACACGAAGTGGCACTGACTTCGGGCAGTGCCTCTCTGCTGTCCCTGAGTAAGATTGACATGGACAACAAAAGCTGAAGCTAGATGCGACTGCGAATGGAATTGTGTACGGTCAATTTGAGTTTATTGTTCAATGTGATTAATATTAACTTAGAGGTAAACTATAATTGCAGTTTAAAATTTAAATTGATTTCCATTTGTATGCGTTATGCGTAAATTGAACGGCTCCAGAAGAGCATTCCCTCAGAATCGCATTCGGAATGCTCCATTGAAGCTGTACAAAGTCCTAAGCTTACGTTTGAGAGTGATTACAACATATTTATTGTATTTTAAGTATAGTAGATTTCTGCTTGGGACGGCTGCATTCTAATAAGGGCTGCTGCTGCCCTAGTCCAGAGTGTAGTGCAGTGTAGTTTAAGTTAAACAATGACAAGAAGTTGTTCAGGAAATTCAACTAAGAACGTGATGTGTGGATTTGTTTGTGTTTCTACGTGGACCTTTGGCAGTAAGGCATTCGATCCATCTGATCTGATAAATTACGTGTAGCAGTTAAAGTATTAAGTAGATACGAGTACAAATATCACCTGAGCGTCGGCTGCTGCATTCGTTGTTAGTTCGAGTGTTTAAATTATAGTAGTAGGTAGGTAGTGTAAGCATAATACGTGTAAAGGAGGGCTGTGATGTCAAGAGACACGCTAATGACTGCACCACTGCTTAAAGTGGAGTCTCTCAAAGAAGGGCGAGTCCAACACCGACTGTGCGGAACAGAGTTCCAGCTCCCTCCATGTGACCGAGCGATGCCAAGAACTCTGCGACATTAGCGGGCAATAGAGAGGGGACCCAGCCATTGCCCGGTAATCTCTGCACAAACATTTTTCAAACCTAAGACTATGCTTAAACCTAGGGACAGTCGTCGCTGGACGACTGACCGACCGCTTGCTCCTGTGACCTTAAACACTAATTTGCTCCCATTCTTGATTCGACGGAGTTGACGTTGACTACCGCAGCGGCACCCTGCGCGACAGAATCTCATCCTGATAACTGATTTAAAACACTTTGAGTGTTCCATTTGCATAATTTTGGATAGGTTGAATTTTGAATTTTCACATTGAGGCGGGACCCGGAGCCGGGCTGCGTTTAGCTACTGTGCGAGAAGGCGGTGTTCGTGTAGGGTCCACTGTAGATTGAGCTGCCCGAATTGGACACCGTCTTCGTGCTGCGGCGAGCCATGATGCACAGCACAGCTGCGACCACAGCCAGCATCAAAATCAGGCCCGCAATGGCAATGGCTATGGCAAAGGTGCGCTGCGACACACACAGAGCGTCCTCCAGAGTCTACAATTGAATCGAATGGTCAGAAATGGTGGAGATCGTATTATGTGTGAACTTACCTTCTCCTTGTAGACTGCATCATCGTCGCTGTCGTTGGCATTCTCGTTCTCGTTGACGTAGAGGCCGGAGAATACCTCAATTGTGGCTGGTAAACCTTCCTCGTCCTTGCTATCGACAGCAGTCTGACGCTTTGGCCGCTTGCCGCTGCACAGAGGCGCCTCCTGGCATGTCGGATCTTCCAGAGCACAGAGGCGCACATTGCACTGATAGTAGACCGAGGTGGTGTACGGGAACTTGTGGGCCGGGAAGGTCACATTAGCGGCCAATCGATCCAGCGTGTAATTGAATTGTCCCATGATCTCGTTGTCCATGGGACATCTGCAAAACCAGACAAGATGTGGACATAGATATATATGTACGATACTCATAGCCTTTTTTTACACTTACCCATCCTCTCCCACCAATCGCTGTTCTCCCCAACCCAAGCCGTCACGCACGATGCAGTCGGTAACATGGAGACCATAGATCTGCTGTCTGTCGATGCTGATGACAATGGTCAGCGGATCACCGATCTTCACGTCGTCGGCAATCTTGTGCTCGTCATTGTAGATTTTCATATGGCAGCCGGGCATGGGGATTTCGTTATTGCTGACATCCTCTTCGTCGAGCGGGGCATTCACATCGTAGACATCCTCCTCGTCCAGTTCATCGTCGCGCTGTTTGTCCAAGGATCTGCCATAGTCACGGCGATCCTCGCTGCGCAAGGCCTGTGGTTTCTGGGAGTGCTTGCGCAGATGCTTCTTGGGCTTGATGGCTGCGTCGCGGCTTTTATAGGCACAGCGCACATGGTAGCCACGTCCCAGATCGGTGATGAGCTTCAGGTGAGGCTGGAGCACGATTGTGTTGAAGAATTCAATGCCGCCATCGTCCTGAAAGGGAAACATAATACAATTATTGATGGAAAATGGAAATTTTATGTATAAATCAGATATTAGAGTGGGTATGAGCCAGTCTTTCTAGTCAAACCTTCTTTTCTTGACATTCAAATGGAAATTATCCAAAGACTGACAAAAGACTTGGACAGCAAACTCGCTGGCATCCACTTGGCCTGAGTTTCTCACTGTGCCAAGAAGCCATATCAGCGACTGGAGAACACTAGCTACCATCAAGCATCAAGCCCCTTCTCATTATGCATTCAAATTCACGCTCCGCTGCAGCCAGAAATCGCTTTGGAGCCTCGTTACTGTGCGATTCAGTTGCCATCCAAGACAAACAATAAGTCGACTGCGGAGCACTTCCTGATATGTTGCCATAGAATGGTGCTAGAGCCGATCAACCAAGTGTGACGCCTCGCCACCGGCCCCAGACCAGGAGATCTTTGGGCCTTATCTCCTCTCCTCGCAAATTAGCAAAGTTTGCATGATGAATTTTAATTGCAGGCCTGCCTGGCTGTATGTTGTCTGGGCATGATGCAATTGTGATTGGAATGGGTCGTAATTGTACTTCCGCTGTCTGTACCCGAAATATTGTCATAGGCGATAGGCCAATGCCTATCCAGCCCTGGTTTGGCATTCCTCTGTGCGCACTGCGCACCTAACCTAACGGTTGTTGCCCATTGCCCATTGGTTCTTGTGCTAATTCCCCTGACAGCGCCACAGCAACAAATCGAGTACACATACTCGATAGCACTCGAGGTAAGGTATTAAAACGAAGCGGGCCTCGGAAGTTTTGTAATTGGGTCTCTCTACAGATTTGGGCACGGAAGTTCTTCATTTAAGTGGACTCTGACAAGGGGTGGGGGCACTCTTAATTGGTAGCGTTGTTTCGAAAGGCATTAAGAAGAAGCCAGCCGGCTTAGTCCGACCCCATGCGATTTATTGCCCAACGCTGACTCTGAAGCGTTTCCGTCGCTGCCATTGTCTGGCTCAAAGCAAGCTGTGAGACAGAGACGACGGCACGGAAGAGGAGAAACGGTGTGAGAGGTGTGTGTGCGGTCTTCTTCCAGCCTCTAAGAACCAAGAACCGTTGACAGTTAGGTTTACGAATAAGTATAAGTTCTCAGCATCGCGGCATCATCATCATCAGCAGCAGCAGCAGCAGCAGCAGCAGCAGCGTCAACAAGACAATGGGCCAATAAAAAGCATAATAAAATGACATTTAAGATTTCGAGCACAAGCGTCAAAAGAATCTAACGGTAGAAAGCGCTATTATGTCATTATGACACTTCTCTTACTGGTGAGCGTTTTGGAAGCGAACACGAACAATATATGGATGTAAATGCCTGATGAGCTGTAAGATATTTGGGCCTGAGTAAACAGGTTCAAGCTGGAATGCGTGGGAGCTGCCTCCGTCGACCAACTGACCTTCGCTCCAAACACGGCGGCAGCAGCAGCAGCAACAGCCGCATTATAATATCAATAACAGCAATAAAACGCTTACAAGTCGTTGCACACTTTTGGCCTTTTCACGGCCAACCAGCCAGCGGCATTGGCGGCCAATGAACGCCGTTTTGACCGACCGCCAACGTTGCTAGCGTCAGAACAAATTGATTTCGACCGGGAAGATGATGGAGCCCAAAGGTGCGGGGGTTCCTAATTGGATCGCTACTTGCTGGGCCATGAAAAATTGTGACTTGATGTGTGTACGAGCGAGAGTACTCGTAAGCTGGCAATGGAATTGTAGTTCTGAGCTCATCATCTTGGCGGCAATTAAATTTTAATTAAAATTATTTTTCTCGCTTCAGAGTCCCCTCCAGCCACAGCACTGGGAGGGGGCATCTGCTTGTGGCTGATTTAATTATGCTTGACATGCGCACAGTGCACAGCACGGATCGTCTCGGCGCGACCCTCAGCTCGGGGTGGCAGTCACCAGTCAATGGCATCGCTGTGGCAAGTTGTCACGCGACTCTCCACCATCCCCCCATACTCCAATATCCCACCTTGCATTCGGAAAGCTGAGCTCATCGTCTCAGGGGCTATGACGTAAGACAAGGCAGGATGCCAGCCAAGCGGTGGCCATTAGTCGAGTGCATGCTGGCTCAGAGCCGCTCATCATCTTTAATGACAAACATTAAAAAGTAGGTACACATCTCGAGTCCAGCCTTGACTGCGTCTGTTGGTCCGGTGCAAATAAACCATTTTCTTGTTGCTTGTTTATCTTATCGATTCTGGCTTATTGAATGCTCGGCGCAAATTGTTTGAGTCAATACGGGAAGGCGGCTTGGCCAAGGACAAAGCAATGACAACACCAGAGACTCGGGCCACAATCTCAAAGAACATGGCAGCTATGTACAGTGCGTCTGGTAACTATTTACCAGTTTTCTAGCACACACACAACACACCCTGTAATGTATTGCCACATCGATCGAATCGATCCGCTTGTCGTAACTGCAATTAACATTTGCAATTTCAAAAATTGTGTCAATCCAATCGAGCGAAAGGAAAAAGCAGTCGAAGCTGCTGCAGCAGCAGCAGCAGCAGCAGAAAATTACAAAATGCTGGCCCCATAAATGCTGAGAAAATTACGTTAAATATGTATCACAATCGGAATTTATAAGAGTGTGTGGCTGGGATCGGGTATAGTAGACCATAAACATGCCTCTGCTGTGCTGCTGATGCGTGAGCTGCCGACGCATTTGGCCGGGCCAAGTGCTAATTGAGATTTCAAAATCCCATCAGATCCCAGCGCACAAAGGCAGTTCGTTGTGTGATCGAATGAATCGATCGAATGAGCCAATAAATAAGCCAAGCCATAAAATCATTAGAGCTGGCTGGACAAACTCTAACTGAAATTTATATGGCACATCTGGGGCCGTCTTTGGGATCATTCGATATCGTTTACAGGGACATGGCAGGTTGGGTTGTCATGCTCGCTGAGGCGGTGCTGATCAATAATACGCTTGATCAGAGTTTATGTTATGACATCTCAAGAAATCTAGTTTCACATGACACTAGCTGTTTTCTAGACCTTACTAAAATGAAACGATGATCATTAGGTTCTTCATGCCATCAGCCGTACCTAATGACTGCTATTTTAGTTAACAAGTCTTGACGCTATACAAGCGATTTATCCACCATTAGCTTAGTCACTGAGTGCGTGTGCGTGTGCTGGTTGAGCGTCAACCTTTCAATTGACTAATCATCTTGGCATATGGATTTTACCTTGTAACCAATGACTCGAGAGTTGCCTTATAGGTGTAATGCTTTTTGTTTATTTGCATGCGAAAAAGGCAGAACGAGTTTGCTCGGACATCTGCTTGAGTGGGAGCACAAGTTAGAGTCTCTGGCCTGCTGGCTGATTGGCACCCATTATGGAAGAGACCCATCATCTCTGTTCTAGGCTATCGACTGTGACTTACCGTTTCCTTGGGCATCGTGTTGCAGCTACGCAGGGGCAGCTTGTACCGCAGCGAGCCCACGTGATCTCTGCGGGGGGGATGGAAAAAACGATAGCAATTACAACAATCTAATCTAAATTGTGATCTGCGCGCGCGCGGCTCTCACTCACCTGTACTCGCTGAGGCATGTGGAGTTCTTGGATAGGCCTTTCGGGTAGATCATGCCACTGAAAAGTCCGGTCTCGTGGTTTGGCGGGGCATCTTTGATGGTGATCAGCATGGAGCCCGATAGGCACTTTATCCGCACGCTCGGCTCAATGGCTGGCTTGGAGGTGGGTGCGCCTCCATCGGACTCCGCCTCGGCCGCTGCGATGGCGTCACTTAGCGAGCTTTGTGCATCCTCTGCAAGCGAAATAAAAAGGAAATTATGAAATGCAATAAAGTCTCAGATACAGGCAAACATGACAGGCACGCTCCCAAAATGGAATACATATGTATTTGTGCAGCTGGCAAACTACAGTTAGATGTGGATGAGGATGCGGTTGCAGTTGCATCAGCATCAGCTGCTCTGCGCTGAACCAACCTCAAGAGCCGTTAGCACAAGTCATGAGCGCACAAAAAAAAAAAACAAAACAAAAAACCCCAAGACAATGGCACAACAGATGCCCATGGGAGCAGTATTTAGTCGAGGTTGGAGTCGCAGTGCGCTCCAAGCTATGCCAGCATGCGGAAGAGCCAACAAACAGCGACAACAACGGTACGTTCATGACATTGAAAAGCCATTGAAGCGGCAACAACAGCGCCAACCCACCTGGGGGGAAGACACACACACAGCACAGAAGCGCTCGTGGGCCTGGCCTGATCCGCGGCCATTAGAAAGATGCCAAGTTCCTTGAACTTCAGCAGACGATTCGAGACATGGCCTGGGATTAGGTTGGGCTCTTGGCATTTCCTGCTCGATGCCAGCGTGCCAGCGAGCCAGCGCTCACGAAGCCCAGCTAAAGCCAAAACAGATCAGACCTGGCCAGACCAGAAAGCCATTGCAATGCCAAGAACTCCATGCTGAGTTGTTGCTCTGACACCTCCCCCTCGCACCACCGGGCTCGCATGCTTGGGCTCTTCATTTTGCACTCTTTTGTGGGCCCATCGGAAGGTACACAACTGGTCCGAGGAAGAGCTCCGCTTCGCTGCGGCACGTTCGCCCTGCCAGTCGGCTGTGTGTATACTTTGGATGGGATGCGAGGCGATGTGATGTGCCTTTGCAGTGGTTCAACGAACCTTGCAGCATTTCGCATCACTTACCTCTGGTTCTGTTCTATTCCAGCATGTGGCTGGGCAAAGTAATTGCATGCAACACGGCCACGTCGTCGCTGTCGTGGCTGGAGCCGGTTTTTATGGTGCCTCCACTCCTGCAGTGGACTGCGGCCAGCACATAAAACATTTAATGGCTTTCTATTATGTATAATTTGAGAAGGGGAAGAACTGCATTGCCCAGCGCAGATCTCAAATATAACAAGAACTCAAAATACGTAAACACTGCACTTCCATGTGAATCAGTGTTGGACAGTGCCACTAAGCTGTGAGTATTGCCATCCTTGTTTCACTCGTTTTATGCAAAGGGATTGGACAGAGAAAACACAAAATGGCAGACGTCGAATAGCCAGAACGAAATTCTACCACATTCAATTAAGTTAAAACGATTCTGAAGAGCTCTTTCGGAATAGGAACTTTTTCATACTGCCTCGATTGCATTTGTGACTTCGTTAAAATGGACGGATCAATGTGGGAGTCAACAGTGAAATTGAGGTCAGCCCCAACTGATCATTGATCCCTGCTCCCACTAGATATTTATGCCGGTAATCCGCTAGCCCGACCACGACTGGCCCCGCGGAAGCTGCAAACGATGAGGATGATGAAATGCGTTTGCTTTGGCCAGCTCCCTGCATAGAAGACGCAAATGCTGCACTGTCGGAGTGGGAGAGAGTTTGGAGTGTTTCATGTAGGAAAAAGTCTCAACCAGCATCGTCAGTCCTCACAATTCTATTATCGTTCCAGGCATGCTTCCACCAAGCACTTTGACCCGGACGCAACGATGCCGTCCCGTCCCGTTAAACGCTGCAGGAGCGGAGCAGCAGTGCCTAACCACAGGCTCACGTACCAGAAAATCTTCAACTATCTGGAGTCGCCTTGGGCCATCTAGGGGATACAGCCGTATTGCGGAGCCAAAAGGAAGCATGCTGCAATGCTTGCTGTCGCTTTTCAATAAGGCAGCTGAAGGCGCCAGGCCAGTAAGAGCCACATGAATGGACTTTTGCTTGCCATGCGATTATGTGCCTGGTGCTGGCAACACTTTTGGCCAACAGTCAAGAGATTTAGCAACCAAACAAACGAAAAAAGACAAACACCACGACAAACCCCTAACGCTGTCTCCGAAGCGAAGCAACAATGGCAGATTAAAGAGGAATGCGGGCTTTTAAGCGGAGTGCTGCTTATAACTAATTAGGTAATACTTGTAGAGCTCATTTGAACACTAAAGTATCCAGCCTAATGATAAATGTATTCGTTTTCAGATGCCGCTTCAACCAACTCGTCAAACTCGTAATGTTTCCCATAATTTAGCATTTGGAATCAAAAGAACTCATCATGGCTTATTGATTGTACTTACTGACTGCCGTTGGTATCTGTGCTGCGTGCGTCGTCAGAGCTGCGATTGTCTGCAAAGAAAGTGGAGACAAGTCACTCATTAGCATAGTTGGGTAGCCTGTATTAGTAGTAGTAGTAGTAGTAGTAGTAGCCTGACCCCCGGACTCGACTCCTGCTCAGACCCCATGGCAGGCCGGCCATAAAGCGATGACATAAATCACGGCAAGCCGACACAAAGCCCCAGTCTAATCCAGCCGCGACACGGCAGTAGGTAAGCTTCTTTAATTAAAGTGGATAGAAATGCAGCTGAAATTTCGTTTTCGTGTTGCAGGCAGATATGGGGAAACATTATATTCTCACGATTCTAAGGCCTGTGCGCTCTGCCTGTAATGATGGCGAAAACTTTCGCCAGCCTCTTGCGCTGGGTTAGAGTTGAACCTGAATCCAGTCAAAGTCGACGCTGGAGTTGAGGTTGAGTCGGGGCCAAGCGGCTCAGAATGAAGCGGAGCTAGGCATTGCTAGTCCAGTGTTGTGCCACTTTTGGCAACATGGCAACAGACGGGTGCGAGCAGGAGCGACCGAATTGCATTTAGCATACGGAGAGAGAGTCGGGTCGGCTGTCTGTCCGGTCCGATCCGATCCGATCCGTCTGTTGGCCACCTCATATCCAGGTTAATCGCATTGGCATGCAATTGTCATTCGGGGTTCTGGCTGATTGATGTGTTTAGCTGCTGCTCTGTCGACTCTGACTGGCTGGCCTGGTCTGGTCTGGTCTGCCAATTTTCCATTTCAATGCCCAGGCCCAGAATGGGGCTACGGATAGTCGACTCTCGGATAATACTTACGATTAAGTGCAGCGCCGTGTACAGTACGTCCATTTGTGTGCCCGACTTCATGGTGTGAGCTGCAAACAAAAAAAGGTGAGAGAAAGACGTAGATTAATGCGGTGCTCAAGACTTGTGAGATATCCATGATAACCGGTTACAGACACCCACAATACACGTATATCAATCCGATCCGATTATGCTAAATCATACAACATACAACATACAGCTCGTACAACAGTTCTTCAATGAATATTTGTTGGGTTTCGCTTGGGTTCGTTGCCGTTGCCGGCGGGCAAACTTTCTGTTTGCCAATTGGGTCAAGTCAACACAGCCCAGCCAAAAATTTGGCTCCAATGTTGCCAGGCATCGCGTGCGCGGATCTTGCAAATGGGTTAACATCGGCATAAATTTTGAAACAACGGTTAACTAGTGACTGAGAAGAATGAGAAGGCGGAGGTGATGCTGGAGGCTGGAGGCCAGCACCCAAAAGCATCTTCAAGTACCGCCCAAAACGGAGCCGAAGATAGACAAACATCCGTCAGTGCAACTCATGACGGAGACTCATTGTGGCATGACTGTGATTTCCGCTATTACAACACAAACAGAAGCAGCTAGCAGCTAGCAGTGTTTGGACTGTGGAGCACACATATTACGAGGAATTAAACACATATCAATAACCGGGCATGCTGCACTCATGATAAGCACTTTTTAGCTTCCTGCAACGTACACACGGACCGTGTGAGAACAACCTGGTTGCGAGTCATGGCCAGGAAGACACATCCACAGCCACAGCCACATCAAAATCACCTCCGTTGTTGCCAGTTAGATGATTATCATTGGGGCGACCCGAAACAACAACATGCGGCGGCTTACGTTGATGGCATGGCCAACAGGCAAGGCAAGGCGATAATGGCCCCGGAGGCAATGATTTGTTGTTGCAGCCTACTGCTGCTGCTGCTGCTGCTGCTGCCAACACATTTCATTCACTTGACGGCAACGCAGCCAGAAGAAATGATGTCACAAGGCCCCGCCGCCACTCAGCTGCAGCTTCGCGTCTGGATCAGTTATTATCCAAGTGCTGTAATCTCATTGAGGGGTTTTGTTGTTATTATTATTGAAATTGGGGAGAAGCCAGCCAGCAACTGGGTCAATAGTTATCTTATGGAAATGATAAATTGTTAACATTATGCACCGCACACACACACACACACACACACACACACACACCAATCACCAATTTGTCAATGCTGGCAGGCCCACACTTCCTCAACAATAAGCCAATGTTTCAATATAGATTGGGATCGCGGAGCGTAGCGGATCGTCGCTCAAAGCTGAATGCAAATTGCCAACTGACGCCAGCAAACAGCTTCACATCCCATCCCATCCCACAATGGCAGTGCGCGGACTCGGTACTTCTATTGGCATTGCAATAAATTAGCTAAAATTAGCAAAAATGACGCAACCTGCTCCAAACAGATACAGAAATATGTACTCCAAATTGAAAGCGCAGCTCATGCAGGCAAACAAAAATTGAGCTAGAAAACGCCAACGAATATTATGAATAATGACTTTGATTGGCATCTGCTCTCGTTACCCAGTTCGGGGCAAAAACTACAACAGCAACAAGTAAAAGAGGAGAGAAAAAATAATGCCAAAGTGCCAAAGTGGAAAATGGGAGCTCTGGCTGACCTTCAATTACGTTTCGTCTGCGATACGGGAAATTGCAACTGGAAATTGGATCAATAGAGTATAACTTTCACGACTCTACGAGTCGAGTGCAAATAAAATTAATAATTGAAAAATGATAAAACAATCTCGAATAAGACAGGAAATTGAAGTTCCCTTCCTTCGTACGTTTTATGTATTCCACTCATGGAAATGAAGAACAACTTCAGAATGGAAATGATATATGTAATCTTTCCTTCCTGCTACCATGATTCATTGACTATTCAACGCGATACACTCAAAGTATGCGTGCTGGTGAGTGTGCATTGAACTGCAACGGATATTTTCTGTCGATTTGAATCCATTTGACACACATTTCGGAGAGTAAACGAGCAACAAAGCAACAAAAGCCAAGCCAAGCCAAGCCACCCAAAACCTAAACAAATACGAGTACCAAGTAAAAACCAACAAAATGGTCCGTGCAACTGAATAAATTAAGTTTTTCTGTGTGTGTGTGTGTGGTGTTTTGCGTGCCAACGAAGAGCCAACCAACGATGTGTAAGTGTTTTACTTTTATTTTGTTTAAACAATTGCATTTTCATTGATGTGTGGTGCGATGTGTGTGAATGCTCTGCTAATGTGGCGGCAAAGTGACCTCGCGTGTTTCCATTTCCCCCTCCCCAACAGTTAACGTAATTTATTTGCTTTTAAATACGAGTATACGAGTCAACGACAGTACGCCAAAAACCAAAATAGCAATGTGGAAATGCATGCTTAAGTTTTACAGCTTTCTGCTTGAGCAAAATTGTTAGGAAAAGCCAACAAACAAACAAAAAACAAAACACATTAAAGAGTATGAAAAAAGCGCGTAACTGTGCGTTAAATTGCGCCCAAGTTAAAAATTTGAAAATTAAATTTGAATTGCCCCGTTTAATTGTTGGGCCAGGCAAGACTAATATCTGATTATTCGGTGCCGCCTATGGATCAATTCATTCATCAGCAAATTAGGTTGCTCCACATACAACGTACCTGTGTAAGCGGGGCACATTAATCAAACGAAATAGCTGAGGGACCCCGAACCCCAAGAAATGGGTGACTTCATTAGAAGTAGCAGCAGCAGCAGCGCCGCTTACAATTAGAATATCACACGATTCCCATCTCGAGATGCTGGATTGGATACGATGCAAATTGCCAAAGGCTATACAGAAAAAAAACATGCAAAAAAAACCGTGTTAAGCACACATTTTATGTATGCATGTACCATGTACATATAATATGTACATATATACAGATAAGCGATACCAGTATTAACCGCAAACACACACATGGCTCCGGCTCTGACCCATTTGAAACGAGCAAACGGCCAAAGAAAGAGTGAAACAGAGAGACCGGACGGACTGAGAACCAAACTTTCGGTTGCGTTGCGGTTTGCCGTGTGGTGTGTGCTTTTGGGCGGAAGAAGGGAGGGACAGGGACTGGTAGAAGTGCCATAAAAATGAGAAATCTCCCCAAGCCAATACCATCTCTCTCTCTCTCTCTCGAATATATACTCGTATTCGGGTCGGCACAGAGCTGTAATATGATCAATCAGCATAGCGATGCGTACAGCTAATTTCGCTGCAATTTCGCTGCCATAGAAAGTAAGTTGGGGCTGGTTATGTTATGCTATGACCCCTCTCTCTATCTCTCTCTCTCTCTCTCGCCGCGATCTTCAACTCGATTTTGACTGTAAGATGCAGGCGTTAGGCCCAGCCTGGGCTATGCCTATGCCACCATTGTTTGATTATCCCGCATTGTTCTTAATGATGGTAATTAACGAGTCGCGTCGAGTCGAACGTAAAAGGGTCAAATGCGCTGCAGTCTCCGTCTCTCCACACGCATATTTCTTGATTTTTACAGTTTGAATGAGGTCAGGCATGGCTTTAGTTTTTTTTTTTTTTGGTTTCTTTAGCTTTTACTTTTACCCGAAAAACTTCTAGTGGCCGCCGCAGGTGCTTTTGTCTATCTGGTGGCATCGACTTTGCGTGCTAATCAAGCACTAAAGATCAATGGCAATTGAAGAATCGACTTTCACCTGCTTGTGTATGCAGGGAGGCGGCAGGGGCTGCGGCCGTCAATTAGAATTTCAAATGTGGAGATATCACAATTAGCTGGCATTTGATTGGGGCAGATCGATCGCAGGTAGTAGCACTGTCCGGCTCTGGCTGCCATCTCAGGTCTTTCGGTGCAAAGCAAACGCAGCCAACGAATCGGAACGGAGTCTATTTTTTTTGTTTACCCGCTTTACGGACTGGCGTTGCGTCAAGGTCATTGCAATTGTCTCGACGTCGTCGTCGTCGCCGTCGCCGTCTCCGTCTTATTGTGTTGAGCTCCAACACAATGCGCAAATGAGCTAACAATGCTTTAATTCGCTATTGGCCAATTGCAATAAACGCCAACGCCAATTCCCATTGTGCTGGCCACGTTTATAGGTTTTGATTTGGCCAACCGCAGCAGCAGTAGCAGCAGCAGCAGCAGCGGCGCGGCAGCATTAACTTTAATTTACTCTGCAATTAAGACAAAGTGAGAATTTTGTGGCAAAGTGCGCATCGTTAGCGGTTAAATGGTCGAACCCAACCTCTTTGGCCAAAATGGAAAGGCCTCCTCTCTGGGGGTGTGTGCCGCTGTTGTCCTTGTGCAATGCTTTGGACCAATATGAGCGCTGTTGGCCGTTGCCAAACGCAGCTTTGTGCCGTAAACTGGAGCGTGGAGACATCTTGCCACATCTCGGACGGGCAGGTGGACCGGCGGACGGACGGTGTGTGACCAAGTTTGGGGGGTGAGACCAAAACGCAAGCCGCTGCCCAATTTCGTTTGCTCTGTCTCTGTCTCTGGCGGTTATGTAAGTTTTCTGGCAATGTTTTTTTTTGTTTTTTTTCCTTTTGGCCGCGTTGATTTGTCAAGTTGTCCAATTTGGCTCAGCCGCTGACTGGCAATATGCAAAATGCTTATTGGACACCCACAACAACAGCCAGTGGCTCAGCCTGCAAGTATATCTATTTTTTTTTGACGCCTAATTTTGTGGTTTACTTTACAAGTTTTGCCAGGCGAAAAATACAAAACAAAACAAACGGCAAAGAAATTCGCATTGAACGTGACTCGGGCTAAGCTGTAGACATGAATGTGTTTGATTTTTATCAGGCCTGGTCTACAATATTTCAGTTTTAGCCATTTACTTTGCGCTTTTTGCTTTGCTTTTGCCTTTTTGACTGGCGCCCATTGTTACCCGCCGCTGTCGTATAGTTTTTTTTTTTGCCTTGCCTTGCCTGAAGGCAGATCAAAAACTCGTTTTTTGTAGTTCCGTTTTTTGCTGTAGCTTTAGGTTTTCTGTTTCTGTTTGCTGTGTTCAGCCGGTCTAGAAGTACTTAAAATTGAGGCTCCCAGCGACACTGGCAACGGCTACTGCTGCTGGTCAACGAGCTTGGCATGGGACTAATTCGTCATTAAAACCCATTTATTGTAGGCTATTTTAAACCCAATGAGGGAATCGACTGATGAGCCACAGACACGGGCAATGCTAATTACTTAGAGCCCGCGTGACCTCATGCCTCTCTCATAATAACTTTATCCGAGTTTCCCCCGGACTCGCACATCTGTTCTTTTGCACTGATGACTCTCCTCTCATTTGCAGCACAAAATGATCTCATTCTGTGGCATAAACGAGGTAAGAACTCGTAGGAAACGAGTGTAATTTCCCAGCTGAAATACAATATTTTTGTTGCCCAAGTTTAGTTCTCAGATATCTCCTACACTTGGTATACATTACGTACAGTTCCCTGTTCCCTGTTCATTCCGGCTAAACTTAGACCCCCGCTCAAGGCAGTTCAAGAGTCAGCATTAGCCACACCCCATTTAAAGCTATTTAAAGCGGGGATTTGAAAGTGTTTTCGGAATGAGTCGAGCAATGCTCAACAGCTGGAGCCACAGCTCTTATTCGATTGCAGTTCAGTTCAGGGGTTTTTTTTTTTGCGTGGGGTTTGTCTAAGGTAAAAGCCTGCATTAAGTCAGCTTGATTTTGGCTCCGTCTCCGACTGCGACTGCGGCGGCGACTCCGAGGTGGGGTAGGGTGGGGGAGACTGGGGCAACTAGCCAGACGACTTTTCATTTGTAGCCAAAACAAACACGAAATTTGCTGCACATTGTCCAGGCCACGCCAGGGAGCAGATCGGCCAAGTGACTCATGGCTAAGCGGGGGGCGGCATGGCACGGCACGCCTCTAGCTAGCGAACGGTAACTTTTGGGGTTTTTGCATAATTAGCGGCGAGCGGCGAGCGCCAACGTGTCGCATGAGTAATGCGCTTGGGAAGACAGGCCAAGTTTGTTGCCCAAGTCTTTCGTCTTTCGTCTCAACTGTAAATCAATATGTTGCAAAAAAAAAAAAAGAAGAAAAGTAATGCCGAACGAGCGGGAAATCTAACGTTGTAAAGATCTTGAAATTCGGTTGAATGAACCCACATTTTTTTCGGTGCTTTCTTTGGCTGTTCTTCGGCCAACGTTTTCAGTGCGAAAGATTATAAATCAATTATTAGGCTGCCCCTCTACCCCCACCCCCTGCGACAGCACACCTTTGGAAAGCCCACACGTTGTCTGGAGTTCAGTTCATGAACCTACCCAGTGGAAGATTCGTCATCATCGTTTTCGATTAAAGAGAAGAAACAGAAGCTTAAACCGAGGGGGAGATTGTGTGCCTCTCTCTCTCTCTCTCTTAAGTGTGTCTCGCCACATCACATAATCGCAAAGAGTCATACATATAGCGGCAAAATTATACATATTTTTTCCGTCTTTATTTTATTTTGTGCTTCCTTCAAGGTCACTCGCAGCAGTTGTTATATAAACAAGTTAACTACACGATCGCTAAGAAACTGGTATTCAAGCACAGGCAAAGCTCGAGAGCTCCCGCCACTCGCGGATTCGCCTTTTTAATTATACAAAATTTAACGCTTGCGTTGGCGTTCCTCAAACTCCGGGGCAGGCAAAACAAAGCATTCTGAGAATGCTGTGGCAGCAGCCAGCCCACAGACGAGAGAACTAACCGGAGACAGAATGTTGCGGGGGCAATGATACGATGTATATACATACATACAAACGTACGTGTATCCAAAGGTCATTCATTATTCATAGCAAACAGGCGTTGCATTCAACACAAACAGCCGTGCATTACATTGGCCAGACAATATTTTGATGGCTAACAAACCACAAATTAACCAATTAATAGGCGATGCATCAAAAGGGAAAGGCCAGGCTCACTCCACACAGCCATCGTTCCCAGCGTTCAGATGATGTAAGTGTTCGGAGCCACAGCATCGGCTCATCCTCACTCAATGTCCATCAATCAAATTTTCTAATTGCTTCTTTTAGACGCCAAGCCAACATACACGATCTCGAAAAACGAACATAATTATGACCCCTTTCCGCCTGGCTAGATCTTCCGTCGAAGTGCTAAAAGTTCGACGGGGAGAAGCTTCATCATTCGACTCAGCTCAGCTCAGCGCAGCCATAGCCCTGGCTTTTTTCTCAGGTAAATGATTAATGTTGTACGCGCACAGCACTGAGAATTGGAAAATTGTTTGGTCAGCCAATTAGCAACAGATTCTGGCCGCACACAATGTGGGCTTGGAAAATGTGAATGGACCTGGACTTGGACTTGGATTTGGAATTGGAATTGGAATTTGGTCTCTGCAACACCCGAACTCCCGAATGCGATGACACATTACTTATGCCGGACACACACACACATCCAGGAATGGGAATGGGAAGCGGGAGGCCAAAACGGATGTCCGTGATGTGGCTGTTTAAACAGCAATTGCAGTTGTGCAGCACACCCCTACTGCTGCTTCCATTTGAGGCATGCCACATGCATCCCATCCCATCCCATCTCATCCCCATATTTGTGTCCCCAGACACCGGATGATGTAACCATCTGCGAACTTGGCAGCCAATTTTGGCCAGTGCCAGCGCCAACCTTGGGAAACAGGTTCAATGCAGATGGGGGACAGTTTTGCTCAGAAACGCAGCAAAACTAAAGTCCCATTTAATTTGCACAGAAAACAAATTCAATTCCAGCTTCAGTTTCAACTGCAGCCTCCTCCTCTTTTCCTCCTTCTCCTCTCTCCCAATCTCCCAATTTTCATCAAGTTTTTCAGGCGAAATCAACAGCGAACCGGTTTGGCTGATGGATTTTTGGCAGATCCGCAATGTGAGGCGATTTATGAAGTCATCTTTTCGAGGTTTTTTTTACTTTTCGGCCAAAAAAAAAACTTCGATATTGAATGTGAATTTTGTGCCGTTTGCAACTGTTGTGTTGCCTGCTAACGGTCTGGCCTGGCACACCGACACTCACCTCTGTCCAGGTTGTCCAACTTCGCCCTTCTTGTGTAATCCAATCCAATCCAATCCAATGGGTTGTGCTGTGTTGTATTTGGCGGTTGGTTGTTTTTGATGTTTGTTTTTCGCTATGGTTCAAACTGGTTGGGATTGGCCAAAAGTGATGATGAATTTTAATTATTTTTGTAGGGAATTATACGTTTCACATGAGTTTCAGGCTTTTGTTATTGGCATTAAATGAATTTTTTGCGCTTCGAGCTTCCTCTATTTATTTTTCCGTTTTGGTGGCCAACACTGGTTTTACATGTTAAGGCTGCACACACACATGCATATGTCTCTAAGATATCCCGAAGAGAAACGGACAGAGAGCGAGAAAGAGCAAGAGACTCTTTTAGTGAATTGTTGCAAATACTTTGTGAGCTGTTTGCCGCCGCCGCTATTGTTGTACGTTGCCTGTTGTCCCGTTGCCTGTTGCACGTTGCCCGTGGCAAGACAAAACTCTCCGACACTTTTACACTTGCCCCAAAACAGCAACGCGAAAACTGTATTCAAAAAGATTCACAAATCATTCAGCACGAATTTTTGAGCTGCCTCGGTTCAACCACCCGTCGAGCGTAATATCTTCCCAAGGGCAGCAACAATCAGAAAACCCAGACGACGGACGACAGACAACAGCAACGTTTTCGAAAAATCCAAAAGGAAAAAAATGTAAAAATCTCCACTGGCGTTGCCAATGGGGTTTGCACGATCCAATTAGAACCGGGTAAACACACTTATTCTTGAATCTTTAAACGCACTCAGAACTTGGGATCGATGAGGCACTCGCGTACACGAGGATGGGTTAGCATTGAATCGAAACGAAGCGGAGAGGGTCGGATCGGATCTGTCGTGCGATCCGCGTTCGTTAGCAATGTGGATGTCTCTCGCACACCAACCTGGCCAAGACTGACTGAGCCAACCGAGTCGAAGATCGAGCCGAGTCGAGGCGCACGCTCTGGCACTCCGAAGAGCCCCCCCGCCCAGAGGCAAGACGGCAGGCCAACAACCGGTCTTGTCAAGAGTCTTTTCGGAGTCGCCTGACTTGGGATTTTTCGGAGTATTTGGCAAGTCTGCTCTTAGTGTACGCTCTTTAGGCCACTACACTACCAACCTGAGCCTAAGCCAGGCTATCGATGTCTCTGTCTCTGCCTTTGCCTTTGCCTTTGCAGCGGTGTCGTTGGCAGTTTTTCAGCAGCAACACTCGCATCGAGCTGCACGCTCTGTTGGCTCTCTTTGCTACCACCTACCAGTCGGGGATTGTCTTTCTAATGAGTGCCTCCCCTTCGCATAATTAGAGGTTCAGGCGTCCAGTCGCCCACTTGGTCATCTCATGCCACAGCTATCCCATCCCATCCCATTCCAAAGGTTTCAGGCCCCAGATCAAGCCGGGGCCGGGGCGTCGTCATGCTTGGCCACAGCCACAAACTTGGGGCCAGGTTCTGCTCGAGTCTGACTTGGCAACCGTCCGCTGATGCAATTATGGGCAATGTGTGGGCTGTCACCAGAACACCTTGATGACGGCATATATAGCCATAGCCATAGCGCTGGGTATAACAAATCGACTGATCAGGTGGGTTCGGGGATAGCATTGCCAGGGGACAGTTTCTTACTGGTTCATTGTTTGCTTTGTTTCTGTTGTCCATAAATCTTGGTACTTGCATTTACATTTTAGGATTCAAACTCCCTTCGAGCACAAATAGCGGCAGAGACACAGTCGCAAGTACAGGTAGCTGTGGCACATAAAGAAGGGTACGCTTGTCCACTTTTTGGGCATTTTCCCTTGAAGTCGAGCGTGTTTCTGTTTATACTTTTAGTTATACCAATATTTATGATTATTATGCGTGCTGCTCTTGTTGATCCCCCCCAATGGAAGTGGAGAATCGAACGAAATATGGTTTTGAAACGTGAGAGAATTTCCTATGAGGCATTTTAAATACAATTAAATACAAGGGGAAATTCTGGAGGGTTCCAATTATGACTGAGAATAATAAAAGACAATTCATAGAAGGTCTTCTGTATGAGAGCTCTGCCAAATCTATTCGTTGTTGAGGTTACATCATTCAAATTCTGAATAGCATTAGCATATGGATAGATTTCGACCCACGCTATAAATTGATTGATTTTTTGCTTGTGAATTTTTATCCGCCCCCACGTGCTGCCAAAATGTTGATTAAGTTCATCAGACATAGAAATTCATTAAGGGGAAGGGGGGTGGCTATCCGGGGCAACAGTCTCCACGTCAGACAATCGAACAAACGGGGAAAAACAACACCCCCAACACTTTCCATTGTCATGGACTCAAGGCGCCGGTAGCCGGCAGCCGGTAGATGGAATGGCGGGCGGGCGGGCGGTCCAATGCCAATTCCCAGAAGTAGCCAGGGGTAACTGTCGTCAGTGTTTTGGCGGCAAGGGAGATTTATTTACTTCGGGGCGAACAGACAGGAATCACATCAACATTGGGCGACAACTCATTTGATATAGCCACTGGATAGAGAATAGAAAAATTAGTTTCGGGGATAAATTCTATGTGTACGAGGTCTTGGGATCAATATCGGTATAATTTTTTCAAATATTAGCCACGGACAGGGCAGATCAGAGCACTGGTTGTGTCCTACGACTAGTATTCCTCAATGGCCGAGCTATTGTCACGCGAGAAGGAACTTTTCAAGATGAATCAGGAACTCAACTTGTTGACCCTGACCCCGACTGGGATGTCAGATGTCATTTACCCGACGAAGGGACCGTCTGGACTCACCGCTGGTTTGGGCAGGACGCGTAATGGCACCTTCCATCGGCAGAAGGGGCCGAGTACGCTGCTGAAGAAGAAGGGCGCCCAGACAAAGCTATTGCCAAAGGGAATGGGAGCAGGATCTGTCTCGCCGCCAGCCAGGAACTCGCCACCGCCACCTCCGCCCGCGTCCACTCTGCTGAACAGTTCGAAGACGCCGGACTGGAAGAAGGGAAAGTCCATTCGCACTCCCTCGCCCACGACGGCCCGCTTCGAGAGCAAGTTCAGCACGTTCACGCGGGGCCAGGGCAGCAAGACGGCGACGATCGTGAAGTACCGGAACCCCAACTTCAGCGATAGCACCTCGCTGGACATGATGCTGCTCGACAACGTGAGCATAAAGTCGGATAAAATCGAGATGGAGGTCACCCAGAGACGGGAGAGCACCACTGTGGTCAATGGCCAGGCCAAGAAGCAGCTTACCCAGGACAACTTCATCAAGTGAGTGACACAGCCACACGGGCTACAGTGAGAGTTGAGTTCTTCAGCCTGATTTTCCACAGATTCCTGAAAGCAAAGGTAGCCATACTCGAGGAGGATCATGCCCAGCATGCCAGTGAACTTGGCCGCCAGAAGGAGAAGCTAGACCAGGCCCTGGAGGGGCTGCGCAAGTCAGAGAGTCAGCGGGATCAGAGTCTGCACTCCAACAAGCACCTGGGGGAGCAGCTGCAGCGGGCCGAACAGCAGTACGAGGAGGCCAACCGTCGCCTGAAGGAGCGCCAACAGGAGTTCACCAGCCAGCAGCGCGAGCTGGAGCAGCTGAAGCGCGACAACAAGGTGCTGAAGCAGGGCAATACAAATCTGGAGAACCGTCTGACTCGCACCCAGGAGGAAGCCGAGTCCGCCCGCCAGGCCCTCAGCAAAATGCGCGACGAGCAACGCGACGAATTGGACTCGCACCGCAATGAACTGAAGGAAAAGGAAAGCCGCATCAAGGCTCTGAAACGGCAGCGAGGCGACCTACTGAATGCCTACAAGAAGCAGCTGTACATGATCGACAATCTGAAGCGGCAGACCAGCTGCATGGAGCAGTCGGTGGCCATTGGCTGCGGGGAGAAGGAGTTCAACAAGGTGCTGGAATGGAACGCCAAGACGTAGTTTTTTGATTTTAGCTAGAATACATTTAAGACTACACACCAATGTATATAAATGAATAGCAATTAAATTTTATGGTACAGGTCCCCAAGCAATCTCGTTTCAATTATCACCGTAACTCAATTAGGAAGGAGTCAAGGAATCCGTGGCGTGGCCTGGCCACTGGCTGGACCTTCTGGTGGGTATAAAAGCCGTGACCGTCGCTTGGTTGGACACAGAACCATTCGCTCGCTTCAAGCACTCACAACAGGACCATCTATCGCACACTGCCCATAACGCTCACCGAAGACTGCAAAATGGCTCTCCGATTCTCACTCACTCTGCTGCTGGTGACCATACTGGCAATGGCCATTCTGCTGGGCTCCAGCGAGGCGGCCTACAGGAAGCCCCCCTTCAATGGCAGCATCTTTGGCAAGCGCAACGGTATGGGTAAGTTTCGAATGCTGCTTCACTGCTGGGGATCATTGAATTGACTTGACTCTGATTTGTATGTAGACTATGACAATGCCAAGATGAGTGCCGTATGCGAGGTGGCCATGGAGGCGTGTCCCATGTGGTTTCCACAGAACGACAGCAAATAGGACCACGCCCTCCGACTGCGCCTCCTAGAAGTGATCTCAAGCCTAAGATTAATACAATATCAGCAGCAGGCAGGTAGATGCTGTGGCTGCAGCAGCAGCTGCGACTAAATGGGGAAAATCGAGACATTATAAAATCATTATATAAAAAATGTTATATTATAAGCCGTGCATACGCATAAAACTTACGCATTATCATATAGAAACATACATATAATCATTAAACATACTGCAATGAACTTGATCCTGCTCTACCATTATTGAAATATTCCTACAGATGATCGATCGTTGTCTGCCAGTCGATGCAAGCACACTCGTGAGATACAATTAGATTACAATTAGAATACAGTTTGAAAAGGGCCTAGGCCACCTCTGTTGCACGCTGCCACTCTAGTGGCCTAGTGTATCCTCGGCGCTCGTCCACGGCCCCGATGCCTCAGCTCATTCACATGCTTGCGCAGATTGGTTATGTAGTCCGTCATGGAGGAGGTGAGTGCCTGAAACGAACAACATATAACATAGCCGCCATCCAAATGCGTGTTGACGACTACTCACTGCATCCAGAACGTAGCGAGGGATGTATCCCTTCAGATCCAAGCACAGCACCCATTCAACAATGCAGCTGTCCGATTTGCCAACGATTTCCCGAAAGGCAAACCCAGTGACAATATTCTCGCCCCTGCAATTGGATGAGAAATTGTAAGAGTGAGTTTCCTTTTTGTTTGCAGACTCACCTAGTGTATTTTGATGTGGGCGGAACAGCAGCGTATTGCACACTAATCGCGGCGGTCATCCAAACCTTATCCGTGGTCTTGCCAATGCTGCTGGGTTTTGTCATGGTCTCTTTGTCCGCTTCGCCATCTATCTTTTCTTGGGCATCTGAAAACTCATCTTGGTCCAGAGGCGGTGGTTCATCATCAAAATTAACTACTGGTCCCAGACTCTTTGCGCCCAGACTGTTGCCCAGCGTATTAAAGGGCGTTGAGGGACCCACCGATGCGCTGGGGAACTTTGCCCGACAACTGGTCACACTGCTGGCCAGAGGCGATTGCGATTCGCCATCAGATATGGTGCTGACACTGCCCTCGCATGAGCGGTTCAGTGTGCTGTTGTCGTCGTCATCGTCGCTGCTCAGCTTGGCCACATCATCGTCGTCGCAGATTTGGCCATTGTTGAATAGACGACACGACCGTAAGTTGACAAAGTCGCGACTCTTTACCATGCCACCACCACCTCCGATGGACACCTGATAGGTGATGTCCGTGTACGAGTTTATTTTCTATTAAACGAAACGAATTTTGTGTGTGAGCAAAGAAATTCTCTGGATTATTGTTTATGAACTTACGCGCACTATTTTGGATTCCAGTAGGGCCGGATTCCATTTTGGACAGTCCTCAATGCGGTAGAATAGATCTTCCATCAGAGCCTTGGCAGGATATTTGATGCGGGCCTGTAAAACGGAATAGACTCCATTTAATACATCACTCGGAGAAAGCGCAGCCTAACGCACCGTCAGTTTGTATATTTTTCCAGTCTTTTCCCGCTGCATGCTGTGAATGGTGTCGCCCTTGTGGGTTACTTTTTCCACCTTCCAGTCACTGGACTCAATGATCTGATAGGCCTTGCGCAGGCAATCCAAGCCCATTTGGTGATACTCCTCATCCTGAAATGGAACCAATCAAGGCAAAGTTAGTTGACAGGCAGAACAATTGCTATTTATACGCATTCAACTACCGAAAACATTGCTGCCGCTGCTGTCAGAATCAAACGGTCAGCATCTTTTATAGTCGCCAGGCGGACTGCATTTTATTCAAAAATGTTTTTCGAATGTGCATACATTAATACCACTTACCTCTTCATCTTCTTCGTCGGAGTGGCGAGCGGTGTCCAGCGGTGAATAAAAATCAGTCACACTCTGAGGCGGTCGCTCATTCTCAATCAAGATGGATGGCTGTACCAAAGGTGTGCGATCATTCGAGATCAGGGCTGCAATAGAATGGAAAAACTTAACATATTAAAGGGAATTTGAAGCCGAACCGAACTTACACCTGAAATAGTGCTGGGCATGTCGCTCCTGCGGTATGACCCGACAGTCAAGGAACCAGGCCTCGCCCCAAGCCAGTATAAATGAAGTAATTATGAGGATGACTTCGAATACCTGTTGCTTGGCTTGCAGCCACTGTGGGCAAGATAAAGGAAAGCTTGTTTAAAATTCTCATTGAATGTGCAATTCAGATCTTGTCTTACATTGAAAACAAAAACCTTTGAGATCAGGAACAAGCACGAACAACTCGTCGATAGCTGCAAAGGAGGATTTTTCTGATCAATATCAGAGCATCATAGATCAACATAGATATAAACATACCGCTATAATGGACCAATGATTGATGTACATCATGGCGTAGAAAAAGATTAGGACTATGAATCGACACAGCGCTATGGCAACCACATCGAATAGCGATGTATAGATTGTGTACTCCACAATTTGCTTGTGGAACGCTTGGAATATATTGTCCCCATCAATCTGAAAATCCGAAATAAATCAAAGTTGAAACGTTTCGACACCATAGATGACATACCACAATGCAAATGAGCCACAGCAGTGACACAAACACCAGATCGAATGTTACGAAGAGGCAGAAGAAGCGTCGCACCACAGACATTCGTCCATCTTGCATGTAGCCGGCTAGGAAGTCCTCGGTTATCAAGTTGATGGAATGTGCTCGTGCTGCTATTATAATGCGATTCGAGTTTAGATAGCCAGATTGCCAGCAGCTGTACTTACACATATCATATGGCATGTGGTAGGCATTATTCCCATGTCGCGCATTGGACAGAAGGAGCTGTGCAGCGTTGCGGGCATCCACTGAATCACTTTGAGGCATGGCAGTCGGTGGTCACTGAGCTTAGCTCATTTTATTATCCGCTATAACGACACCAGAACATTGTTTATCAATTGCGAATCCCTAGAATGCGCTTATCTTTGATTGATAGTACAAAATCAGAACAATGGGAAAGGAGGAAAGCCGAAAAGACTTCTTCTCTTATGGAGGAGCTCAATGTATGACTAATTCAAAGGCGTATAAATAGTCAATTATACTCAATATTACGCCGATAAGAATGGAATTAGTCGCCAGCGCAATTTGGGTTTATACCGACTTATAAATACTTCATATAGACATTTAATTAGCAGACGACCCACTAACCAGGCTCGGAATCTGGAGCACAGCCTATAATTATTCCTTTACGTATGTATTGTAGCCATCTTTTAGATTATCTATAATCAAATCTTTTGTTTTCTTCAGACAGAAACTATATTCTAACAATGGCGGGTTTACGCTAGAAAATTCATTCACAATAAGAAAATAAAATTACCTTAACTAATGGTATTCGTTGCACTTTGTTCTTATAGTATAAAAAAGACGACAACAGGCGTCAATCGCTATCTAATTGCATTACTTTTATATGTTATTACAGTTTTATTTATGAACAAAAGGAAAAGAAAATATAATGCAAAAACAGCTGGTCAGTGTGGATTATTTGGCTTGCTCTAAAATACCAGATATACCAGAGTGGCAAAAAGTATTTGCTCAGTATTTTATATTCTTATTGCCGTATGACATTAAACTTTTCTGACCAACTGAAAGACAGTGATAACCTAACGGATGGGACATAACTATAAATTCTACAAATATGAAATCAATGATTGCTATTCTTTAGTGAGAGGGATATACAGATCTTCGTATGTTTAGGAATTTGGAATATTAGAGCTCGCCAATCATGGGCTAAATGTGAGAATATTTTCAGCGACAAAACACACACAAATATTTATTATTTACAATCTTGCTTAATTACTTAAGTGTATTGATATAATTTTGATATCATCGTAGGGTTTGTCCGTTTTGGGATTCGCTTTTGTGTTGCAAATATTGAGAACGACTTCCATGCCCCGATACACCCGACCAAAAACAGTATGCTTATTGTCAAGCCAAGGCTGTAAATAATTATGGTTTCAAAAAAGGGCAACTAGTTGGGCAAAGTATTGAAATACTTACAGTTGGCAGGACTGTTATAAAGAATTGGCTACCATTGGTATTGGGACCAGCGTTAGCCATACTAACCGTATACGGACGATCATGCTTCAGACTTGGTACGAACTCATCCTTGAAATCGTGTCCCCAGATTGACTTACCGCCAGTTCCTGTTCCCGTGGGATCACCCGTTTGCACCATGAATCCCTTGATAACACGATGGAATATGTGCCCGTTGTAGTACCTGAATAATGGAGACCGTGTGAAGGGAAATTACAAACTGAGAAATGATTCTAGTTCTTACCCATTCTTCGCATGAACACAGAAGTTCTCGATTGTCTTCGGTACCTCCTTGAAGAATAGCTTTATATGAACGTCCCCTTTGGTGGTGTGTAGCACCACGTTCTCATAGATACGTTGCACGACTAAAATGATTAAACAGTTTCAATGATATAGATTTTGAATGGGCAAACACAGAAGTAAAAATAACCTTCGTCTTGAAAAAGTGTTAGCGTTAGGGGAAAAATTAAATGGTTAGTAAACAATTAACTAAATAGATTAGAAATATCTGAATACCTGTCGCCTCTGGCACTGCAATAATATCTTCTTTCGATGGCTTCTCATTGAATATATCACGGTCAACATCCTGTAGATCTGAGGGCAACCTTCGACTGTACAAGTAAAAGCGGTTTTTCCTAGCAAACGTATAAGAAGCGTGTAAGTAAATCGTAGAGGCTTTGACGAACAACTAAACCTACTTGTAACCGGTGCAAAAAGCTGTTGGATCATTAAAATAGTTGTGCAATGCTGGGTTTTCGCTCGCCTCCTGTTCGAGCGTTATTGCGGCCTTCTGCCTTTTCACCCTGCCTTGGAACAAGGCCACCTGTAGGGGCCGTATGTTGTCCGTCTTGCCCAGAATTGTGACGCACCGATTCGTTACCACATTGATCACTTTTATGCCCAGCATGGTTGGATAGAGCAAAAAGTTTCCGGTGCTATCGAACAGAATGTTAAGTGTGGTATTTTGTGCGGTCTTTTCCAGATCGCGTTCAGCGGCCATTCTAAAAAAAAGTCCATCAAACAATGCTATGCAATAAATCAGAAATTATTTTTCTATATACCTTCTGCCAAACTCCATGTTCGGCAATGCGTGCGGCGTCTGCTGCAGTTGGGTGTACGTGGAGAGCGCTTCATCAAACACTCTTATCATCTTTCCCGTATTAAACTGAAATACGCGAACCTTGCGATCTGTGGAAATGGCGGCGAAACGCTTGCCGTCCGGGGAGGCTGCTAGACCAGTGACTTGGGTCTTTTGTTTGGCAAACTCAAAGAGGCTTGTGTCTAGTTTGGAGTCGAAATTCACCAGTCGCTGGGGAAATCTGTAATCATGCTTCGGCGTTTGCCAGTACTCCAATATACCCTTACGATCCACCGATATAACCGTCTCCATGGCCACATTGAAGCACATGGCGACCACAGGGGCCGCGTGCATCTTCTCCAAAGTGTGCAACACTTGGCCCCCGCTCTGTCCATCGTAAATGTGTATGAAGTTGCTCTCCGCGTCCGTGCTGTAGATAAGATAGTCATTATAGTTACGCTAGTGAGTATATTGTCTCTCAATTAGCCAGCTTACATGGCCAGTCCCTGGACGGCATCACCTGGAGCGCTTATCCATTCGGTACATTGGGGTGTGTAGCCCAGGCGGATTATATTAATCATGTCAAAGTTCACCACATCGAAGACCTTGGCTGTTTGATCGGTCGCCGCCGAGCAGAGCAATGTGCCACTAGCATTCGCAGACAACGACTTGATGGGAACTATAAGTGAACGAACGCTGTGAAAATGAGTGTCAAAAGAAACTTCACGTCCACGTACCCAAATGACTTCTAAAGTGCTTGACGAACTCAATGCCCAGCTCTCCCTTCTTCCAGAACTTGATGTGCCCATCCAAGCTGGCGGTAACCACAAAATCTGTCTTTGTGCACACCAAATGCGAGATCACGTCTCTATGCATGTAGCTCCGTTCATAGCTCTCGGCGTTGGGCAGGTTCTCCAGGAAGATGTGTTCGTACGGCAGCACTGCACAAAGCATAACCGTTTCGGTGAGAGCAGTCAAACAGATTGACAGAGAATTTATTATTTACCCTTCTTTTTCTTGGCCGGCACAGCAGTTTGTTCCGAAGGCATTGGCCCAATCCAAACAGTATCTTCACCATCGGCATCGTTCTCTCCCGCAGTTTCTGCATTCGGTTCATCTTCCTCCGCCGGGGCGCTGCGCTTTAGATCTTCTCTACTGTCTGATTCACTCATTTTGTATGCTATTTTCTTAACAAACTAATAAAAACACAAGATAATTCTGAGAACGTGAATAATTTTAGCGCCGTTTGCATGCCAGCAGTGTGACCGCGGAGCTATCTATCAAATATACCGTCTGGATTTATTAAATATACCGTAACATACCAAAAAATGTATTAAATATACTAAATACCACTCTGAAAGTGGCTGCTAGAGGTGGAAGAACATCGATGAAACCTGATGTTTTGCAAGGTAAAAACATAACAAGGCACAGAGATTTGAACAAACTTGATTATATTTGTATTAAAAACATTGTAAATACAAGATGGAGAAGCTTGGCCAGGAGGAAACTGCGCATTCCAGCCGGATTGCAGTGAATAGCAGCAAGGATGGCGATGACGGTGGTGGCGGCGGCGGTATCAGCGGCGGCGGCGGAAGCGCGAAAGGCATTGTTGTAAATGCAGCACTCGGTGATACAGAGACACGCATACGAATCAATAAATGGCGCGTACGCGAAGGACAATTCGTGTCGGCAGCACAAATCCTGTTTCTCTACCAGGAAGTTGGGGACGATGGCAAGCCGTCAAAGGTCGGCAACATTACAATCCAAAAATACAAGTCAAATCGTGCCGGAGTGGTCAAAAAGCGGCTTCGCAAAGACGGCGAAATGATAGTGAAGGGGTGAGTTTTCCCAACACTCTGTTTTGGTGGGGGGCGCTGTGCTGTTGTTGTTGGTGTGAGGTTGGGGTTGGGTGGGTGGAATGCAATTATGCTCAACGCCACACAGATGGGGGTATACACACATATTGAGCGTGGTTTTGTTTTTATTTGCCATTCCAGGGATGCGATTCTGGAGTTGTCCGAATGCATACACACAACCGTCATCAAGGATATGTGTGCGGACTGCGGAGCCGATTTGCGAAAAGATGACAATGTAAGTGTCAAAAACATTGAACATTCCCAAGCCGAGTGACACAAACTAATTTGATCGTTTCCTCTCTCCCAAGGGCCAAACCTCTGAGGCCTCGGTGCCGATGGTGCACACCATGCCGGACCTCAAAGTCACCCAAAAGCTGGCCCAAAAGCTTGGCCATGATGACACACGGCGTCTTCTGGCCGACCGCAAGCTGGTGCTTCTCGTTGATCTCGACCAGACGGTCATCCATACCACCAACGACACCGTGCCGGAGAACATCAAGGGGATCTATCACTTTCAGCTATATGGCCCACAGTCGCCGTGGTACCACACGCGACTGCGCCCCGGCACAGCCGAGTTCCTGGAGCGCATGTCCCAGCTGTACGAGTTGCACATCTGCACATTTGGCGCCCGGAACTACGCTCACATGATTGCTCAACTGCTCGATCCGGAAGGCAAGTTCTTCTCGCATCGCATACTGTCACGCGATGAATGCTTCAATGCCACCAGCAAGACGGACAACTTGAAGTGAGTGGCAACCCCCTGAATATGTGTTTTGAGTAATCTTTTAATGGAAAACAATTTGCAGGGCTTTATTTCCGAATGGTGATTCGATGGTGTGCATCATTGACGATCGAGAGGATGTCTGGAATATGGCGTCAAATTTGATCCAAGTCAAGCCCTACCATTTCTTCCAACACACCGGCGACATCAATGCGCCGCCGGGCCTGTCCAAGCACGAGTTGGATGGTGAAGGTGTCGACTTCAAAGGTTAGTCTCGCATCTAAATCATCAGCAAACATCATTACAGTGGTCTATTTCTTGCAGATATGGCAGAGAAAGAAGAGGAAAAAGATAAGGCAGATGGGGAGAGCGAAATAAAAACTGAAGACCCCGATAAAGGCGACAATACTGTATCAAGCACAAGCAAAGATGAGGACGGAAATGAAGAACACGTTGACGTACTCGAGCATGAAAACGACGCAAAGGATGCGGAGGTGACAAACACCTCGAATATCACAGAATCAAAGGAGCTGAAGGACAAGCTCAACGGCAAGGCGGATAAGGATGTCGATGTGGAAGCGGATGCGGATGCGGATGCGGATACGGATACGATTGTAGATAATAGCTCATCTGGCACGCCGGATCCACAAAAGCCGGCCAGCGATAGCGAAGACATAGTGGTAGACGATGTGACATCGGAAAATTCCAAGGATAGCACAAGTGCGCTTAAAGTTGATGCCAACACGGAGATTGACTCAAAGGTAACGGCAGCCGAAACGAATGACCTGGTGCAGTCCTCAACTAGTCCAACGGATAAGGAGAACCAGAGCCAAGTTAGTGGCGAAGATGCCGCCACCACGTCAAAGAGTCCCATCGTCAAAGTCAACCCCGACGATGGAAAACTAATTGAGATTGAGGACCCGGATGACTACCTACTGTATTTGGAGGTAATATTGCGCAACATACACAAGCGCTTCTATGCGATCTACGACGAGACCATGGAGATACCAGACTTGAAGATAATTGTGCCTAAAATTCGATGTGAAGTGCTGCGCGGAAAGAATCTTGTGTTTTCTGGCCTAGTGCCAACGCAAATGAGACTGGAGCAGTCCCGTGCCTACTTCATAGCCAAGAGTCTGGGTGCCGAAGTGCAGCCGAACATTAATAAGGAGAGCACACATCTGGTGGCCGTCAATGCGGGCACCTACAAGGTAAATGCCGCCAAGAAGGAGGTCAACATCAGGGTGGTCAATGCCAATTGGCTGTGGACCTGCGCCGAGCGATGGGAGCATGTGGAGGAGAAGCTATTCCCGTTGGACCGCAAAGTGCGCAACAAAGGCCGCCAGCCGCCCGCCCATTGCCACAGTCCCGAGCATGTGGTCAACTACAGCGAGAGATCGGAGATATCGCCGTCGAGCAGCAAGCAACAGGAGGAGCAGAGTGGAAACTTTCGGGAAACCCTAAATCCGCTGCTGGTCCTCACAAATGAGGAAATCGATTCTATGAACAAAGACTACGATACGTTCTTCGAGTCCGACTCGTCCAGTGACGAGGGACCCGTGAATTTTGGTAAGGCCACAGCATGCGAGTATTCTTAACAGAACTTTTGTATTTATTTCCGACTGTTCAATTGCACCCTAGAAAATCCACCCATGGACAAGAAACTGCTGAAGCGCAAGCGTGAGGACGAGAACTCGAATCGGGCACACGATTTCTTTATGCGCACTGGAGATGTGATGATGGGAGCGCCGAGTCTAGCTGACTTTGATGAGGATGAACGCGAGCGCGATGACAATAACGAGGACGAAGAGGATGATGACGATGAGATTCCAAGCGCAAAATTCCGACGAGGTAGGAGGCAGGGTCTCAACATAATTGAAATTAATTTACTAATCATCCAATTGGGATTTCTTGCAGGGGAGGAGCTGCCGTCAGATTTGGAAATTGGTTCGGACTCGAACAGTGAAAACAATCAGGAGGATGAGGACGATGGCGAATGGAATATGATGGGAGCCGCTCTGGAGCGGGAATTTCTGGGGCTGGAAGATTAACTATTTGACTTTGACTTTGACATTTAGAATGTCTGCGAGGCTTTCGAAGACGGACTGGAACGGAACGGAACCCAACCCAACCCACAACTTAACAACAACAACAACAACAAATGAAGCAATATGATCAGCTATCATTTACATATGTAGATGTAGAGAGTATCTAGGTATGCCGCCTATGTATAAGATCTGTACTGTATGTATGTATTAGTAGTTAACTTTAAATAGTTTTAAGCGATCGCACACATCAGTCTTCGCTGATTACTCTTCCTCAAAAACCCACACACACACACACACTCCAGCCAACCCCAAGCCCCGCCCCGCCCCTCCCCCACATCGTCACGCATTGAAATTGTAATCAAAAACATCTCACGACTTAAATCTAATCTAATGTAAATTGATATCTACTGTAAATGTTTTAAAAATAAATTCCGTTGAAACGGACTAGCTAGCGTCTAGTGTTTATTTTAAATAACTTATGTACACCACACCAGTAGTTGTTTATTGTTTGTCGTTGTGTTTGTAATAGATCACCACATTAAACTTGAACAAATATACATACAAAGTAAATTGAAGAACAGCCCCCAACGATTTTGCTACGTCTTGTTGAGCGACGACCGCTGCTCCTTGAAGCGGCTGACTCGCTTCTTTGGGGTATGCGCGTCTATGAAATTTTCCTTGGGCAGGGGGTCTGGCGCCGTTGGATCCTTAGTCTCCACCAGATCGTGCATCACCTTCTGATAGGCACTCATGTCCCTCAGATCATCTTCCAGAGTGCGCTCCTTCTTCGGCCGGTTGCCTTTGCCCTTCTTTGCCTTCTTCGTTTGTTTTGTGGTTATGTGCGACTCGCGCTCAACAGCGGACTTATTTCGCAGGATTGACTTGGACAAAGGTGCATCAGCTGTTGCGGTGGCACTCGTATCTGGCTTGGAAAACTAGAAAACAATGTGGCTTTAGGTTTGTCCCAAACTGGTTTATGTCTTTTCCTTACCTGAGTTCGCGGATCCTCGTAGGCCTCCACACGCGCAGTCTCATTCAGTATGGGCACTTTCAGCTCCTGTTCGCCATCGAAACCATTCACGTATATGGGAAAAGTGTGCGGCGCCTTTGCCTTTGCTTTCACATACTGCATGTAGAAATCTGCCGGCGTTCCTGGCGTGCCTTCGTCGCATTCAGGCATCGCAGCAGGCACCGCATCGGAATGTGTGAAGCTTAGGTTTAGCGTGTTGATGCGACCAGTTGACTCCTCCAGTATTCGGTTAAGCAAATCGAAATCTTGGGCACTCTGATTCTCCTGTACATAATCTAGGTTCTGCTGAACCTTTTGCAATATCTCCGAGTTCTTGTTTCTTACTTTCTCTGGATGCACTGGAATCATGGTGTTATTTGGTGGATCATCCAGCGTTATAATATCGCGGGCCCGCTGCTTCGCCTTTGGCACCATTTCGGCAACGGATTCGTGGGTATGGAACTCCAGCTTCTCCTCTGACAGGGCAAAGGAAATACGCCGCTTTTTAGGATCCGCTTTGGGTGCTATCTCAGGCGCTTCCTCATCCATGGAAGCCTGCTCCTCGTCGCTGGCTTCCAACAGATCGTTTTCAAACATCAACTCCTGGAGGTCATCTTCCAGCGATGACAACCACATTCATTAAATGAGTCAGCTCTTCACTTATAAATTTAACTCTTTGTATTTTGCGCATTTTCGCCTTTAGAACCTGCAGCTGGGACCTAAGGAATGGTTCACGTTCTTTGCTGGGCAACAGGGACATCTGATTTCGAATGGTTTGCACCTCCTGGTCTTCCTGGTCGACAGGTTCATCTTCTACACTTTCTATTTCATCTTTAAATTCTAGACTGGGCAACAAGGATAAATTTTCTGAAGTGGTTTGCCCCTTTTCTTCTTTGGCATCATCAAGAGTCTGCTTTGCTTCTTGGCCATTAGCTTTACCTTGATTCACACTCTTGTCACTCTTGACACTTATATTTGAAGCTCTTCCTATACGTTTTTTCGACGAAGTTTGCCTTAGTTCACCGGACATTAATTGATGCACCACTTGTTGGTCTGTGCTATGAATAAGGGCTTCCTCCTCCTCAGTAAGTTTTAAGTGAATGGGCTTATCTTTCGTGGCTTTACCTTTACTTTCAGCAGGTTTTTCTTGAATCTCTCTCAGCAGCTCTTCTATCATCTCCGGATCTGCATTCTCAGGGTCCAGACCCAGTTCTTCCATTATCTCGAGCACTTCCAATTTGTTAAGCTTATCTTCGCCGTTTCTGAGCTCTGCCTCGCGTTCCTGACGCTCCACTTGTTTCATCCTGCGCATACTTTCTTTGTGTTTCGCCCTCCAATTGATTTCAGCCTCTTCGTTGTAATCTTCAATGATTTCGAACTTTCCGGGCTCTGCCATAGCACCCTCCGCAAGTGGCGCGTCCAATTTGTTTCTGAAATACGATCGTAAACATTGAGCACTGCCAAATGCAATTACTGGATCAACTTACTGCCACAGGTTCGCTTCGGTCTCAAGCTTTTTCAAGCGTTCTTCCGCCAGCCGAAGGCGATGCTGACATATTTCCTTGGCCTTATGCGCGGAACAAGCCGAGAAGTATCCTTCGCTGTGGCTCACCATCAACTCGTTTGTGTGTATGAGCTGGCCCGGCATTAAAGCCTTCCTGCCAATGGGCACCATAACCTCGACGCTGAGGCTCTTGGCGAACATGTCCAAGTTTCGAATGGCGCTCTCATTATCGCTTTTGTATGTCTGCCAACGGTCCGTTTCCTTCGCATTATCATCGATGGCCTGAAACCAACCAATTTTGTAATCAATGTCCTTATTTAACTATGAAAAGATCTAGAAACCTCCCGAAGAGCATCCTCGCGCCGGTCCATGTTAGCAGTGTGACCGTAAATGTCCCGAGCAAAAAACAAACTTAACCCACTTAACCCCGCTCTACTTAAACAGTGGAAAGGCTTGAATTAAGCCGCGGAATATAATTCTGTTCATACTGTAAATTTATCTTGAAGATGCTTTATATTCATCCATCTTACTTGCAAAAAAAATTACCACGATTATCTCTGACCTGAAATGCGCAAAAATTCGTCAAGTTTCATAATTTTCGTGCGTAAATACCCACTGGTCGACTATGGGTTAATCGGTCTCTGTCCATGGTCGGAAATCATATTCCCCGATATTGATATTCGGTTTAATATGACTATGAATCACATTTCTACAAAAATGGCTAACTTTGAGGACTCTTTTTATTCGGTTGTTTGTACAAAAAAGATTTAAACAAAAAATAAACGCATACACATATCGTTATCTGTAGTTTCCGCGGCTAAAATCGAAATTAAAACTTCCATCATCATTTGATAACTGAATTGTATAACATTCATAAATTGATGACTGGAAAATGAGTTTATCAACAATTTGACTGCTCATCCGCAGTCAGCCGGCTGGATAGTAAACTTGGAAGAATCAATAAATTGTACTGTAAACACATACGATTTCACAAATAACCCCTAAAAATGTTGCTGATTTAATAATCTTTCGAACTAAACGAAATGAAAAATACAATTAACAAATCTTAGACTATTGGGCGGCCAATTTCGCATCCAATTGCTTCATATCGACACCAATTTCGATGAGTCGCTTCTCCTGCTCTTTGGTGTCCAGCCCGTGCTCCTTGTTGTACCTATAGTTGACAGTCAGCTGCACCTCCTCCATGCCGCTCACATGGTCGTACAGATTTCCCTCCAGCCGCTGATCAATGTCGCTCTCCTCGCGCAGGCAGCAGAAATACAGTAGAAATACGGCCAAGCTGGCTGAGATCACATAGGGCTGGTACCAAAGGGATTCATCGCTACCTCCACTGCGGGTGTCCCGTGCTCGCCAGGTGGCCGCCTGACTGCCAAAGAACTGTATGGGTTCATTGCTGATCTGTCCCTCCTCCGGCTTCTTGGATTCCTTCGCCCAGTTCTGGGCATAAAAACGCGGAGAGCCGGAAGACGCACTAGTCGCAGTGCCCAACTGCCTGAAACATTTTTGGCTATTAATCTGAATTCTTTAGGGTTTAAAGTATGTTGTTTCTCACCTTGCGAGTCTGGTTCTTGTTAGCAAACGCAGCATTTTCTTTTCGGAAATTTAAGCAAAATTTCATAACAAATGGTAAACAGCTGAGGGCCAGGGCTGCTAGAAACATCGAAGCGATGTTTATAATTATTTATACCAGATTCAAACCTAACTAAATCCATAATCAATACCTTTAATTTGTTGTATTGTCGAATGCTAATTATCTCATTAAAATTAATAGTCAAGTCCGAGAAAATTTGTAATTGAGACATCAAAGGATATCGACATTTCAGCCGATAGATTCCGCCAGGGCTGGGCTGGTTGTGCCACACGTGCGTTGTAAATTTATAAACACGCGCTGGAATTTTAAAATAATTCATGAAAAAAATGGGGGCAACCAAGAATCTGGACTTGATTGGCACCATTGAAGATGATGCCGAGGTGGAGAATCTATCCGAGGACTCTGATGCCGAAGTGGAGGTGAGAAACACAAGAAAAGAAATATTTTATGCTTTGAATGAAAACTGAGACACTCTTCTCTCACCCGGCGGCAGTATCAACCCACGAAGCTGCGTCACAAGAAGGTAACCGAGTTCGAGAAGGGCTTCGAGTTTGTCGGCTCCGTCAAGGAGTATAACCAGGACACCTGGGACGATCTCATGAAGTATATCAAGAGGAAGGCACGCACAAAGACCGATGACAAGATTGCTGCCCGCCTGCAGAAACGCGGTGGAGCCGAAGCGGTGGCCGCCGAGCAGAGTGACGAGGATGAGATAGACCTTTCGGAGGATGAGCTGCAGCACGATAATCTGCGTTTGCGGGAAAAGAAGCTAACCAAGAACAAGAAGAAGAAGAAGACCGAAGAGGAAGACGAGGATGAGGGCGAAAAAATGCAATTCGACGACACTGTGGAGGGCAACGAGCAAATCACCTCCTTCTATCAAATGAATCTGTCGCGTCCCCTTATGAGATCCATCGGCGTACTGGGCTACACCTATCCCACGCCCATTCAGTCCTCGACGATACCGATTGCCCTCTTGGGCCGGGACATTTGTGGTTGTGCCGCCACTGGTACGGGCAAGACGGCCGCCTACATGCTGCCCACACTGGAGCGTCTGCTGTATCGTCCACTCAACAACAAGGCCATCACCCGTGTCCTGGTGCTGGTGCCCACCCGTGAGCTGGGTGCCCAGGTCTATCAGGTGACGAAACAGCTCTGCCAATTCACAAGCATTGATGTGGGATTGGCCATTGGTGGCCTGGATGTGAAGGCCCAAGAGGCTGTGCTGCGTCAGAATCCAGATATTGTGATAGCCACTCCTGGACGTCTTATAGATCACATTAAAAACACCCCCAGCTTCACTCTGGACTCCATTGAGGTGAGTTAATTCCCAGATATTTTATAGTTCCTTCATTACTATGATGAATCTCCATCCTTGCGCTCTGAGCTCATCACTGGGCAAAGCGGATAGCCCTGGTACCTGCAACTGCGCGGCAGCTGCAGGCTGATCACAGAAATTTAAATGAAAATTCCACTTTTATAGTCCGCGTGTATAATTTTTGTCTGCTTTTCCTTTGCAGGTTCTCATCCTGGACGAAGCTGACCGCATGCTGGACGAATATTTCGCAGAGCAAATGAAGGAGATCATCAATTCCTGCTGCAAGACACGCCAGACCATGCTGTTTTCGGCCACGATGAGCGAGCAGGTCAAAGATCTGGCCGCTGTCTCGCTGGAAAAGCCCGTCAAGGTTTTTGTCAACAACAATCAACAGGTGGCCTACAATCTGCGGCAGGAATTCATACGCATACGCGAGGACAAGGAGGGAGATCGCGAGCCCATCCTGGCCAGCTTGATATGTCGCACATTCCACGACCATTGCATGGTCTTTGTGCAGACCAAGAAGCAGGCCCATCGCTTGCACATCCTGTTGGGTCTGCTGGGCGTAAGGGCCGGTGAGCTGCATGGCAATCTAACCCAGCAACAGCGTTTGGAATCGCTCAAGAAATTCAAGGAAGAGCAGATCGACGTCCTGATCGCCACAGATGTGGCTGCTCGTGGTCTGGACATTGTGGGTGTGAAGACTGTCATTAACTTTGTGATGCCCATTACGACAGAGCATTACATCCATCGTGTGGGCCGTACGGCGCGTGCCGGTCGTGCCGGTATCTCCGTCTCGTTGGCGGGTGAAAAGGAGCGCAAGATTGTCAAGGACATTATCAAGAATGCCGAGAGCACCATCAAGAATCGCATTATTCCACCGGAGATTATTGAGAAGTATCGCAAGAAGCTGACCGCCCTGGAGCCAGAGATTCGTGAGTACACAAACCGCATAATTGTTTGTCCTTGGTCCTAATCGTTGATTGATTCCATTCAGAAAACATTCTCGACGAGGAGCAGGCCGAACGTCAGCTCGCCAAGACAGAGCAGCAGCTGTCCAAAACAGAGCGTAAGCTTTTGGGCCAGACCAACGACAGACGCGACTGGTTCCAAACGAAGCAACAGCGCGAGGATGAAAAGAACCGACTCGCACTGACCCCAAGTGACGAAGGGAAGCCAGCAGGCGGCAGAGGCAAGGGCAAGGGCCAGGGTCCGAACGCTGGCAAGCGCAAGCGACCCGAATACGGCGGCGATGGTGAAGATGGTCCGTCAGTCAAGGAGCTGGATGCCAAGCGACACAAGAAGAAGAAGGAGGAGCCGAGGAAAAAGACCCCAGAGCAGATGGCCAAGGAACGGGCCATGAAAGAGATCGAGAAGGTATCGTTGGTGCGCGCCAAAATGTCCAAGCTCAAGAAGCGCCCTGGCAAGCTGGGGGCAGCCACCGAGCCTCCCAAATACGGAGCCAATGCGGCGGGCAACAAACCCAAGCGACGCGGCCCTCAATCGGCATTCACCAACGATTTGACCGATGTCAGTCGGGGCGGAGCATTGCGATTGAGGTAAGCACATATACAATTGTATTTAAAGATCATTCCATTAACAAATCTCTCCCCAAAACAGATCCGAGGCTAATCGCCACAAGAAGATGACAAAGATTGCGGCCAAGAAGAAGGTCAGCAACGTAAAGCTGGCCAACAAGGCGGGCAAAAACAAATTCAACAAGGGAAAGAGCTTTGGTGGACCTCGCTTCCAAAAGAAGGATAAAAAGAAATAGTTGGATGCAATGCCGTAAAACTTGTAAAATAAAAAACATTTTATCCACATAGGCAGTTACAAAATTTAAACTTTTATTTATCGATAGGGCGCTTGTTTGTCGAATACCGATTGAAGCTCAAACATTTGTCGCTGACCAACACTCATTTGCCAATTTGGTGCGCTTTTGTTGTTCTTTTTCGTTATTTTAATAAATTTGCATTTAATTTTGCTAAAAAGAATAAAATGAGCTTGGCGTATGGTCCCCCACCTTCTGATTCGGACTCGGACAGCAGCTACGATGGCTTCTACTTTTCGGATACGGTAATTTGCACGAATTGTTGTGGCCACGAGGAGTTTGTTTGAATACCTGGAGTTGCTTTTATTGTGCAGGTCAAGCGTCCAAAGCCACAGCCGTATGTGGCACCGGATCAGAAGCTCTACGATGCCGTCCTCGATGGCGACATGGAGACTGTGATCAGGGAAATGGATTCCCTGCGGTTCAAGGTGAACGATCCGATCCGTGAGGGACCGACGTTGTTGATGCACGCCTGCCGTGAGGGCCACTACGACTTGGCCGAGTACCTGATAGAGAAGCGGTCGGCCAGCGTCAACAAGCAGGTGGAATCTCAGATGCCATTGATGGAGGCCTGCGACTGCGAAAAGAAGGATCCGAACTTGGCGGAGAAGCTGGTCCGCCTGCTGCTCCGACATGGGGCCGTCATCAATGTGTCCAACAAATTCGGCATGACTCCGTTTATGCTTGCCTGCCGCAACGGCTACACCAACGTCGTCCGCCTGATGATCAAAGACGCCAGCTTGAACGCCGTGGACAACCATGGCTGCACCGGGCTGTTTCATGCCATCGAGAAGAACCACGCGGACATTGTCAAGCTGCTGGTGGAGGCGGGCGTCAATGCCACGATTCCCAACGACAAGGGCTACACTCCCACCCAGGCGGCCGAGTCTCATGGCTATTATGATCTGCTGGAGCTGCTGCCACGGACTGTTGAAACGTACTTGGTGCCATCGCATTTCCTGAGCTACCACACGCTGAGGGACCACATTCCACGCATCTTCCTGAAGACCGACTGCCCGGAGTACTTTCAAGAGCTGAACAGCATCCTACAATCCATCGATATGCAGGACCAGCTGTCGCATTTTGCCATTTCGCGAACATCACTGGCCGAATTCCTGGTCATGGATGATCAGGCGCTCAAGGAAGTGGGCATCCCATTTCCCGTGCTACGCAACAAGATTAGGAAGGGCATCTTGGAGTGAGTGCATCAGCCACGTGTAAAATTGGCTTTAAGTGGAACTAAATTGTATCATCCTTTGCAGCTTTCATCTGCACCATTGGTCCAACAAGTCGATAGCTCGAGTGAAGAAGGATGGTATGGACAAGTGAGTCCCCTACAAATGGATATCTTTCTCTTAACCATGAAATGAATACAATGCTCTCTCTCTCTGCCTTTTAGCTTCTATGAGATACTCATGATCGCCGCCAACCATATGCAACAGTTGGTCATCATTCAGGCTTCACTCGACTTTGTCAAGAAGAACTTACAGGCAGGGAAACTGGGAAAAACCTCGACAATGCAGTTGGGCAGCCTCAAGAGCAATATCAAGGCATATCGCAGAGCTGTCGACGACCTAACCAAGACCGTGAAATATGTAAGCGTGCGCCATAGAGTCCCTATATTCCGACACTAATCCTTAGTTCTTCCCATGCCCACAGCTTGGTTCGTTCAGTCCGGCGAAGAATCCGCTGCACATCGACTACGATGAGATTCTGGCCGAGCGGAAGCGCACAACAGTGCGGCGCTACTTTAAGTACACAACCATTATACTGGGCATCTCAGTATTTATCTGCCTCAAATGCAAGTGGTTCGGCTTGTAGAATTCCCCGAAACGCTTTTTACAGTACAAATAACGTTGTTCCTCATGGAATTTTGATAATTCGCTTGTGTTCTCTCAAATCAAAATAGTTTGTAGGTTAAGAAGTAGCAAACCAACCAAGTGTTATATGAAGTTGATAAGTTTAAATGCGTTAATAATGAATTGATTAAATTTGTTTGAAAATTTAGATTTAAAATTGATTGGAGGGAAGAGATGTTGCAGGAAAGACTTGGATGCTTTACAACACTGAAGAACTTTGTATAAATAACATTTGGTATATAATGGTATATTTAATCAATTTGTTCAGTATATTTCTGAGGGTTAGACGGTATATTTAACGGTGAATACTCGGTCACACTGTGAATCACATTGTACACAAACATTTCCCGCCACCGCTTTTTTTATAAACAAAACAAACCCTGTTAATTGTTTACCGCATGTACAGATCTGTATAGTCATGCAAGTAGATCTGGAGCCGGGAGTCATCCGGAAGCTGGACGAGGTGGTGGTCAATCGCATTGCTGCTGGCGAAATCATCCAGCGTCCGGCCAACGCGCTGAAGGAGCTGCTGGAGAATAGTTTGGACGCCAAATCGAGTCACATCCAGGTGCATGTCAAGTCTGGCGGCCTGAAGCTGATGCAGATCCAGGACAACGGCACCGGCATACGCAGAGAGGACTTGGCAATAGTCTGCGAACGTTTCACCACCTCCAAGCTGGCCAAATTCGAGGATCTCTCGCAGATCGCTACCTTCGGCTTTCGTGGCGAGGCGCTGGCGAGCATCAGTCATGTGGCCCACCTGACGATCCAAACCAAGACGGCCCAGGAGCGCTGCGGCTACAAGGCCACCTACGCCGATGGCCGGCTGCAGGGCCAGGCCAAACCGTGTGCCGGCAACCAGGGCACCATCATCACCATCGAGGATCTGTTCTACAACATGCCGCAGCGGCGGCAGGCCCTCAAGTCGCCAGCGGACGAGTTCCAGAAGCTATCCGATGTCCTGGCAAAGTATGCGGTGCACAATCCCCAGGTGGGCTTCACCCTACGCAAACAGGGCGAGGCGCAGCCCTCGCTGAAGACGCCTGTGGCCAGTTCGCGGTCGGAGAACATCAGGATCATCTATGGGGCTGGCATCTCCAAGGAGCTGCTGCAGTTCACCCACAAGGATGAGATGTTCAAGTTCGAGGTGGAGTGTCTGCTGACCCAAGTCAACTACTCGGCCAAGCGGAGCCAGATGCTGCTGTTCATCAATCAGCGGCTCGTCGAGTCGCCAGGTGGGTAGCTCCGCATTGCCCATTTCCTGGCTATTTAATGTGGATTTGACTCCTTCCCTTGCAGCCCTCAAGTGTGCCGTGGATGCTGTGTATGCCACATATTTGCCGCGTGGCCATCATCCCTTTGTGTACATGAGCCTGAAGCTGCCGCCCCATAATCTGGACGTAAATGTGCACCCCACCAAGCACGAGGTGCACTTTCTCTACCAGGACGAGATCGTCGAGCGGCTCAAGGAGCAGGTGGAGGCCCAACTCCTGGGCAGCAATGCCACCAGAACCTTCTACAAGCAGCTCAAGTTGCCGGGAGCCTCGGAGCTGGACGAAACGCAGTCGGTGGACAAGACGCAGCGCATCTATCCCAAGGAGCTCATTCGCACCGATTCCAGCGAACAAAAGTTGGACAAGTTCCTGGCCCCGCTCAAGAAGAGCGACTCTGGACTGTCCGCCAACTCCTCGGGCAATGATACAGCCGCATCCCAGGAGACGGCCAGCGAAACGAGTTGCTCACAGGAGGAGAGCTTTCGCCTGATAGCGGCCCGCAAGGCGCGCGAGGTGCGCCTGAGCAGCGTCCTGGACATGCGACAGAGCGTGGAGCGACAGTGCAACATTCAGCTGAGGAGCATCCTCAAAAATCTGGTCTACGTGGGCTGTGTGGACGAGCGTCGAGCTCTGTTCCAGCACGAGACGCGCCTCTACCTGTGCAACAGCCGAGCCTTCAGCGAGGAGCTGTTCTACCAGAGATTGGTGTATGAGTTCCAGAACTGCTCCGAGATCAGTGTGATGCCGCCGCTATCGCTGCAGGAGCTCCTAGTGATTGCGCTGGACAGCGAGGCGGCTGGCTGGACGCCCGAGGATGGGGACAAGGCCGAACTGGCCGCCAGCGCCGCCCAGATTCTACAGCAGAAGGCTCCCATAATGAAGGAGTATTTCGGTCTGCGCATATCCGAGGAGGGATTACTCGAGTCACTGCCCAGCCTGGTGGCGCGGCACAAGCCCAGTGCCACACATCTGCCTGTCTACTTGCTGCGCCTGGCCACCGAGGTGGACTGGGAGCAGGAGGCCAAGTGCTTTGAGACCTTTTGCCGCGAAACAGCCCGTTTCTATGCCCAGCAGGATTGGCGGGAAGACGAGTCGTCGGGTCACCAGCACTGGCACACGGAGCACGTGCTCTTTCCAGCTCTGAAAAAGTACCTGCTGCCTCCGGCGCGTCTCCGGCAACAGATCTACGAGCTCACCAATCTGCCCTCGCTCTACAAGGTTTTCGAGAGGTGCTAGCAGGGATAAGAAATGCCAGGGATTATTGCTTAAGCATCAAAGTGCTAAAATTTGTTGTGTAATCAACTGCATAAATAATTTATAATCCTTAAAACTAAGAGGATTCTATGGGGGGAAACCATGGCCCAGGGCAAGTCGCGTGTCAGCTGGCCAGGGTCATGTTTTCCCCTGTGGAGGAGGAAGGACATTACATGCGCCCCTCACTAAGTCAGATCTGGCTGACGTAAGCGCGTGACACGCTCGGCATTCTTCACGTGCTCCTTGAGCAGCTGCATGATCTCCGTGTTGTATTCGTCGGGCGTGGGTTTCACATCGGTGGCCCAGTAGTAGATGTCCCAGTCGTTGCTGACCCCGTTGATCAACTGGTCGTAGATGGCCGTCTGCTCGGCACTAAACCCCTTCAGATACTTGGCTGCAAAGGTGCTCAACAGTAGATCGTTCTCCAGCATTCCACGTTTACGCGATTGATAGATCAAACTACGAATTGGCGGTAGAACTAAGTAATGAACACTATGGAGTGTGTCCTTTTCCCACTCACCGCTGCTTGCGTGTCTCCAGGGGCTCGTTGGGACGCGCCGGGTACTCCGGCAACGGCAAGTAGTCCGGATCCTCGTAGTCCACAATCACATCGCTAATGGGGGCCAGGAAGGGCGGCTCCTGGCTGGTGGTGGATGCTTGGCGCTGCCAGGGCGCGAAAATCCATCGGGAAATATTCAACGTCAGCTGCAAACCAAAATAGAAAATGGGGAAAATGCATTGTTATGCAACCGGCGATGCATTTTAGCCGCTTACCTTTAATTGGCGAAACATCTTGCAAGTAAACCAACCACGTTAACTATTAATTAACGAGTAGAATTATGTTTTACTCTCCTAACGGAGTGTACTTACTGCCAAATTGGTTTAAACTTTAAAGAGAAATTTTGAAAAATCAAAACTTGACAAAAGGCGCCAGGCCAGACCAGCTGAGCAGATTTGGGGCAAAAAAAAGTGGGTAGGGTCGTATATTTCATACTGGGTATGCTATTTTAACCACATTTTTGTTTAATTCTTAAAAATATGTAGTATTTTATCATAAAATAATGGCTAAAACAGCTAGGCGCCAAATCAAAATTGAAATTTGTCTGTGCTCGTTACCTCGTTGTCCTAGCACACCTTGCACTCAGTTATTTCCAAAATATTTAAAATATTTGAATTTATAAGGTAAACAATATCCTTAAAAAATCGAATAATAATATAATACCATATAAAGTTAAAAATTTAATAATCGCATCCAACAAAAAGAAGAAAATTAACATCAAACAAAACCACTCAAAAACTCATAGTGTAACGCAAAACTGAGCAGCGCTCTCTCGAGTCCTGTTCTCTGGCTCGCCGCAAACAAACAAAAAATTGAGTGAAAAAAATATTGGTCCAGCGCGGTCACGTCGCGCATCGTTGTGAAAATTAAACAAAGATTCGAATGCCGACGCCAAAACTATGTGAAATAATAATAATTCGAATAAAAGCCTGTGCGAGAGGTGTGATAGGTAAATTAAAGTGTTTGTTATTCGTGTAATCAAATACATATCTAGTTAATTGAGGAAGTTTCCTTTCCCTCAACTCCGCGCGCGTGTGTGTGTGTGTGCGTAAGTGTGGTTCGCCGGAGGGAGCGAAAGAAGTAAACAAAAACGTGCGACACTGCCACAAAAATGCAAAGTTATATGAAAATCTGAATAAAAAGGTTAACGAAAAGTGCTATTACCGGCTGAGCGAGTTGTAAGGGTATTTGTTTGTGACACAAAGAAGAAAGAAATAGTAAAAGAAACGGAAAGACAGCAGCACAAGCAGCAGCGGCATCAGCAGCGCGGAGAAGCGTGAAGAGCAGTGCGGCAAGATGCCGGCGACAGCGAATGTGTGGGTGTTGTTGTTGTTGTGCTGCTGCATGTTCGTCGCCGTCGTTGTGGATAGCAGTAAATTGCAGGAGCAGCAACAGGAGTCCTCCACGAAGAAACCCTTGGCGGAGAAAGGTAAGAACGTGCTTTATCTCTCATTCTCTTAAAAATTCGTCTGACTCTTTTTGTCTCCCTGTCGCTCTCGTGTTAATTGTTTTTAATCTGCGGTGCATTAACCTGGTAGGGCATCTCCCTCACACTCACACACTTTCATGGCTATGCCAAAAATAACACCAGCGTCTCTCTGTCTGAGTGTCCCTACAAATTTCTCTCTACCTCTCTCTCTCTCTCTTTACGACTCGCCCCGCGAGCATTCACTTTGTTATGCAAATTCTTTGTTTTTCTTGTTTCCACAAAAAAATACCACGCAAATAAACAAAACAAGAAAAACAAAGAAAATGCAAACAATTTTTGTGGATTTGTGTGGAATGTGGTATGTACTGTACTTGCAACAGGAACAAAAAAAAAATAAATAAAAATATTTGCGCTACATGGAAAATGGAAGAAACTTCGAGGAGAGTGCCTAGCCCATTCAGCCCCATGATGGGGAAAATTACCCTTGTCCATGGGCACTTTTACAACGCTTTCTAAACGTTCAACTAAAGTCCAGCCGATCCACGATACCCTCTGCAAGGGTATAAAAAGATCAAAAATCATAATTGGAGGAGTCTCCGCATAAATCATAAACCACTCATGGCCATAAAATGCCTTAGAATATTTGCACAGCAGCAACAAATAAATTTTAATAAATTATGTAAGCTGTCCTCTTGACTTTAAGGGGGGTCACGGGGCGCGGCATCTGCCTCCTATTATGCATGCACATGATCCATGACCGGAGGGGTCCCACGTCTCCATACAAGAGTCTCCCTCGCTTGTTGAGACAGACAATCAGAGCGGGGAGAATCGTAAAAAAAAAATAAATAAAATTAAAGTAAGCATTTCCTCATTTGAGGCGCAACTTTGTCGCAATTTAAACGGGGATTAATGCCCATAAAACACAGAAATCAATCAAACAAATTGCCTGCCTGACAACAGTGAAGGCAAATGCAGTGCCCACGCGTACAGTGAAAGAAATTAACACGAAAAGATTCCATAGCTATTTTTTTCCGTTTCAATTACCACATAAAATGATCTTAATTTCTTTGCATAGATTGAAAGTGATTTGGGGTTTCTTATCAGCAACTTATATTTATTTGGAATGAAATTGGTATGAAATTTAAAAAAATTTGTATGAAAATAAAGTCATTAAATTTATAATAATTTAATTTAGTGGTTAGAGAGATGCGGCAGCAACTAACTTAGAGATAATCAAATGATGTGAGATGGAGGGAGATCAATCCCAAGGGTTAAGGTGAAACGGCTGTTCGCACTGCTAGACAAATCCCAGTCTCAATCACAATGACATATTTTCCATTTACTTTGTTGTTTCATTTAATAAAAAAAAACAACATTCGTTTAATTAATACACTTGCATATTGTTAATCAAGTCGAAATAACTTTATTTGATTCCCTTTTAAATCATTTTTCCAAGACATTTTTGCCTCAACACTCGTTGCTGGGAATTTGCATTTTTGATCGGCCTTTGCCTTTTTGTTCCGTTCCGTTTCGCTTCAATTGTTTTCTGCCTTCGCCTGCCTCCCTTCCTGTCACCATGGCTCCCACATCCAGTCACCCCATCCCCCCTTACACCCTGTCGCACAAGAAGTGTGTAAACAAGACCGTTATGCTTGCGCAGCCTCTTTTAAACAGTTTCGCAATTTGTGCCCTGTGAAAAAAAAAACACAAGGTGTGTTTGTATAAGGTGGTGGCATTTGTTATATTCCCCCAGTTGCCCATTTTGTTTGCCATTCTCACTGCACTCACCCACTCTCATTGTGTAGGCAACTCCTGCAAGTGCAGTCTCTGGCTCTACCTTGTATTAATATACCTTCGAGTGAAGTGCGTCGCAGTGAACGTTACACGCCCGCGGGAAAGCAGGAACAGCTGGGAAGGGGGAATGTCAACAGAAGAGTGGCCCAACGCAACCCTATAACTCTCCCCTTGGCCCTGCCGTCCAGTGCAGGCGGAAATATTGCGGAAATCGTTTATCATGTCGCCAATGGCTCTGTTTTAATAATTGCTGTCCGCGTTAAATGGCCAAAAGGGAGGTCGATTGTGAAGAGAGAAGTGAGAAAAGGTGGCCTTAATTGAGAAACGGTAAGGACAGTAAGCAGCGAATGCTGTGTGGGAAATCCGTGAAACTATAAATGGTATTTATTGCAGGGTTCGGTTCTTACAATCAATCACAAACTACGACAGGAAGTAGTGGGCCACACCAATGAAAAAAGTCCCTCGTCACCTTAAACAATTTGTTTTTTCTTTTCCTGTCCATCTCCGGCTCCGTTTCTGTCTCTGTCTCTGGTCAAGTTCCACCTTCAGTTTTGTTTGTTTGTTTGAATGTTTGCCCTTACCTCCTCTGCCCTGCTATGGCGCTCGCCTCAAGTTCAAGAGCAAACGATAACCTGTCCACAGACGATTAAGTAACAACAACAACAAACAAGTTTGTGAGGTGGGTTACACAAATATACAAACAAACAAACATACACACGTACATACACGCAGTGTGGCATACGCACATAGAGAGGGGGGAGAGACCTTAACTCAAACAGAGACTCATACCAACACATAAGTCACACCTGCCTAAGGCTAGCGGCCCCCAGACCAAACCTGAAGCCAAGATAGAAAAAAAAGGAAGAAGAAGGAGAGAGAGGCAGAAAAATGAAACAATTTGCCTTCGCTGGGGCCAAACACAGGCAGTGCAAAGGCAAAAGCAAATGGAACAGAGCCCAAAACAAACTGGACAAGAGAGGAAGGCTTAGCCTTCGGAAGTCGAAGCATTTGATACCCTTGCGGATCCATCGATCCATCCATCGCAGCATACCTACCATACAGAAATGTATGATACATATACTTGTTTACTTGTACTTTGTATAACGTATGTATATAAGAAGTGAATCATAGAGAACAAAGTATATATATTATATAGTCCGAAATTATACTAAATAATATAAGCATGCAAACATCCGGTTTAAATCAGAGTATGTACATTCTGCAAGGGTACAACCAGACAACCAGAGGCCAAGCCGGCCGGCCGGCTTGTATGTACATATGTATGTGTGGAGTAGAAAGGCAAGTATCAGCCAGGAGTACAGACGTACAAAGAAGAAGCCAAGCTGCGAGGCTTTAATACCCTTCAAGATTTACAGGATTTGTGCTTCAATTGTGGGAAAAAATATCCTTTACTAAAAGGAAGAAGATACTGTACTTTAATACAATGTATTATTGTTTCCACTCCAATTAGATACACTTTTTCCTAGTGAAATAAAAAATGTTGGTAAATCGGATAAAGCACCATTTAGTTTATAGAATTTCCTATTATGATTGAAGAATAATCGAGTGCACCCCATTCTATAAGTTTTCATCTCATCCCTATACTACTTAAGCTGCTCATGTTATATTCTCCCCCCAATGCACCCGGGAGCAATGCGCTTCTTTACGTTTCGTTTCTCCGTTATGGACGTTTTTTATGCATGTCTCTTTTTTGTTGCTATTGATTTATTGTACAATTTATTGTTGTTGTTGCTCAATGCATGCCTTGACTGCTGCTGCTGTTGCTGCTGTGTGTGCTGCTGTCTTTATTGTACTAGTAGTTCTATAATTCTGCTGTTGTAGTACAAAATACATTTATGGTCCGTCTGGTTTGGCATGACGCACGACCGAGATGGGGACCAGAGACCGGTTCGGTTCGCTGAACAAAGACACCAGCAGAAGTCAGTCTAGACGAAGTGCCCAATATGGTCATGGGCAGGACGGGGGGACAGCCAGCAACGAATTCATTTTGTCATCATCCCGAATTCTGCCTTGATTCAACCTGAAATTAAGAGTTGAACTCGAAAATCTCTGTTCAACTTTAGAATACTTTGTTAAAGCAAAGG